CCACCTTCAGTTCTGTGCCCTGCTAAAAGCGCATCATGGCTCCGTTTAAATGCTTTTCGGCTAGTGTGTTTCTGTGGTATAGCGGACTGAAGAATAGTAAACGTGTTTTGCAATATATGTATGAAGCTATTTTGTATATAGTATGTTCCCATTCCGTTTTTGCTTTGGTGTAGCCCTGAGGTTGATTGCTTATTTATTTCTACCCTTCCTCTCTCCATACTTCTGTCCCCCCCCCCCCCTCTCTCTCATTCCTTCTGTCGTCCACATGTATCAAAGGAGGCGAAATCGCCTGTTTGTGGTGCGATGTTAAATAAACTTCTACAACAACAACAACAACATGTTTTTACAACTCCCTGGGAGTGACGCGCACGCATGGCAGCTGTAGCTCGTGATCGCATCTGCTGAGCATATTCCGGATATTGTTTGTTTGTTTGGCTTTCTTCAGAGTGGAGTTCCAAAACAGGCCTAAACCTAATGACAATGGTCCCACTGATAATAAGAGAAGAGAAAAAAATATAAAAATAAGCGGACAAACAGAACAAAGAAGAAGATAAGTTAGATAACTAATATGAGCACGGCAGCAGGGGAAAAAATGTCACAAGCACGGCAACCGGGAAGAAAGGAGAGAGAGAGAGAGAGAAAAAAAAGCTTCACTACCTTCACTCTTGGAGCACTCACTTACCGCTATCCCCACCTTCCTCATAAATCCTTTTCTACCATTGCTATCCGCATGTTTTGCCTCTGCTCGACTACGCAGCTAGTCTAGCCAGATGGCACCACATTATGCCATTTATGCCAAAGTGTCACATTACATTCAAGGTGGATGTCACGAGAACCTTGTCGCGTGACCCCACAAGCGTCACACGCGTGACTACAGACATGGCAGTAGGAAACAGTCCGTCAGACTCCGCGTCTATGCCACCGCGACTGGGAGGAGTAACCAGGGAGTTGTAAAAACAGGTTTTTACAGCTCCCTGGGAGTGATGCATGGCTCGACTAGCACGTGATCGCATCTGCTGTGCATGCACATTCGGATATTCCGGTGCTACAGTAGGCGGATAGCTCGGTTCACAGAGGCGTTTCCGATCCTGTAGCTACATGAACATGACATGTACGAGCGGGCTCTGACGAGAAATCACACTCCATGATCCACTTTCCAGTCCCGGGCGGGGCTGCACGGCCATAGCGCTTACCAACACTGGGCTGTGCGCTGAGCGCGACTTTGCTTTTTATACTAGCATTTTAGCAATGCTACATCAGAAAGTTTGTTTATCACTCAACAGTTACTACAACTGAAGTAGCGCTGAATCTACGGTACTTGAAGGAGAGAGAGAGAGAGAGAGAGAGAGAGAGAGACCGACTGCACGTAATTCTGTAGTCAGTTTCAATACTAGCATCATACCGGTGGTGCACTTTCCGACTCGAAACTACCGGTACACCTCGCCTCAGCCCGGATTGTAGCCGATTATTCCCAACTCTAGCAAAATGGCCTCGGCTGGGCCAGCTCAGATCCCTATCCGAATGTATCATGTCACGAATGAGCTTAGTACGAACAGTAAAGGGGAAACCACCCCCCCACCCACCTGGCCTAAACTGCACCTGTGCTTTCCGAATGACAAGACCTTTGATGGCGCCCTGGCAGGACTTCCCGTGGCGTGCATGACCACAACGCTTTGGAAGAATGAGGTGACCTTGCCTACACAGTCGACCTACCCTCGCACAACGCCTAATGGGACTGAACACCACCGTGTCAACGTTCCGTTTAATCTGGAGTCCTATAATTTGTTCCTGATCAGCACGTTTGGCCTTCAGCGACACGTACTTTGCTTACCCAAAGCTCAGGATTGCCAGTATATCCATGAGCGGGTTCTGTTAGTGCTGCTTCAAAACAACAGCAAATACAAGGAACTAACCGCCGAGAACAAATACAAAAGCAGCGACAAAGAAAGCCTCTTTCCTGTCGTCGGTGGCACTGGAAAAACCGATCCTAAAACCAAGTGCTACAGAGCTAACGTATACCCTGAAGAGAAATACTTTGTAAACGTCCACTTTGTGACGCCAGTTCCCCTGCCTGTCACAGCCGCGAAATGGGACACAGTGAAGAAATCTGCTAAAGGTGGTGATGCAGCATTCGGCAACCTGATTGACCAGGGCGGCAGAACACTTCGACAGTGTCTAGTGGATTGGATAATGACAGCGGCCTCAGACGAAGATCTGGAGGATGCTAACCGTGAAGCCGTAATGGACGGTTTTGCGGCTGATGTAAGCCTGGAGGGAAGTACTGGAGATAAGTGGACGAAGTGGAAAGAGTACATCGAAAAACGCCTAAATGGTGACGACATGTCGTCAGTGTTCCATGCCCAAGTACAAGTAGAGGGTCTCACCGCTGCCATGGGTACCTTGGCGGTCAACTAAGACGCATGACGAACTCTGTGACGAGACACTGGTGGACGAAGCGGCGCGGGCATGCGTTGTGTTTGCGTGTGGACGATTCCCAGGCATGGTCCAATCTGCATTCCCTGGTCAGCGGCCCTGGTGGAGGCTGTTGTTGCTGTCTTTTCATTGCTCTGTTGTTTGTGTTGCTTCTGCTGTCTTCTTTGTCACCTAGCATCTACTACATGATTGTACTCTAGCATCAAGACTATGCATGACGTCATGTTTAAGCACTGGCCAGCCTTACCTTCTTGGAGTTTTGAGGGAGTTGGAGCTGCACCAGACTTACATTTGTTGATTCGTGCCTCCACTGGTCTTCTCAGCCTCACTGGGTACAGTAGGTACCTGTACTTGTGCAACTGTGTAGCCGTATGCCCGGCTAACTGTTACTTGCATCCACTGTGCCTCGCCGCAGCTTGTTTACAAATTCTTCACATTTCGCGCATTCCATTTCCTCCACATGTACCCATACCTGCCAACCCAGCCAAAGCAAATCCCTTGCTGGCCTTAGTCACACGCCCAGTTTCCCTTAATTTTCTGAGATTTTTCTCCCATTTCCCTTATTTTGCTGGTTTTCACCCTACAATGAAAACTTCACAACCACTAGCGAAAAATGCTGTCACACCACAAAACAACCTTTTCAGTGCCAATATCGGTAGTTTTTCGATCAAAGTCAAAGATCCCCGGTAGATAATGCTCGAAAAGATGGCAGATTCTGCTCGAAAAGCAGTGAAATTGGCAGAACCATACAAACCTTATGGCGGGCAATTCCTCGAATTCTGCTCCATTTCTTTATCCACATACCAAACATGCATGAAACTTACCAGAAAAAGTACCGAATTCTGCCAATTTTTCTGCCGGCATTATCCGCATATGCCTATTAATGGGGCTTCAGCTGACGCAGGACGTCTGTACGCGACAGCAGGCTTGCCTTCAGGTGCGTTACCCGTACATCAAAAAAGCTTCACTAACTTCACTCTTGGAGCACTCACTTACCGCTATCCCCACCTTCCTCATAAATCCTTTTCTACCATTGCTATCCGCATGTTTTGCCTCTGCTCTACTACGCAGCTAGTCTAGCCAGATGGCACCACATTATGCCATTTATGCCAAAGTGTCACATTACATTCAAGGTGGATGTCACGAGAACCTTGTCGCGTGACCCCACAACCGGCACACGCGTGACTACAGACATGGCAGTAGGGAACAGTCCGTCAGACTCCGCGTCTATGCCACCGCGACTGGGAGGAGTAACCAGGGAGTGATGCATGACTTGACTAGCGCGTCATCGCATCCGCTGTGCACATTCCGGATATTCCGGTGCTACAGTAGGCGGATAGCTCGGTTCACAGAGGCGTTACCGATCCTGTAGCTACATGAACATGACATGTACGAGCGGGCTCTGACGAGAAATCACACTCCATGATCCACTTTCCAGTACCGAGCGGGGCTGCACGGCCATTGCGCTTACCAACACTGGGCTGTGCGCTGAGCGCGACTTTGCTTTTGTACTAGCATTTTAGCAATGCTACATCAGCGACGCATTACACGAGGGATTTGTCAGCTGCATTCCTCCAACGTGCCGTGGACGCAGCAGGACGATGGTTGAAGGATTGGCATCTCCTCGTCAACACCACGAAAACCGTCGTCCTTTCCTTCCAACCCCAACACACCATCCACATCACGCTCCACTCGACTCGGCTGCAGCAGGTCCACCAACATAGGCACCTTGGTGTTACACTCCAAGACGATTTGCGATGGACCCAACACATCATAGAAACCACCAACAAAGCCAAAAAACTACTACACCAACTCCACAAGACACGTGGCACAATGAACGCTTCCAGCCTATTGTTAATATACACAACCTACATCCGACCCGTTCTCGAATATGGCAGCCTTGCCCTCTCCAACACCACACAGCAACAGCGGGACACACTGGAGAGAATTCAACGCCGTGCTATACGCATCTGCCTTCGGATTCCCCTCTTTGCACCAGTTCACCACAGCTCCCTCCTCCATCACGCAAAGCTCCCCACCCTTAGCTCACGACTCCTTGTTAAACAAGCCCTACTAGCATGGGACATCCACCACCAAACCTCCCCACCACACCTGCAACAACCACATCTTGCACCACAACGTCAACACCAACCATACACCCTTCGACAGACAAGGACCTACTCCATCGGACACGCACACACGAACAGGCACCGAGATTCCCCCATCAACAGTGCCCTCACCCTCTACAACTCACTCCCTATCGACATCACAACCCAACCTCGTAGAAATTCTTTCCGAAACAATGCATCCAGTCTTCTTTTGAGCAGTACCTGCTCCTGCTCCGCGCATCCCCCTGGTTTCTGATATCTCGAACGTGTACTTAACTATCTCGTTCACCCCTGCTAACGTTATTGCCCCCGCTTGTTTTTCAAGATCCATTGCTTCTTGCCTCCCGGTTAATTTCCATCTAGCTGTTTCTGGCTAGTACCAGTTCTATCGCACTTATTAATCATCCTTATTGGCGTCACGCCATCGTGGAATAAAAGAATAATAAAAGAATAATCAGAAAGTTAGTTTATCACTCAACAGTTACTACAACTGAAGTAGCGCTGAATCCACGGTACTTGAAGGAGAGAGAGAGAGAGAGAGAGAGAGAGAGAGAGAGAGAGAGAGAGAGAGAGAGAGAGAGAGAGAGAGAGAGAGACCGGCTGCACGTAATTCTGTAGTCAGTTTCAATACTAGCATCATACCGGTGGTGCACTTTCCGACTCGAAACTACCGGTACACCTCGCCTCAGCCCGGATTGTAGCCGATTATTCACAACTCTAGCAAAATGGCCTCGGCTGGGCCAGCTCAGGGCCCTATCCGAATGTATCATGTCACGAATCAGCGTTATTGGGACAAACAGTGTTTTGTGGACAGTGATGACAGTGAAGGGGAAAACGATGTCTATGGTAAACCAACCTGGACTGAACTGCGCCTGTGCTTTCCGAATGACGAGACCTATGATGGCCCCCTGGCAAAACTTCCCGTGGTGTGCATGACCACAACGCTTTGGAAGGATGGCGATGAGCCTGAGGATAAGGGGACCTTGCCTAAACAGTCGACCTACCCTCGCACAACGCCTAATGGGACTGAACACCACCGTGTCAACGTTCCGTTTGACCTAGACTCCCATCATTTGTTCCTGCTCCACACCGTTGGCCTTCAGCGACAAGTACTTTGCTTACCCAAAGTTCAGAATTGCCGGTATATCCATGAGCGGGTTCTGTTAGTGCTGCTTCAAAACAACAGCAAATACGAGGAACTAACCACCGAGAACGACTATAAAAGCAGCGACAATGAAAGCCTCTTTCCTGTCGTCGATGGCACTGGACCACCTGGTACCAATACCAAGTGCTACAGAGCTAACATATACACTAACCCTGGAGAGAAATACTTTGTTAATTAACGTCCACTTTGTGACGCCAGTTCCCCTGACTGTGACAGCCGCGGAATGGGACACAGTGCAGAAAATTGCGCCCGGTGGTGCTGGAGCACACGGCAACCTGATTGGCCAGGGCGGCATCACACTTCAACAGTGTCTAGTGAATTGGATAATGGAAGCGGCCTCAGACGATGCTAACCATGAAGCCGTAATGGACGGTTTTCCGGCTGCTGTAAGCCTCGAGGGAATACCTGGAGATACTAGTAAGTGGAAGAAGTGGAACAAGGACTTCTTCGAACAACGCCTAAAAGAGGCTGACATGTCGTCAGTGTTCCATGACGAAAACGATCTCACCGCTGCCATGGCTAACGAGTAACGTGGTGGTTTAGCGAAGACGAAGGACGCACTCTGTGATGTGTCACAGCCACAGGTGGACGAGGCAGGCATGCGTTGTGTTTGCATGCGGACAATTCCCAGGCATGGTCCAATCTGCATTCCCTGGTCAGCGGCCCTGGTGGAGGCTGTCGGAGTCGTGGTGACGCCTGGTACCGTTCAGGTTTCAACAGGTCACATTACAGGACTGCACTTTGCGTGCATTCATCGAGCACTACACCTGTAGCCATGCATGACTGCCTCAAGCTCCATACATGTGCATGACTCATACCATAATACGATAAGGTCAAGTGTCTGACCGCCAACACGTACTCATTAGACTACGTCACGCATTCACCATTGACAGTGTTGCTTGTACTCCCTATACACCATGATACACATCGACGCTTGCTTATACATGTAGCTGTGTATTCTTTGTTCTACAGTCAGTTCTAGCTAGGTTCTTGATAGGTTTTGCTAGGGCATTGTTAGAGTGCATCCAAGATAATCCAAGATGGAGTTGGTGTTTTGAGAGTGAGAACTCGAACCAGTAAAGTTTGTCTCCATTGTTGAACGTGGGTTCGGAAAGTATCCGCAGTCGGTATTACAGTTACGGTACTGATGCAACCTGGTTCCGGGGAATACGGAACATAGTGGTCCTTCGAGCCGGATCACGTCCACGATGGAGAAGCTCAGGCGGAGTCAGCGCACGACGAAAGGCGTCGCAGCGCCAAAACTCGGGTACACAGACACCCAGTCCTACGCTGGTGCTAGTGGTGGAGATGACAGGATGACCGAAAGTAGGAGCCAAGCCGTCACCGCGAATTCAGCTGACAGGCTCAGCGCCAGGATAGCCGTGTTACAAGCGGAACAGGCTGTGGCGGAAAAGCGGCTGGAAATCGCCCGGTTGACGGAGCAGGCGATGTCGGAAGCCGAAGGGACGTTGAGGGAAAGGTCCGTTGAGACCTCCAGCTCTCCTGCGATGCGAGAAGAAGTCTTCCAGGAAGCGGGTGAGTTGCATGAGGCGGTTGCAGCCCAAGATACGTCGCTTATCGACTTTGACGATGATGTAGTTGCACCTAGTTCAGTTGCTGTTCCAACACCAACAGAGTCACACATGGTAGTCGGTGTAGAATCTCAGCCATCAGAAGGAGAGGCTTCCCATAGATCTACGCACGTAACGTCAGAATCAGCAGTAGGTCTACACCATGCAGAGGCCTGTCAGGCTAGCACACCACCACCGGTAGACGTAGTGATAGACGCACATGTAGAGAGGGACTCAGATGTCCAGCATGTCCGTGCATTCACTCCGGCACACAGCTACCACTACCAGGCACCGCCATGCGTAGTCCAAGATCCGATTCATGAACACCTGAATGAACCTCCGTTTCATCAACCAGAACGGCAGGCACAGGCACAGACACAGGTACTTCAAAGAACTATTGAACACACCACTGCTGTTGTAGCCGATGCCACTTACGCTGACTATCTAAGCGAGTCCATTCAGCGGGGAATAGGGCCCCCCCCCCCCCCCCCCCCCAGCCCTGGGATAGGACATTCGTAGAGCGTCAGCAACTGCCGAGATCCAGTACTGGCAGTAGTCTACGCAGTGTAGAACGTGAGTTCCGGGCCAAGGAAGTTGCGTATCAGCAGCAACTACTACAGCTTCAGACGATGATCGATGAATCCGCGATCGTCGAGAAGCGGCGCCAGCGAGACGCTTACGCACTGCAGACGAACCTAGAGGAAGCTGAGGCGAGTAGGGCAATGGTCGAGCTAGCGTGCGACAAGCAAGCCAGGGATCTTGCGGCAGAACGAGAACGCAACGATGAGCTGGCCCGATCGATGACAGAGCTGAGGCAGCGGCTATTCGCAGCGGAGTATGCCCTACGAGAAAGCCGTGCCAGACAACGACGAGCGCCGAAGTCTGGTAGTGTCACTGAGCCTGTTAGAGAAGTACAAGGCTTACCGGTAGTGCAACCACAGCCTGCACAGGTCCACGAGGAGAGACGTGAGCGCTGCGAGTCGACCGCAAGCACAAGGCATAGCGGTATCCCGAGCACTACGTCACCCAGTCACCCACACGCATCCATGCCAGTACCCGCACCACGAAAGCACCGTCGCGACACGAGTGCACGTGCACGCGGCTACATGACAGTCTCAGACTCCGACTCAGAGTCAGGGCCACCTGGATACTCTAGTGCCAGAGCTACGGAGACGTGTACCGGTGGTAAGGGCGCAGCAAGTAATGCGAGTGAGGTCGAAGACGCGTACATGAGTGGTTGTACCTCTACTACCGGTACTATTACTGGCAGCACAGTTAACAGCAATCCTGTGCGTCAGATGGCAGACCTGGCCAGTGAGTTTGTAGGTGCAATCACCCAGGCCCTACGTCAAGGGCAGACCTCCCAGGTCGAGAATAGTAACGCTGGCATCAGACAGCTGGCTGCACGCCAGTCATCCACCAGCAGCAAGCTGCCAATCTTCTCTGGCAAGCCGGAGGAATGGCCCGCGTTCCTCGCGCTGTACCGAAGCAGCACGGAGCAATGCGCATACTCAAACGCAGAGAACGTCCAGCGCCTGCAGACCTGCCTGAAGGGACCAGCCCAGGAGGCAGTACAGCTGCTCCTGGCCGTGCCAGACAATGTAGACGAGGCCATCCGGACACTGGAGCGTCGTTTCGGCCGGCCGGAATTGGTAGTGAAACAGCTAATCGAGCAGGCCAAGGCGCTGAAGCCAGCCAGAGCAGAGGACACGGACGCCCTGCACTCCTTGGCCACATCTGTGAGGAACATCGTCCTCACTATGAAGCTGCTAAAGAGCCATGGCCACAGGAACAACCCTGCGCTCCGTGATGAGCTGGTGGCCAAGCTGTCGCTCCCCCATCGAATGCAGTGGGGCGAGTATGTGAAGGCCAAGGGCCTTAGTACGGATGAACTAGACCTTGGTGTCTTGTCTGAGTGGTTGGCCGAACGAGCGGAAGCCGCCTCTCTGGTGACACCAACCTCCACCAAGACGGCCGCCGTTCAGCCAACCCCACCGCCTAGAAGGTCAACGACCCTGGCCGCAGTAACAGCGGGCACTACCCGCGACGCCACCTCTGACTCCCCAAGGAAGAAGAAGAGCTGCAGGAAGTGCATGGAAGAGCACGCAATGGCGCAGTGCAAGGAGTTCCAACAGCTACCCGTCCAGAAGCGATCAGAGCTGGTGCGCCTCTTGGGCCTGTGTGTGAACTGTCTACAGGACGGCCACTTCGCCAGAAATTGCACCTCGAGCCACTGCAGGAAGTGCAAAGGCAAGCACAACACGCTGCTCCACAGGGACGACTCTGACAGGCCTAGCAGCGGTAACCAACAAAACGCCGCTCGCACCAACACCGCGAATATGGCTTCTGCAGCGAGCGCCCTGCATGCCGAAACCCCAGCAAACCTACCAGCTCTGATGACGACTGTGGGGACAGTGAGATGTGGAGACGTCGAGCTACAAGCAACGATCATGCTGGATTCTGGGTCCACCTGCAGCTTCATCACCACCGACATGGCTGAGAAGCTGAATGTCCCACCCGGTGAGACCACGTCCGTGCGCACGACTGTTCTCGGTGGCAGCTGTCTGCAGCACGAGTCCAGGATCGCTCCCATAGAGATCTGTCACAAAGACTCAACTGCAACAACCCCAGTGCAGGCGGTCGTTCTCCCTCAGATAACCGCCGACATGCAACGTGTGGACTGGGATGCGCAGAAGGCAAGCTGGCCACACCTGCGCGGGATGAATCCGGATACCCCAGCTAACCCAACTGTGGACATCCTACTGGGCCTTGACGTTCCACAGTTGCACGCCTCGCTAGCCGAACGCCGTGGGCCTGGCCATGGTCCAATCGCAAGAAAGACACCACTCGGATGGATTTGTTTCGGTCTCCTGGAGGGGAGCGGAACATCGGCGGAACCAACCGTCCACCACGCCACACATGCCGCGACCGCAGAGCCCACCGAGCCAACCCTGGAGCTGAATGCCATGGTGCGTAGCATGTTCAATTTAGACACCATCCGCTCTACAGCCACGGGAGAGACCATGTCTCGAGCTGAGCGTGAAGCCGAGAAGGTGACTGACGACACCATGAGCCTCAACAACAACCGTGTCACCATTGGCATCCCGTGGGTCGCTGAAGACAGAAAGCCTCACGTGACCTCGAACAGACCGATGGCCCAACAATGACTGGCGAGTCTCCAACGGTCCCTGTACAAACGACCTGAGCTCGCAGCAGCGTACGCCGGTGTCATCCAACAGTACCTGACGAAGGGGTATATCCGCGAGGTGCCCGAGACGGAAGTGCACAACGATGCGGATGACCAGTGGTTCCTGCCCCACTTTCCCGTGATCAAGGAGGACCGCACCACCACCAAGGTGCGGATAGTGTTTGACGCGGCGGCCAAGAAGAACGACGTCTCGATCAACGAGGAGATGCACGCCGGCCCAGCACTACAGAACAACATCGTGAAGTTGCCTACTCAAGTTCTGTAAGGAACCTGTGGCTCTGATGGCAGACATCAGCGAGATGTTCCTGCAAGTGGAGCTGGCTGAGAGAGACCGCAGGTATCACCGATTCCTGTGGGAGGTCGACGGAAGAGCCAAGGTGTTCGAATTCCAGCGAGTGTGCTTCGGGTGTAAGGCGTCGCCATACCTCGCCGGAAAGGCCGTCCAGGCTGTCGCGGCCACCTATGCCGCCGAAGGGTCACCCACACACACCATCATCATGGACAACCTCTATGTGGACGACCTACTCGCGTCTGCGCCAACGCCAGAGGCGGCGGTGGGCCTACGTACTGACGTCCAGGAGACACTGGCCAAGGGAGGCTTCCATCTACGGAAGTGGATGTCGAACAGTGCAGAGGTCATGAAGTCTGTGCCAGAAGCCGACCGGGCGCCGAACACGCTGATCTCGGTAGCTGACCACCAACACCCCACGCTACCCTGCGTGAAGACGCTAGGAGTCGCCTGGGATGCTGAGAGCGACCATTTCACGTTCAAGTACCAGGTGCCCGTCATCACGCAGTACACCAAGCGCACTGTCCTGAGCAAGATGGCCTCTCTGTTTGACCCACGAGGGCAAGTGTCACCCTACACCATCCGAGCAAAGGTCATGTTCCAGGACGCCTGCCTCCGCGGGCTGGAATGGGATGAGGAGTTCGCAGAGCCTGAGGCTAAGGGTTGGAGGAAGTTCTTCGAGGAACTGCCCAAGCTAGAAGCCGTGAGAGCCACCAGGTCATTCAAGGACCCAGACCGGGATCCGGCCGATGCAGAGCTCAGCCTCCATGTGTTCGTTGACGCATCCGACGCAGCAGTCGCAACAGCAGTCTACGTACGGGCGAGTTATCCAGACGGCATGGCTCGGTCCGCGCTGGCCATGGCCAAGGCTAAACCAGCCCCGCTACACCGACAGTCGATCCCCATGCTTGAGCTACGAGCAGCTGTACTCGGCGCCGAGGTAGCCGAACAAGTCGCCCAAGCCCTCGGCATCAGCTCGTCCGACATCACGTACTGGAGTGATAGCCTCAATGTCCTGTACTGGCTTCGCTCACACAGCCGCCGTTTCAAAGTCGAGGTGGGCAACAGGGTCAGCAAGATCCAAGCACTGTCGGACCCCCGTCAGTGGAGGCACGTTCCGACATCAATCAACCCTGCGGACAAGGGCACCCGGGGCCTATCTGCAGCCCAGCTCGCATCCGATGACGACTGGTGGCATGGCCCGAAGTTCCTACTCGGACCCGAGAGTGCATTCTCGGCGCGGCCGATCGAGGTTCCCAGTAGTCTGCCGGCAGAGCTGAAGAAGCGATCTGCTATGTCGTTCAGCACGGTTCCAGGGAAGTACCAGGTTGACCCCTCCAACTTCTCGTCTTGGACGCGGCTCATCCGTGTCACCGCTTGGTGTCAGCGCTTTGTACGTAACGTCCGTATACCGAGGGAGGCTGGCGCCAACAGACCAACACCCGCTCCACGACGCAAGTTTGGATCTGCCAAGTCAGTGAACGGTATGACAGTACCCGCTCTCTCCCCTGCAGAGGTCCAGGCGGCCGACGTGTTCTGGGTACGGAAGGCCCAGGAGGAGGTGTATGGCAAGGTCATCAAGCGACTGGAGTCCGGCAAGGAACCCGATCCCAACGAGCCATTGCTGAAGCTGCGACCCCAGCTGGAGGAGGTACTGTAAATATACAAAATTTCGGCGCTGCAAAATTTCGGCACTTCACGATTTTTGACATTTCGGCGGCGATTTATTTTCGGCGTGGGGTAGAGGGCATGGTATAGTGCGACAGATGCTGTGAAAATTTCATCGGCGTTTTAATTTAGGCGTTTGGGGTCGGTGCCGAACATAGCCGAAATTAAATAGCTGCCGAAAATTTGTATATTTACAGTACATGGCACAACCGTACTGACGGTCGGTGGGAGACTCACCACTGCACACCATCTGCCGCTGACGACAAGACACCCCATCATCCTGCCACCGAAACATCGGGTCACAGCCCTGATCGTGGATGACGAAGACGAGAGATGTCAGCACTCCATGGGTCCCAACCACCTGCTGGCCAACCTCAGCAACCGGTACTGGCTGATAAACGGGAAGTCCGTTGTGCGACAGCATCGCCACAGGTGCGTCAAGTGCCGACGAGGCTACGCGAAGGCTTTGACTCCAATCATGGGAGGGTTGCCGGATTACCGGACCTCGTCACCACTTATCGCCTTCAGCAAGGTGACCATCGACTTTGCCGGTCCATTTCTGACGCGCCAGGGACGAGGCAAGGTGCAGCAGAAGCGGTATATCTGCGTATTCTCGTGCCTGCTGACCAGAGCGGTACATCTGGAGCCCGTCAACTCGCTCGACACAGATGGGTTCTTGATGGCGATGACCCGATTCTGCAAGAGGCGTGGAACCCCGGAGTTCATAGTGACAGACAACGGGTCGAACTTCACCGCCGCAGAGCGACAGCTGCGCGAAGCCACCTGCACGATAGATCAAGACCGCCTAACCACCCACTCCGAGCTGCGAGATGTACAGTGGCATTTCAACCCACCGAGAACGCCCCACTTCGGTGGTGTAGTAGAAACGATGGTCAAGGCAGTCAAACGCGCACTCTGGCATGTGCTGCACCAGGCTGGCCTCACGGATGAGGAGTTCTCAACAGCGCTGGTACATGCCGAGGCAATGCTGAATTCCCGTCCCCTTACCACCGTATCATCTGACAGCGACGATCCAGAAGCGTTGACGCCAAACCACTTCCTGATGGGACGCGCGGCTGCAGTCACACACCTCGAGGCGGAGACAGAGGATCTGGAGAAGGTCCACCCCAGACGGCGCTGGCTGTTTCTACAAGTGCTGACAAGGCAAGTTTGGAAGAGGTGGCTGCGCGAGATGGTCCCGGCGCTAAACGTCCGGTCCAAGTGGTACAGGAAGGCAAAAGACGTCGAGGAGGGTGAGGTCTTCCTTGTCATGGATGAGAGTACTCCGCGCGCGACATGGCCTCTGGGACGCGTCACAGCCACATACCCAGGGCAAGATGGTGTCGTCCGTGCAGTCAACGTGAAGATCAAAGGCAAGGAGTATCGACGATCAGTTCATCGCCTCATCCCACTGGAGGTAACAGAGGGTGAGGTGGAGCTCGACTCCGAGAACTGCCCAGCCACAGCCAACGTCAATGTGGACAATGTCACCAGCTGAGCGAATAGTGGATGGTGGTACGGCAGTGGCGATGAGGTAGTAAGGCTGTGACTGTAGTGTTAGCAAGCAATCCACAATCAGAGTGAACAATACATCCAACCGGCTAGATAAGACGTATCCTCGTTCCCGGATATGTCTAGTGACATTACGGCATGCATTTGACACAATGATGTTAGGTGTGACATCCAATAGCAGTTCCCCAGGAGTTAGAACATCACTCGGAATATTAGTTTGTCTCACTCGCATACATTGGTTAGGCTATGATTCGTTCGCGAGGGAGGTATGTCGGAGTCGTGGTGACGCCTGGTACCGTTCAGGTTTCAAAAGTCACATTACAGGACTGCACTTTGCGTGCATTCATCGAGCACTACACCTGTAGCCATGCATGACTGCCTCAAGCTCCATACATGTGCATGACTCATACCATAATACGATAAGGTCAAGTGTCTGACCGCCAACACGTACTCATTAGACTACGTCACGCATTCACCATTGACAGTGTTGCTTGTACTCCCTATACACATCGACGCTTGCTTATACATGTAGCTGTGTATTCTTTGTTCTACAGTCAGTTCTAGCTAGGTTCTTGATAGGTTTTGCTAGGGCATTGTTAGAGTGCATCCAAGATAATCCAAGATGGAGTTGGTGTTTTGAGAGTGAGAACTCGAACCAGTAAAGTTTGTCTCCATTGTTGAACGTGGGTTCGGAAAGTATCCGCAGTCGGTATTACAGTTACGGTACTGATGCAACCTGGTTCCGGGGAATACGGAACAGAGGCTTTTGTTACTTTTCATTGCACTGTTGTTTGTGTTGCTTCTGCTGTCTTCTTTGTCACCTAGTATCTACTACATGATTGTATTCTAGCATCAAGACTATGCATGACGTCATGTTTAAGCACTGGCCAGCCTTACCTTCTTGGAGTTTTGAGGGAGTTGGAGCTGCACCAGACTTACATTTGTTGATTCGTGCCTCCACTGGTCTTCTCAGCCTCACTGGGTACAGTAGGTACCTGTACTTGTGCAACTGTGTAGCCGTATGCCCGGCTAACTGTTACTTGCATCCACTGTGCCTCGCCGCGGCTTGTTTATAAATTTTTCACATTTCTCGTATTCCATTTCCTCCACATGTACCCATACCTGCCAACCCAGCCAAAGCAAATCTATTGCTGGCCTTAGTCACACACCCAGTTTCCCTTAATTTTCTCCCATTTCCCTTATTTTGCTGGTTTTCACCCTACAATGAAAACTTCACAACCCCTAGCGAAAAATGCTGTCACACCACAAAACAACCTTTTCAGTGCCAATATCGGTAGTTTTTTTAACGGTAGTTTTTCGATCAAAGTCAAAGATCCCCGGTAGATAATGCTCGAAAAGATGGCAGATTCTGCTCGAAAAGCAGTGAAATTGGCAGAACCATACAAACCTTATGGCGGGCAATTCCTCGAATTCTGCTCTATTTCTTTATCCACATACCAAACATGCATGAAACTTACCAGAAAAAGTACCGAATTCTGCCAATTTTTCTGCCGCCATTATCCGCCAAGACCTACCAGTAGTAACCCTAGTTTTCCAGTACTACAGCATACTGGGAAAACCGGTATGATTGGCAAGTATGTACAGTACCTCCGGCTCGTATCACCACACTTCATTATTACTATTACAGTCGTCCCTCTCTAATCCGGCACTTGTTTATCCGGAACCCTTGCCAACCGGCGCACTTTCTGATGAAACCGATTTTTTTCGTTCAATTCCTACATCTTAATCCGGCACTTGAATTCCGCCTCCGGCAGTGACTTTTTGAAACGAATCGCTCAAACTGCACGTAGTTTGATTTCATAATCCGGCAGTCCTAGGGTTCCCAGTAAAAAGGCAACGCCTGTTGGGAGTTCCCTAGTAAAATAATATATTCTACTACTACTACTAGTCGTAAATCGACTGTGCGTGTGTGTGCAAGAGTACGTATACATGTGAACATGTTCTCTGTTTTACTTTATCACTGTGTATATTCCTGGAGAAAAGTTGAGAATATAAAGCCGTGCACCAAATACTGGGGTCGACACGGAAAAACCCTGCGTTTTGACGTATGATACATGCATGTAATTGGGTAGGGCCGGGTCAGAGGGCAGGATTTCTTAATCCAGCACCCTCGTTAATCCAGCAGAAAATGCCGTAGCAAAAGGTGCCGGATTAGAGAGAGACGACTGTACTACAATGCTTCACCATCACACCGACAGTATGCTCTCAGCGTCTGTTTAGCGCAGCTTCATGAGAGACTCTGAGCATAACTATAACAAGTTCTATACTAAACAATCAGCTCATGTGATAACATTGCACGACACTGACCGACGGCACTGACGTTCTACAACTAACTGGCTATCAGCTCTAGCACATCTTGGATGCGCACTCCAACACGGCAACAACCTTCCAACTCTTTTTCTTTCTTTTTTTCCAACTTGGAAGGTTTTAAGTTACCGTGAATAATGAATAAACATTGTCCAATGGTCTTCCGGCCAGTATCGTCATCGACATGCTTGTACCGGTACATGTACATCCGCCAACGGTTACGTCCTTCACAGCTTAGACTTTCAGCTCGTGCTTGTCTTGGTTGCGCTCACCTTCCCCTCCTATGTTATCATAACTTAGAAGTTAGAACCTTCCATTGGTTGGAAACTGGAAAGCTGTTGGAGTGCACGTCCAAGATGCGCTAGAGCTAATAGCCAGTTAGTTATAGTTGACTTAATTTACTTTTTTTTTGTAGAACGTCAGTACCATGGTTGGTTTGGTTGGTTGGTTTTTATTTCACTTCGCACATTCAAACGGGATGACGACCCGATAAAATGACGGCGAAGGCTTAGCCTAGAAGTGGCTATGGAAGAACATAGTAAAAGCTATGGAAGCACATAGTAAGAGAATAGGATACTAATAACTGCGGGTAAACGGGGGGAGAGAGAGAATACGATGTATCTGTGATACTACGTGCGGGTTACTGAACTGCACGGGGAGGGAGAGCAGAGCGATCAGCAGCAACTCGAACTACTCCCTACAGGCGTATGGTACACATGCATGCTTAAACTCAGGTAGCCGGGTAATTGTGCGGACCTCACCAGGGAGAGCGTTCCACAGCAGAGCACCAGCAACAGAAAATCTCCGCTGACCGCGGCGGCTACGGTTTGCCTGGCTTAGTAGGCCATTTGACTGCTGATGGCGGGTAGGGGTGCCTTGTGCCGGGGTCAGAAGCTGGGCGAGCACAGGGCTGGTGCGGGTGTGGATGCACCGCCAGATGGTGATCAATATTTTCTGCCTGTAGAGCTCGCTGACACGGTACAGGGAGTGAGCAGTGAGCAGCGGCTGCATGGCTGTCCGCTGCGGGTTGCCATCGATACAGCGGATGGCTCTGTTTTGCGTGGTTTGCAGTCGTTTCTGTTGACCCTCTCGCATTGCGGCTGAGAAACAGCAGGAGCCATAAAGCAGGTCGGGCATTATGACCGCCTTCATATACACCTGACGAGAGCGTCTTGATAGGCTTCGGCGTGCCCGCCACAAGGCGCCAATTTTCTTGGCAACCTTGGTGACCACATAGTTTACATGGGTGTCCCAATCTAGGCGATTGTCAAGGTGAACGCCGAGGTAGCGCGCAGAAGACGCTGAGGGGAGGAGACAGTCGCCGCTTTTGACTGTTACTTCCTGTACATGCTGCTGGGGAGAGATAGTCAGAACCTGGCTCTTGGTGGCGTTCAAGATGAGGCCTCGGGACTTCAGCCAACCGGCCAGAGCAGTTGCCGCTGTGGTGAGGGTTCTGGACGCTTCCGCCGCTGAGGCCTGGGAGTCGTACAGGGCATCGGTCAGTGTCGTGTATTATGTTATCGCATGAGCTTTAGTAACTGGTGGTGTTAGTGGACATTATAGCGTAGCTTGTAGTTCCTTGGTCCTTTTCTTTCCTATAAAAAACACAGAGAGTGTTCCGCACAGCATCAAGGCAGGATATTCTACGCCTCCCTGAAGCAACTCCAGCGCAGGTGAGCATGACAGCGTATTTCCAGCGACAGAATCGGGGCTGGCTCGGACGCCCGCGCATCACCCTACCAGTGGTGATAGACAACGAATTAGCCAAGGCAACGTTCATGCGTCTCCGGAGCCTGAAGGACTTGGAGACACTGTTTGTTTGTTTGTATACTTTATTTGAATTCGCAAATCCAAACGAGCACAAATGCTCAATGACAAGGCAGCGAATATGTTATTATGTTACAGGGAAGGAGAGTTGGGGAGAAGATAAGGAGAAAAAGAGAGAATGATAGATATCTCAATGAAGAGCGAAGCGTTATCAAAACTACAAGTAAGCCAGCGAACGACAGTTCTGTAACCCGCCTAATAAACTAAGTACTTTTTTTCAGGCGTGCAATGGGGACAGGGAACAGTTTGCCTAGAGAGGTGCGCACCGTATCCAGATTGCAAGATTTCAAGCTAGCCTGCCTTCCTTATGTATGCCTGGAATAGGTTGTGTTTCGTCAGGTTTTGACATGTTCCTTTTCTTCTCAGTATTCTCGCTCGCATAGTACTCCACTTCTAAAGTTCTATGATAATATTGCCTATGCTGTTGCTCATTAGGATTTTGCCAAATTCTATCCTTCGCTTTCATATAACTGGGCCAGGAACCCGTTTGAACTTGCGAAGTAAAATAAAATCATCAATCAATCAATCAATGATCAGAGAGAAATAGGAAGATGAGGACCTATGCCAGAGGGAGGTACTATTCGGCCATATTAACCGTAGTCTGACGTAGAAAAACACTTTCAGCAATCTTTTAAACGGGGTTGGACGACGAGTGGACGTGAATTCCTGTGGCAGGGTGTTCCAAAGCTTCACGGCGGAAACCAATGGTCGGCTGTCGCCAGATGTTCGCCGAGTTAGCGGAACAACATATTTGCAATTGTCATTGTGGGTGTTACTGGGAGGTTACCGGTTGGAGGGCTACTCTATCTTTCAGAAGAGGGCTGATGCTGCTGGTGTGGTCACGGTGCATAAGGAAACGGAGTTTGCATTTGGCACGTTCAATTACAGGGAGAATGAATTTGAAGACACCACTGCAGCTGTACTTATGGTTGATAAATATGGTGGTAAAGACACACCTGGCAATATGGCGGTAAACACACGCCTGCCCACACACGCTCTCTAGGCTGCAAAGTTCTGGCACAGAGCTCTCCTTCTCACCACCACCACCATCAGTTCGCGCCTGGCGCCTGGTCGATGCATGGTTGGCGGTATCCGGCATAGCAGGCTGGTACATCAAGTAGTGCATGGCACATAGCAGATGACACAGCAACGACATAGCTCGATTGCGACGTACGTTTCGTCCCCGCTGGACTCATCAGGCAATCTTCTTCTTGGATGTCTTCACACGGAGCTTGACTCGGGAGAATGAATTTGAAGACACCACTGCAGCTGTACTTATGGTTGATAAATATGGTGGTAAAGACACACCTGGCAATATGGCGGTAAACACACGCCTGCCCACACACGCTCTCTAGGCTGCAAAGTTCTGGCACAGAGCTCTCCTTCTCACCACCACCACCATCAGTTCGCGCCTGGCGCCTGGTCGATGCATGGTTGGCGGTATCCGGCATAGCAGGCTGGTACATCAAGTAGTGCATGGCACATAGCAGATGACACAGCAACGACATAGCTCGATTGCGACGTACGTTTCGTCCCCGCTGGACTCATCAGGCAATCTTCTTCTTGGATGTCTTCACACGGAGCTTGACTCGGGAGAATGAATTTGAAGACACCACTGCAGCTGTACTTATGGTTGATAAATATGGTGGTAAAGACACACCTGGCAATATGGCGGTAAACACACGCCTGCCCACACACGCTCTCTAGGCTGCAAAGTTCTGGCACAGAGCTCTCCTTCTCACCACCACCACCATCAGTTCGCGCCTGGCGCCTGGTCGATGCATGGTTGGCGGTATCCGGCATAGCAGGCTGGTACATGCCATATTGCCAGGTGTGTCTTTACCACCATATTTATCAACAATTACAGGGGTCAGGGAAAGGCGAGTGTATAGGAGTGGTATGGAACGGGAAGGGCAGATTGGCTACGCAGCGAACACATCGCTTGTCGAGGACAGTGAGCTGGTGCCGCTGCTGAGCCGTGAGTGCAGAGAAGAACGCGTTTTGTTCAAATGGTCGCAAGACCTAGGCTCTGACAACCGTGGATGGTTGTAGTAAGGTCACTGTTTCCGAGCACGGTGGTCCTCCGGGCTCCGGCCCTCCGCCTTGTAACATGCTATCAACCAACACCAGACCACTGACACTGACCAGTAGATCTACTACAATCATGGAATCTGAGTACGTGTACAATCATGTACTGTATACAATCATGTACTGTATACAATCATGTACTGTATACAATCATGCACTGTATACAGTAGAGTCGGAGCTGAAGCAGTGAAGGACGAGTTGTAGTCACGTGGCCGTTGGAGCCCAAGAACGTTTATTTATTATTTATTTTTTGGTGAAAAAGGAGAAGGACAAAATGTTACGAGTTATGACTAACTGTCCGCCAAAGCAACCAGATCTTATACAGTCAGTGAGTGCGACAAAATGGCACAAAACTGACAAGGAGTACTGAGACATTCGGCGACCTGACACCTAGCTCCAACACTTCTCCAAGGCGCAAACCAACAACCTTCCAATTACTTGGAAGGCTCAGGTTCGGAAAGGTCCAAGAGGGGAAGGAAAGCGCAACGAAGAAGAGCACGAGCTACGCATCACGGCAACAAAGAATGCCGAAAGTTACTGGATGATGACGAAACTAGTAAGACTACGGAGGATTAGCAAGACGAAATTCGCGTTCGCGTTCGCTCTCCAAGGAAAGACTTTTAAGTCGAACTCAGTGACGGGATTCGCGTTATGAGAAGGATTAGCAAACAGAATTCGCACATGCATGATGTTGACACGACGTACATTGTCTACAGACAGTACAGCGTGGTAAATTTATGACTGCCCTGACACGAATCCGCGATTCGTGTTCCGACTACTTTTCCGAACGAAAAATGCGAAAGTTCGCAATGCAGTTCGCGAACTGAAAAATGTTTGCGAACGCGAACGCGAATTTCGTCTTGCTAATCCTCCGTACTATTGGACATACCGCCCCTCTTGGACCTTTCCGAACCTGAGCCTTCCAAGTTGGAAGGTTGTTGGAATGCTGCCTTGTGGGACTCCCGCCTCAATGATGGGGTATGGACGGGAGGTTGCACCACCGACAACACACTGTATTCTTCGGTTAAACAGGTACGATGTCAGCCATGCGAGGAGGATTCCTTGGATGCCACATAGTCATTGCTGTAGCTTGAAGAGGACACCTGCGTGAGAGACCTTGTCGAAGGCTCCAGCAATATCAACTGCAAGTACGCGTGCTGCGCCTCCACGTCCGATAGAGGATGCCCAGGAGTGGTGTAGCGCAGTAAGAGTGTCGGCTGTACCCAGGTTCCGTCTGAAGCCAAACTGATTCGCTGCAAGAAGTGAGTTACCCTCGAGGTAGTTCGTAATTTTCTTGTTGATAATGGTCTCCATTAGCTTGGATATCACACTAAGGAGAGACACGGGGCTGTAGTTCTTGAGCTGTGAGCGAGATGAGCGTTTATGCACAGGAACAACATTGGCGAGCTTCCAGGCCTGAGGTTGGTATCCATGCCGGAAGCACAATGAGAAAAGCTTGGTCAGGACCGGTGCGAGCACCGAAGCTTTCAGGACACGGGGAGAGATGCTGTCCGGCCCCGTGGCTTTCGACTCGTCGAGCCGGCGCAGAAGACGTTGAACATTCTGGATGAGGAAGTGGACGTGGGTGAGTGGAGGATGTGGGTGTGAGCAGGCGCGATGTAGGTCCCTGTCACCCAGGCTGCACTTGCCAGCAACCAACTGGTCCTCAATACGAGGGCCTCCCCGGCAGGGGTTGACTTTGCGCTGCCAAGCCAATCATTATCTGCACTATGCACGTCGTTGAAATCCCCAGCGAGGATTACGTTTGGGGACAGTTCTTTGGCCCGATGTAGTGTTTCGTCAAGTGAATCGATCTGACAGAGGTCGGTGGGGCTACAGGAGCCTGGGCGGTACACAGAGCCGATCACCAAGCTTGTTCCACCACGTACATGTACAGTATACTCTAATTTCAGAAATGTTCGGTGCTCAATATTTTCGGTATGAGGGCAAAAGGCCAGGTTAGGCGAACAGAAATTTTCGGTGCAGAGAAGCAGTTGGATGATGTGTGTTAGTGCTTGTTCGGTGTATTGAAATTTTAGGTATGAAACAGATGCACCGAAAGTACCGAAAATAAAAGTACAGTGTAGATTCTACACCGAAAATTTGTGAAATTACAGTATATGATCCAGTACGGATTGTTTCTAAGAACGTGCTATAGTACGCAGCCAAATTGCTGAAAAATAAGAACATCCCAGGCTGACCCCCTAGGAAACAACGTTCTTGGTCGCGTGACTCTAGTGTAGGCGTTGGATAAGTGAGCGAGGGGGGGGGGGGGGGGGTGCAACCAGGTACGCGAGTCTGCACCTGAGTGCGCCAGTACAGTGCAGTAGTGAGTAATGCAGGTCTATGCATTAAAGGGGAAGTTAAGGCAAAAATTAAAATTTCACCAGTTGTAGTCTTCGGGGTGCTGAGTCGAATGGTCTTGGTCCGAGGAAGCTGAGACGCTCCCTTCCTACTTGAATCCCAATCGAACTCGCGCACTTCCACCGAAACTGGGTGACTGCGCCCTACTAGATGGGGATTTGTATGCAAAATGTCACTAAAAGCGCCATTTCGTTCTTATAAAAGCACGGATGACCGCGATTGGCCCATATGTTGTACTCTTTTGGACGCTGAGTCGACTGGTTTTGGTCCGAAAAGGCTGCGATGCAGCGTTCCTCCTTTATTTCCAATCGAACATGGTTGAAGAAGCGGTCACGTGCTCCTGGGTGCCCAAATCGCCTGGTCACCACGCCAGCAGGCGACAACTTTCACACCAAGGTTCAACTCGAGTGACAGGACTGCACCCAAAAAAGGTCAAACAGGCTAGTAAGTTGTACCCTGCAGGCACGGTGACCAGGTGACTGGTGTACGCAGGAGCACGTGACCACTTGTTCGACCATGTTCGATTGGGAATAAAGGAGGAACGCTGCATCGCAGCCTTTTCGGACCAAAACCAGTCGACTCAGCATCCAAAAGACTACAACATATGGGCCAATCGCGGTCATCCGTGCTTTTATAAGAACGAAATGGCGCTTTTAGTGACATTTTGCATACAAACCCCCATCTAGTAGGGCGCAGTCACCCAGTTTCGGTGGAAGTGCGCGAGTTCGATTGGGATTCAAGTAGGAAGGGAGCGTCTCAGCTTCCTCGGACCAAGACCATTCGACTCAGCACCCCGAAGACTACAACTGGTGAAATTTTAATTTTTGCCTTAACTTCCCCTTTAACCACGAGACCGGAGGCGATGGAAACTTTTGCCAACCTCTGCCGATAGCGCCCCCCCCCCCCCCCCCCCCCAGCTAGTGAGCTGTCCAACACTGCAAATTGAGACAAGTTACTGAAGTTACTTACCGTTGCTGACGAGATTTGTGAAGAGCAAGCGACGTAATTCTAAGCGCACGGTATCCAAACCATAAGAATAAATACTACTTGTAGCACCAGCACCATTATGTGGAATGCGTGTACATGTATATGCCAGTATAAAAGCGTTTTAAAAGGGGGAGAGTTGAGAATAGCCAGTGATGTGACAGTATGTGCCAATGAACACTAATGCCGAAGAGGGCCAAAGAAGCCTAGTACACGCAGTCACCTACAATCATAGACATCTCATCTCACGCTATATAAGTACAAGTCGACAATCAACAGCCGTGTCAAAAACAGAGCACACGGATTAAAAAAATAAATACCTACGCCGATGGATACCAAGGGCTAGGGAAGTGCTACAAAAAAGAGATAAACTATATTGCTCTAAAAACTAAAAACAACATGTCAGACTGTGCAGTCTGCATGGAAGAAACAGTTCAGTGTGCTATAGGAATAGTAGATCTCCTGAAGGCCTACTGCCTGACCAGGCCCAGCCTAGTACTAGCACTTTATACTATGAAAAGCAATGAGAAACGTTCAAGCCACAGCTGATAGCGGTACGGACACACGTGTGTGTGTGCGTGTGTGTGTGTGCGCGCACGCGCGCGCGCGCGCATGCAAGCATGAGAGGGAGGGGAGGCAAGTATCAAACGGGTATTCAAGTCCAGCTTGATCAGGAACACAATATGATTGCACAGGTATATCTAATCGTAATTGCTTGTACGGGGTTAACGAGATCGTTATGTGCCACCATTTCATGGCTAAAATGTCTCGTCGTATCAACGGGAAATAGGACAGACAGGCCACTTGGTGCCTGGCTGTCGGCTGAGCACTGACGAGAACCTGGTGACATCAGCGAGAACTCGTCCACAATACACCAGCAAAAAAGGGATGGGATTTGATCTCCTCGATTCCAGAGTGGCCAGCACCTGGAACACACAAGAAGACAACATCCGCATCGGAGAACATCTTCAAACCCCGAGTTCTATTTAAAAGACAACATCCTAGGCAGGCAGGCATAGTGGGATGGTCTAAGACCATGATTGAGAAACAGAGGGTAGAGGCGACGGTTCGATACCGGAACGGCTTGACAGCCAAATTTGTATAGACCCAAACCGATCATCAGCGTTGATTGTTCACTCGAAATATGTTTGTGGAAGGAAACTGGCATGTTGAAGTTTGCTCTGAGGCCAGAGTCAATTGAACTGAGCCACTCCTTTGTGTTGACACATTGCCTCCAAGTTGCCCAATTTTTCGCTTCAAATCAGAGGTGGCTCTAAACCGGACATGTTTTAGAGTGCACTTCAAATTCACTCTGGGTCTGAAATTAGGTAATTGCTATCGCTCCACGACGGCCAGTACAGAGTAACAATAAGCCTTATGTGTGCTTCCATTAGTTTTGATCGGTATACGGTGCTTTATTGGTGAGAGGCAAGCCGCTGTTTAACTGCGACAAGAAGTTGATTTTTTGAAAGTCGTAAAACTCAAGTCGCAGTGGGAAGCAACACGTCAAAAACTCAAATGCTTGGTATGGCGCTTCTGGTCATCGCAGAGCCATGGAATTTTGGCGCTGAGTAAAACACATCGTAGTCTCACTGTGACATACGTTTTCTAATCAAAATACCAAAAGAGAAAGTGAATATTGAGACCGTTCCGGTTTGCAACCTATGTCCTATTTGAAACCGTCGCCTCTACCAGGTTCAAGTCCTGCTTGGAAGCGGAAGGATTTTCCAGCCGAGCTGCGACCGACAGCAGTGATGTGATTTTCGGTCTTTGACCACTTTCCTCTGATCTACATGTACTCACCTCCCACCGTGGTCACACTGAGGGAAATTTGGAAAAAAATCCGTGGTTACCATGGATATTTGCCGCTCAGTGGGAAATTTGAGAATTAATAATCCACTGGATGAAAATCAGCTCGAGGACCCCCTATATCAGGAGCTGCATCTGCGCCTTAGATCTTTGCAGGGTGGTGGCATTCCTACAGATGCTGAAAACTCAGGGTGCGTTTGGTTGGTATGATCAAGAGTCCATAACCCCCCAGAGTGTGCAACTCGTGATCCTTCTCAGCACAAATCAGTGCCGCAACGAAATCCAAACTTCATACGTCATGTAGTGAGTAGCTATGACGAAATGGGAAGTTTGGCCCGGACCTACTTCGCCCGTTTGCCCAATTTGGGGTCTTTCTTTACGAATCCACGGCCAGGTATTGTACGTAACACGCCTGGAAAGGCTCAAGTACACAAAGAATTATTTTAGAGTTGTCGAACAGTTTTCTCTTTTGAGTGTCTCTCCGATAAGAGAAGAACAATGGCCACTGTTGAACCTAAAGCAAAGCGCTCCCCATTGTCGCCGGAGTGCAGTGTCTCTGTGGACGATATTCGTCAGTTTTTGCTCGATCTGGGCTCCTCATTTTCTTCTCTCGACTGTCGAGGTTGAAGCACATCTACTTCGAAATCGATCGGGTCTTCATGCCGTGTGCCAAGAGCTATTTCCATCTAATCTTGTAAATCTATGTCCATGCCTATTCTTGCTATCCCGGAGTCACGAACTCTCCCAATACAAGCTTTTCAGACAACGAGCAGAGAAACTCTCTTCAAATAAAAAAAATTCTGTGACTGTGAAATCAAAGCCGTTCTGCTGACACTGCATAGCCCGTGGAGCAAACGTTTTACGTGACACTTCCGTGGCTTGCTTCAAAGCAACCTTCAACTTGGAACCCCCGCCGGATGTACCAGATATGCACATGGCCCCATCCGCCCATGCTTGCCCGGGGACCGGATGACGCAATGTTTGGATTTCGTTGCGCCAGACCCCAACCTGGAGTTGCACACTCTGGAGGGTTATGGACTCTTGGTATGATCTAGAACAGGATCGAACAGCTGGTGCACATGGAGCAGCCTCAAGCCAACCAAACGGTACTCCAGAAACAGAGCACATTTTTGTGAAAAATATGCAAAACTTGGTGCATTCTTCAAAATTTGTATGGGTCACCATGGGCACTGTGTACGGTACGACGAGTACAACCCAACAGCGTCTGCACGTGATCATTTGGGACCAAAATCGATGTTCCCGCCAGGTTTCACTGTGAAAAAGTGAAACTGCTCGGTCTGCTCCGGCCTCGAGGCCGGAGCAAGCAGAACATGTTCTGGTCGACCCAGAACATGTGCAGTCCCAACCAAACGCGCTGTTCTGGTGAATCCTGTTCTAGGTCGTACCGACCAAACGCGCCCTCAGTCTAAGGGCCCGGTCACACATGCACTCAAAAGTAGCGGATCCGTTGAAGCGACGTCGCAGGAGCAAAAAATGCAATGGCAGCGGCGAAAAGCGGAACTTCCGCTCCAGCGGTAACTCAAATCCGCTGCCTCCAAATTTTGGGAGCGGAACTCTCGCTTCTGCGGTTTCGCTTCAGGGGAAAACACCACGGTCTGCTGTATATGGACTTGCTACGAGAAATTTGAATGCGTATGATGTCCATGCAACAAAAATGCGTGCAAGATAGTCATTGACCTAGTCTATTCTCCGTACCGTATGCACCACAGTCCACTTTACTCTCATTTTCCGCCAAAGTAGGAGTTTGCCCTGTTTGTATGTGTGACCATACACGCTGGTTCCGCTGGAGCGACACCAGGCTTGTTGACGCAGAACCTCGCCGTCGAAGCGGAACCCCAGTGCATGTGTGACCGGGCCCTGACTGAGTCTCAAGCGAACTGTGACATTTTAATCCTCATCGGAGAAAATCTTCAAAACCCTAGTTTAATTTAGAAGACAACTTCTGCACCGGATACACATCTTCAAATGCCAAGTTCTATTTAGAAGCAAAGCACATCTGAAACGAGTTTTGCAGCTCGAGAGTGTGTGCTCAATCCACCTGGCTGCACAGCCTAATGGAGTAATGCACCTAATGCGAAGGCAAACAAAAAATACTGCGGGCGCACTACACGGCTTGCCGGTACATGTACTCTGCTTACGCACATCGAGAGAAGGACAAAGAAAGTGATAAAACCGTGATTCCGAGTTCCACACATAAAAAAGTCTAACAAACAGCACCAACTACAATGAATGTACATGTATTGGAATATAGAGGCAAGTTTAAAGAATTTAAGAAATCATAACTACGAGTCAGCAGAATATCGGAACCGCCTATGGGCGCTATGTATACGAATACCAGGTAGGGATCTCAGGGCGTGCAATGCGCAGGGTGTTTGCGCATACATGTACATTGCGTCATCGAGTTTTGAGTGCAGCTCGCGGACACAGCTGTAAAATGGCGACGGCCGGTTCTCGACACTAGCGGAAGCGGTCGACAATAGCGGAATCGTCATCTTCATCGTCGTTCGAACATACTTTGTGATTCCCGCCAAAGGACAGTGTGGCCAAGGCGATATCGCCCCGGTCGGTTTTCCTATAATTTGCCATGCAGCAAGAACCCACTTCAGAGAAGATGCAGTGAAAAATTCAGACTTTTTCTCCGGTTAGATTATTATCCTAACTTCGATTTTCAGTGCATCAGCCATCATGAACATCGCCGCATGAACGTCGCCGCCATTATCACTCAGAGAGAAGACATCACTCTCAGAAGAAGAGGTGTTCACGCTGCGTCCAAGAGTGAAATATGTGCTCTTTGACCCTCCATAGTTCCTCTGAGAGTGTCAGAGAGATAGGTAGCTTGGAGATGGCCGTAGAACGTGCTTTCCTGGACGCAACATTCAGCCATTTCTACTGTCTTCTTCAACTTGATTTATTTCGAAAAATGTTCTTTTCACGGTTTCTGCACTTGACGCAGGGATCGAAAATCTCACTTGCGCGAACTGGCTGCGCAGTTCACGCGCTGAGATCCCTAATACAGAATGAGTCGCTAGTGACCTTTCCAAAGATCGTTTTTTTGTGACGGATTTAATGTAGTGACTTTTTACCCCATCGACGGTAATGCCTTTCTTTCCAATTTTTCCAAACATGGACACCCTACACCATCGCCACCAACACAAGTGGTCTTTTCCTTGTTCACTTTCACATTTCCAAGTCCACAAACCAGTTCTCTGCTACTTGATATACAGTGAAACCTGTCTAAGGCGAGCACTCAAGGGACGAGAAAAAGTGGTCGCCTTGGCCAGGCGGTCTTCTTATCCAGGTTCAGCGGGTCACGTGAACATATTCAATATACATGTACATGTGACATATCATTTTGATCAGTTCATCACACTGCACACACCTATGCTATTCCTCACGACTCATGTGCGCCTCAGTGTCAGACCTGTCAGTGTCGTGCATGACACGCCATGTGCTTCTACACTTCCTGCGCTGATGTGTAGATCATGCGTGGTGCACAGACTCAGACTCAGTGCAATGCATGTACATTGTACATGTACTAGTAGGGTGAAACGTGGTCGCGGGTGGGTGGTCGTTGGTCGCGTTGAGCAAGTGGTCGCCTCATCCGAGCTGTTTCGAATGTGAATGCGTCCGTGACAAGGAAAAGTAGTCGCCATGGTCGAGTGGTCGCCATTACAGGTTTTACTGTATGTGCAAATATAGCAGAAGGGCTAACTTACCCAGACGTTCTTTGGCTGACGGCTGTAAGAGCTGCACATGCACACACAAACAAAAACACACACACGAACAAACAAAAAAACACACGAACAAACGAACAAACAAACACACCAACAAACACACACACACATACATGATTGTATATATGGACAGACATACATGCAAGACAGCACACAGACAGAGGGAGGAAAACAAGACAACGATATCCAGAGAAAATGCTTTACAGAGGCCAGAGAAGCACTAGCAGGAAAAAGGCAGATGCTGGGAGCGTAAAAACGGACACAGTGCAATACGCGTTGTGTACAAGCACCGGTATCAGTGATGTGAAAAGTCTTACATTTTGTAGAAGAGAGGATGCTTGGAAGGACAGGTGCACTGGTAGATATAAACAGCTGTGTGACGAAACGCCGGCTGGATGACACGAGAGTAGGGTCTGAACAATCGCATTGCCACACACACACAGACACACACACACACACATGTACACACGTGCACACATGTACACACGCACACACGAACACATGCACACACATGCACACACGCACACACAGACATGCTGTCAGATGTGAGAACAGGTACAGTATGCGCACAGACATGCATGCGCACGCACACACATACGCAAACAGACACACAGACACAGACCTTTTGATGCCCATCGCCGGAGGCGATGATAGCAATGCTACGGCAGAAGCCATAGCAACTTGTGCTGGGATTGCACCATTCAACAGCTTGCAAGGCTGAAGAATTGACCGTCACTATTCAGCCTGGTCTACACCATACAGCTATTTGAAGTGACTTTTTCTGGCCAGTGAATCCCTATTTTGGGTCTTTTGTTTCTTTTTTTCCCCCGCACACACATCACACCAAGAGTAAATGAAAACCAGAGTGTGCAGCTCGGATGGGTTGCTGTCACGGCGGAATTCCGTGATAACATCATTTTAGTGATGTAGTGTGTACAAGCAGGATTCAAGCAGGTCTCTTTCTGCACAACTGCAGCTCAGTTGTACGCACTACGCCATTTCCCACCTCAGATCTGCACCAAATATGATGTAATCACGGAATTCCGCCGTGACAGACACCCATAGCAGAAAAGGCCCCAAGCTGCACACTCTGGTTTTCACGTACTCTTGATCACACCACATACTCCGGCATGCACTGGCTGTTGGTAACTACCCAGGAGAATGAAAGAAAAGTCAGGAAGAGCCTGAGAAAGAGAAGAAAGACGTGTGTGACCATAATCGTCGGGAATCGAACCCGCAACCTATCGATTGGAAATCGCTGCACATACCACTGCACCATATGGGACACACAGACACACACACACACACACACACACACACACAAGGAACACACAAGGACATGCATCAAGGAGAGGTGTGTGGTCACCGGGATTTCAGAGGAGCTGAAGCCTCCCCAGCGATATGGCACCTTACCTGGCCAGTTAACAGTTCGTAGAGTATGGCACCAAGGCTCCACCAGTCGGCTGCTTCTGTTGCCGCATCTAGACCATTCAGTTCTAGAAAGAAGACGGAATAAAGACAGAGTACACACAGCAGAACATTGCACGACCAGAACAAAACCTGAGCGGGTATTGAACTAAAAGGGCAAGCTATACACAAGCACGGATGGGCTGTTGTGAACATGCTGTGCACCAGATTGGCATGAGGGAACCCCAGGAACAGGCACCACGACCTGCTTATTCTTAGGGCACACTGGTCAGAAACACATTACCGGCTGATTTAGGATCGGAGTTTTAGCCTACGGCCAGTAAGGGTATCTTTGTGTGGTCTCTTCCGGAGCACATGCCACTTTTCGAAAGCTGTGGGCTGAGGTGTTTGGCCTGAATGCTGCACTTTAAAAAAAGAAGGGTTTTGCTACAGTGTGTTTTCCGGGCACAACCAGCGCTTCTAACACAGTACCCCAGCACTTCTGCATGTACGCAGCATGTGTTGAATGGAAGGAATAGAGAGCAAAAAGAAAAAAATCCTACAAACATGAACATTCCTAAGTTTGAGGCAGTTGACTTGGGAAAGGGAACGTTAACAGGAAAGTGAACACCCAAAAAAAAAAGCTTATCCGGCCCTCTTCTCGGAAGAAGTCAGAAGAGACATACCGGTATCAATTCATATGAGCCCATCCACATACTGTTCTAAGAAAAAGAGCATTGCCTCAACAGAAAGGGCCTGCGCGAAGACTCTCTTCATCAACAGAAATCAAAATTTGAAATGAAGGCCAGAGATCATTATTCTTTCTGCATGGATTGTAGTCCAGGCTATACCAATGACGGCAATGAGTAGAATGAGTAGAGCGTACAGCACACCACTACCTGCCACCACTGTGTAGAGCGTACAGCACACCACTACCTGCCACCACTGTGTAGAGCGTACAGCACACCACTACCTGCCACCACTGTGTAGAGCGTACAGCATACCACTACCTGCCACCACTGTGTAGAACGTACAGCACACCACTACCTGCCACCACTGTGTAGAGCGTACAGCACACCACTACCTGCCACCACTGTGTAGAGCGTACTGTGTAGAGCGTACAGCACACCACTACCTGCCACCACTGTGTAGAGCGTACAGCACACCACTACCTGCCACCACTGTGTAGGGCGTACAGCACACCACTACCTGCCACCACTGTGTAGAGCGTACAGCACACCACTACCTGCCACCACTGTGTAGAGCGTACAGCACACCACTACCTGCCACCACTGTGTAGAGCGTACAGCACACCACTACCTGCCACCACTGTGTAGAGCGTACAGCACACCACTACCTGCCACCACTGTGTAGAGCGTACAGCACACCACTACCTGTCACCACTGTGTAGAGCGTACAGCACACCACTATCTGCCACTACTGTGTAGAGAGTACAGCACACCACTACCTGTCACCACTGTGTAGAGCGTACAGCACACCACTACCTGCCACCACTGTGTAGAGCGTACAGCACCCCACTACCTGCCACCACTGTGTAGAGCGTACAGCACACCACTACCTGCCACCACTGTGTAGAGCGCACAGCACACCACTACCTGCCACCACTGTGTAGAGCGCACAGCACACCACTACCTGCCACCACTGTGTAGAGCGTACAGCACACCACTACCTGCCACCACTGTGTAGAGTGCAGAGCACACCACTACCTGCCACCACTGTGTAGAGCGTACAGCACACCACTACCTGCCACCACTGTGTAGAGCGCATAGCACACCACTACCTGCCACCACTGTGTAGAGCGCACAGCACACCACTACCTGCCACCACTGTGTAGAGCGTACAGCACACCACTACCTGCCACCACTGTGTAGAGCGTACAGCAGACCACTACCTGCCACCACTGTGTCCAATGTATCAATGCAGTGCAAGAGAAGTGAACCACAACCATAGAAGGCTGCTGCCAGTACGGTAATGTCTATGTGGGCTCTTTTACCTAGTTTTTTCTTCTTTCCTTTTTTGTGTTCCAATTGATTTTACTATTTTATTTTGTGTCCGATTTACTAGCATTTAAATTGATTTTTGCATTTCAAGTAGTTTATTGAATTTGAATTTGTTTGATGATATTGTGCCATTCATTTTGCCCGTACAAGAGGCTTTGCCATAGAAGGTAGTGTGCACCTCTTTACCATAGAAGGTAGCATGCACCTCTTACCTGGAGCGGTGTACAGATTCTCCCGAGCCCACAGGCTGAACTGCGGATCCACGTTCTCCCAATAACCGTTGTACGTCAGTAGAACGTCATCTACAAGTTACATCAACAAGCAGGTGGAGGAAAACACCAGTCAACCATTAAAATGTCCCGTGAAAACATCCATTCAAGACCAAAGCACTGAATGCAGTTACTGAAGTAGGTAGGATACCTTAGATCTAAGCTGGATCCAGTTTTTCCAAAACTGACAGCTCCAGCCAATCCTCCAAACACAACACTATTTTATTTTAAGCGAAAGCTACTGGCAAGTATTTCTCTGATATACATGTAGAACTTGAAAACACCGCCATTTCGGCAGCAGGCTCTCAGCTGCACCAAATAAATAACTTTGCCAATATTTCGCCCATCGGGCATCATCAGGGCATTGAGGAAGGGAAGCCAAATTACGAAATATAAAGACGAATAATGCAGGCAGATGAATGTTCTAGAACTAACACATCGTGGTGACACAATAGATGACTTGCACAAAGATTGTCTGGGTTCGAGACGGGGCAAGTGGACCTTCTGACTCTGACTTCCCCACCTTTTGAGTTCGTGACTTTGGCTTTTTGCCTGACGAACACTGAGCTAGTTTTTTGGCTAGAGTCGTAGAGTAGAGTTGTTTTGATTCGGCTTGTATCGTCATGCCGGAGCGCCGCTGCGCTCCTGAATGCACTAGCAGACGTTAGATGGAACTGAGGCTCCCATTCCATACGTTCCTTGCTGAGCCGGCCGGCCGGGAGGCAGAAAAATGAGGGAATATTATTTTAGTATCATTGGTGTAGGCTGCAACAAGCACATCGTGGTCCTGAAGTGTGACTACTTTCCCGCAGTGGAAGCGAAGTCAAGCACAACGAAAGTTTGTGGACGTCTGAGAAAGAACTCGATTCCCTTTGATTCGGCTGCACTAGCTCCATAGCGACCCTCTCCTGAGGACAGACTGCGGAGAGGCCAGGAACCTGCCGAGTCACGAGTGAAAGCCCAAACCACGAAAATGAAGGGTGGAAGGACTGAGTGTGAGAGCCAGATGGCCTTTACTAGTACTTCAAGTAGTATCTGAGTTGAAGGAGAGAACAAGTGTGCTGGAGAAACGCTGCGAAGTCCTCAGGCCTGATGTGTACTAGCTACTGTTGAAGTCTCACTTGTTCCGATATGAACATTTCATCAGCCCTGACTCTGAGCAGCTGTATCTAGACTTGGACTTAGACCAGAGACATAGCATTGTAAACCTTACTGAAGCCATATGTATCCAATGCCTGGCTCTAGTGAGAAAGCAGTTTTGCGCAGGCTCGCAAACTATGATTGAATCAGGGAGTGGTGGAAAGTCACATTATACCTCTCCATGACTAGCTGGTAATGACGACGATGCGGCTCTGGCTGGGTCTCATGGGAAAGTAACTTGCATACCTGTTTAGTTGCAACGAGGCAACGGTACCCCATGTACTGAAGACATGATTGAACTACATTTTATCTCCTGGGAGAAGGTGGAACAAATAATGCCAGAGTGTGTCTGATACACATCACAGTCTGCTGAGTGTGTTCATTATTGTGGACGTAACAGAACTGCGCTGCGAGGTACCTTCTGCGTTGGACCCACAGTTGAGCCACTACTCTTCTTACAAATTCAATACAACGGTGAAAGGATTTGTTGGAGCATCATCAAACAGTGCATTCACCTTCATCATACATTGGCTCCGTTGCCTACAGTAGTTCACATTTTGACGGGGCGCGCTGGGACGATGCGGAAGGAGCGGCGGGAACCATTGGAGTGCTCATGATGCTGGTTAGCGGAGCCGGATGTGAGTGTCAGGAACGGGAACGCAACTGCACTACTGTACAGATCAGGAAGTGATGGAAGAGTTGAATCTGTTCAACCTTCCATGCCGTGTACAGGGACACAAGCGTAAAAAATGGCTACATTTCGAATGTCAACTGGCGATGGCATTGTGTGGCGACGAACACAACTGCAACTGTTCAAATTTCAGCATTTCGAACATTACGCTTCCCATGATAACTCACTGAATGGCTCACATGACAGAGTTGGACATTATCAGGCTTGGATTATCATTTGCTGTATGGATAGTCCTTGAGTTTTCAGATGAAGTGCTTTATCTTTTACCTGTCGTTCCTTTAGAATGGCACAATGTCCATGGCTGCTTTCTTGTCTTCATAACAGACTGGTATAATCAGCATGATTCTGCTTTATTTGAGAAGAAATAAAACTTTCCTTTCGGAAAGGAAGCCCAGAAATGTCAACCCCCATGGGCTGTGCTGTATGACTCTCGTCCATCGACGTTAACTGTCGCAATAACTGCTGCATGTATGTTGTGCTGTGCGAACCGTACACGATTTTACAGCTCACCCACGCCTTCCCAACAGGCTCCTATATCCCGTACCGTTAGCGTTACATTGAATATGAACTAGGCTAGCACAGTTATCCTTCGTTCTTTTGATGGCGGCGGGTAGCATGGAGCATGACGTGTTCTTGGGATTCTCGTGCAACACTTGCTGCTCCCGGATGCCATATTATTGGGTGCATCGAGGTTGCTGCTATGCTCACTGTTGTTTGGTAAGCCAATTTTTATTAGTGTTGAAACGAATAATCGAATAATCGAATAATTTAGAATATTCGTGGGGTGAACGAATAATCGAATAGTCGTAGGAATTATCAGAAATCGAAAAAAAAAAAAGAAAAAAAAAAAAAAAAAAAAAAAAAAAAAAAAAAAAAACGATCTATGCCCAGTGCTGACCCTAGTGATATTTGCACTGCGTAGATCTGCTCGTAGTATTTCTTCTCAATCACTTCTCCTCCAAGGTTTAATCTCCTATCGGTATCTAGTAATACATGTACTTCTGTTCTTTCCATACGAGGGAAACATGGATGCAGTGAATGTGATTTTCGGTCTTTGACCACTTTCGACCAAGACCCTATGCAGAGCTGGATCAGGCGTTGCACACTCTGGGGGTTATGTACTTTTGGCGGTACAGGTTAACCGGTTTTGCACCTCCACATAACAAAATCCGATAATCAGCAAAAAAATTATTTAAAAAACTACTTAAAAAGTGCTGAAAAAGTGTTGAAAAATGCCATCATGCGTATGATAGAATATAGATTATTCGTTCGATGGAGGGCGAAATTATTCGATAGATTATTCGTTCGAAGAATCCGTGTTCGGTTTAAACACTAATTTTTATATAACTATTTCACCGAAGAATAAGGCAAGAGTATTTTGGGTTGGTTTGGACGCCTGGCTTCTCTTCACATAATATACACTCATGTACTTCCACTAACCCTACAAGTGCACAATCATGCATGACTCATGAGCTGCTGAAGACAGTGCACACTAGTGACGGTACTGATCATGTACATGTACATGCCGTGCACCGTTCATTCACGCTGACAAAAAAGTACACTACAGATGGTGTAGGGGGCCCGCAGTGTAGCCTGGGTGCACAGGGTGCACTTGCCCCGTCTCACTCGCGGCTCGGATCTTTGTGCAAGTCATCTATTGGCAAGGCCAGCAAACTAAACAATCATCACTTGTAAGGTGACCTAAACAAAACGAAAGATGAGAAAACTCACACCTACACACAGACACAATTTGGCAAGAAAACTAACACTAGCACTAACACTAAAGTATACAATCATCACCTGTAAGGTGACCTAAACAGAAGAAAGAAGACTAGTAAGACTATCACAGCACGTACAAGAACACTTTCAAGTGTGGGAATGCTTAAGGCGATCTATGTATATGACAGTGGTGTATGTGCAAAGTATGTGTATGTGCTGTGTCAGGTGGTAAAGTCCAGTGGTAGTTCGAGGAGATGGGTGTCGATTCCAGTGACGATCCGGTGACATCCAATCAGTCAATTAGGCGCCAGCCGTCATCGCAATTGACTGCTGGTTTGCGCTTCCTTATCTCGATAGCTTCAAGCAGTTTCCTTGATGGTAGCGAAGCCTCCCTGCCGAGAATCTTTGCCTGGTGGAAGGGCAGACAGTTGGAAGACTTTGAAGATTCTCGATGCTGGGTACGATAGTGGAAGCCCCAGGGAGCCTTCGCCACCATCGCCCTTGCCTCTCGGTAGTGCTCAGCGAATCGGTCCCTCACCGGCCGCTCGGTCTCACCAACGTACAATTCCGCACACAACGTGCAAGACATACAATAGACAACACATTTGACTAAACACTGACTATTCACCATACTCGCATCACATGCACGACACTCCATTGGTCGACCTCTCCCTCTCTTCACCTCCGATCGCTGCTTCTCACGGGGACACACACGTACAGCACTCGACGATCGGACCAACATATCCTTCAAAGAAGGACCAGACACAAAGACAACACGAACATGCATACTGAACTTTCAAACACGTCGTGAGACACGAGCGGCAAGTGAGTCGTTGATGAAGGGCAGTTTGATGACTGACTTGAATTGGTTGTGTCTGCGCTTGCTGTCACGCTGCTGTTGTTGAGACGGGTGTGTATCTTGTCTCTTCCCCTTGGCTGCTCGTCGTGCTGCGTTTATCTCGGTGCGTGGATAGTCATTTCTCTCGAGCAACTCTTCAATTATGGACATGCTCCTGTCTTCCGCTTCCGGTGTTGACGAGTTACGGATAGCTCGAGAGAATTGGTTCGTTGCAACAGCTCTTTTACACGACCAGGGGAGACATGATTCATAAGACAGGTGGACACCACTGTGGGAAGGCTTAACATAGAGCTCCCACTCTATGCTGTTTCCACGCACAGACAGCGCTAGATCTAGGAAGTTCACTGACTGAGTTTCGTTGACCGAGTGTTCCATTGTGAATTTGATAGTAGTGTGCTGTCCGTTGAAGTGATCTAGGAGTGCTGTTAAACCTTTCCAGCCATGTCTCCACAGTACAGTAGTAAGCAGTCGTCGATATATCGCTTGTAGAGATCTGGCTTCACTGTAGCTGTCGAGAGAGCCTTCTGCTCAAGCACATCCATGAAGAGGATGGCCAGCGGAGGTGCCAGATGGTTCCTCATCGCAATTCCACGCTTCTGACGGTACTGTTTACTATTGAACTCGAAGTAGTTGCTTGACAGAACATACTGCAACATCAGCTGTACATCCGCAACCGTCAATCCAAGCATGTCGACATCATTTGTATGCTGCTCTAGCTTGGTAGTAGCGGCCGAAATGCTCTGATCTATAGGAATGTTCGAATAGAGGCCCACTACATCGAATGAAGCGATGATGCAGCCATCCGGGACCTGGCGATGCCTCTTGATGTCTTCAATGCAGGCTTCGGTGCTATCTAGATGAGCAGGTACGAACATAAGGAGCTGATTCAGTATCCTTTCAACAATCAACGAAAGGTTACTTGTAGGACAGTCGCAAGAACTGACCACGGGACGCAATGGCAATCCTGCCTTATGGTCTTTGGGGAGACCGTAAAACCTTGGCATCCGCGAGTGCCTCGGTTTGATTGCCTTCTCCAGTTTCTCCGGGAGCTTGTTCTTCAGATGAGTGTCGACAAAACGTCTTGTCTCCTCATCCAGTTTGTCCACCGCCATGGCCACCTTCTCATAGTCAGCTTCTTGGTCCAGCATGGCTTCGGCTTTCTCATCATATTGTGTACTGGGTAACAAGACGAATTCCTTTCCCTTGTCTGACGGCTTTATGACAACACTATGTTTTCCCCTAAGCTGTTGAATCTCATCTTTCTCTTCTTGCAAAGATTCTCGGCAGGGAGGCTTTGCTACCATCAAGGAAACTGCTTGAAGCTATCGAGATAAGGAAGCGCAAACCAGCAGTCAATTGCGATGACGGCTGGCGCCTAATTGACTGATTGGATGTCACCGGATCGTCACTGGAATCGACACCCATCTCCTTGAACTACCACTGGACTTTACCACCTGACACAGCACATACACATACTTTGCACATACACCGCTGTCATATACATAGATCGCCTTTAGCATTCCCACACTTGAAAGTGTTCTTGTACGTGCTGTGATAGTCTTACTAGTCTTCTTTCTTCTGTTTAGGTCACCTTACAGGTGATGATTGTATACTTTAGTGTTAGTGCTAGTGTTAGTTTTCTTGCCAAATTGTGTCTGTGTGTAGGTGTGAGTTTTCTCATCTTTCGTTTTGTTTAGGTCACCTTACAAGTGATGATTGTTTAGTTTGCTGGCCTTGCCAATTGTGTCACCACGATGTGTTAGTTCTAGAACATTCATCTGCCTGCATTATTCGTCTTTATATTTCGTAATTTGGCCTCCCCTTCCTCAATGCCCTGATGATGCCCAATGGGCGAAATATTGGCAAAGTTATTTATTTGGTGCAGCTGAGAGCCTGTTGCCGGAAAGGCGGTGTTTTTTGAAGTGCAAGGAATACGCTGCAATGGAGTTTAGGAATTCTGAAGAAAAATACATGTAGAAGCCCAAAAATGAATTACATGTACAAATTGTACACGCATTTCAAAGTGCACACCATGGGGAGGGGGTATTATACATCACCTCAATGGTGGGTGTCACAGTAAGCAAGAATTTAACCGCCCCCCCCCCCCCCCCCCCCCCAACACACACACACCCAAATAATTATATGACCGTGCGAACTCAGCGTCATGAACCGCACCTTGTTCGTCCAGCAAGAGATTCCTGGGTTGCAGATCCCTGTGTCAGTGTTGGCAAATAAACACAGAACAGCAAACACAAAGCGCCCAGCTTGGATAACACACTACTGTCTACACATGACCCGACTCCCTTCAGCATTTTAAAAGGGAATTGTGTGTCGCTCCTTGCGTGGGAGCTCGAGCTTTTCCTGCCGACTGGAATCGCACAAGAAAGCAGGGAGTGGTGCTTTCTTGCAGGTTTGCCGAGTGGAAGGTTCGATGGACTTACCGTGTGCTCCGGATGGCAGTCGCGAGTCAGTCCAGTGAGATTCAAGTCGGCAGGAAAAGCACGAGCTCCCACGTAGGGAGCGACACACAATCCCCTAAGTATCGCCAAAGTCGCAACAACCTCTTCTTCTCTTCAGCATTGACTGATGAACTTCAAGTACTAGTAGAGTGGAAACTGAACTGGGCCACAGTGCATAGAAACCAACCAGTCTTTGCAAGCTAGATCAATACCAATACTCATTGCTGCATACTGCTAGATCAATACCAAATTAATTATCAACACCCATTCGCAGTTTAGACTCGGATGGAGAACCAAGGATAAAAATTACATAGGGAAGACCAAACGTTAAGAAGTAAGTTGTCCGTAGTTGTACCTTCAGTTGTTGTCCAACGTCAGTGTCAATTGTCAGTATTGTGCTAACTGTAGGGACCTTTCGCATTTGCTACGAATCGAATGCGAAACGAAAGTTTGATTCGGGTCGTAATCGTTTCGTTGAAAACGATTCAGGTCTCGCAGGTCGTCATGCAAATGTGCATGGCAACTACGAATACGGCCAGTAGCTTGGTGTACGGGTGTTTACACGCACACGTGCATGGATCATGGAATCAAGGGAAAAATGTGTACCTGGCAAAACACGTGTACCTGACCAAATAAATGTGTACCTGACGGATTCGGAGTGTGCCACGAATGAAGAGGCTTCCATTCGTGAAAACGAACTCTCCGCAGGGACTCTGACGAATCCTCGAACCCAGGTGACCAATCAGCATTCGTTTCGTATCCGTACACGTGGTGCGAAAGGTCCCTTGTTGCGCGATCTGACCCACCAATATCGTGGTTACTAGTATGCTATAAAATTGTAGTGTTGGAAAACTACAGATAACTTGTGACCCTGCGGTCTTCCCTATCTAACCCATTGCAGAGTACAGCTACATTGACATTGTAGATCAATGCTAACATTGATCGCAGGGGACTGCCAGATCATCGGTAGAAAGTTGCACCAACACTGACTCACTTCCACACAAAGCCGTGACGGTGCAAGTGATGAAGGGCGGACACAATCTGCGCTGCCCACCGTCGCACACGACTTTCCGGCACAGTGCTACAAGTCACCGGTGCCTTGCAGCCCGGCGAAAGCGCGCCCTGCGGCTTCGATTCTGTCCCTGCTTCATCGCTCTCGCAGATACTGTTGCTCTCTTGTTCAGGCGGGGAGCTGTCTTCTGCCTCATTCGCCTTGTAGAAGCGTTCCAGAGCGCTCCACAAGGCACCACGCTGCGCATACTCGAGTAGGAGAAACAGTCGATTGGGAGTGTCGAAATGGCCAACCGGCCTCACCATGTATGGACATAATGTCTGTAAGGTCAACAAGAAGAGAAGATCACAATGATATGTAAGATAAACATCACATACCCACGCTGCCCTAGTGTAAGTGATCACACAGTTGCAATTGCCAGCACATCCACACGGTACTGGCGCATACTTCAAAGGAGAGAGAGAGAGAGAGAGAGAGAGAGAGAGAGAGAGAGAGAGAGAGAGAGAGAGAGAGAGAGAGAGAGAGAGAGAGAAAGAGAGAGGAGAGAGAGAGCATTTACTTCAAAGAATACTGACTCTACATGTACCAGATGGATGCTGCAAAGGAGCAGGAAACGCATATGGCTGTGTAGGATTTACAACGTCATGGCATGGCAAGCTAACATCAAAATTAACAACAAAATACAAAACCACCATGGAAGTAGTATGGCATGTCAGACATAAGACTCCTTACTGCACCAGCAGCGTGACACAACGTGAGTGAAGTAATACAAGCATAATACAATGTACATATCCACTGGCACACTGTGCCCTACAAGTGGACACCCAGCCCATATTGTCTTTGCTACGCACTCACATTCATAAGATTGCGACTTTTAACTCGGCGACTCCTTTTGCCGCTTGGCTGTGCGGGCTGCACAGTTTTGTTCAACGTCTGCAAGACATCGGCAACATGAACAAGGAATATAACGTGAGAAAACATTACAGCAATTTTGCGAGCACGTGCACGCACACACACTACCTTGACGATGACCGAGTACAAGCAATGCTACGCAGTCCAAATACGATTGGGTGCGGAACAATATAACAGCATACGTTGGCCCGTGTGCTGCTTGACTGTACCATGGCAAGGACATTGGCGAGTAGGTTGGCAGACTAGGAGCCACGGAGTGCAAGTTGCCAGGGAAGTTTGCGTCATTTTCGGTATGATACAAGTGAGACCATTCAAAGGTGGGATGCTGACGAACACATCGGAGAGTGTGCAGTCAATACCACGATAGAAAATAGTATTCGCTCTATTCAAGTGTGTATTCGTAGAACTGGCATTCAATTTGCTATTCCTTGATGAAGGTGAGCTTTTACTTTAATATAGGGCTGAAACAATTTTACCGAATACTCGAGTACTCGCTCGGTTTTTTCAGAAATAATCGTACTCGGAATAAATCAGAGTACTCGTTCATGCATGGTACTGTACAGTCATGCGTTTACCACAGAAATCTGCAGTTTCAGTGCAGCAGTCGGCAGATATTGATGTGCAGACTGTGTGGTGAACATTTGTTCACGAGTAGAGAGATCCCAAATGACCCACCAACCAATATACCAGAGAAAAATGACTGCCACTCGGTTCAATCAGGGTTGTATCATGTGATTTTAAGGCCCTCGGTGTGAAATTTTTAGGAGATGAAGAGTACTCGAATACTCGAATATTCGATCGGAGAAAATCAGAGTACTCGAACTCGGGATCTCAATGCCAATAATAATAAACATTACCACTTACCTTAATGACATACACATCTTGAGTGTGGCAGTTCTGGGCTAATAGCAGCTGTTCAAAATACAGCATAAGAAAATTACACCACTCACTGCCATCAGCAGCAGCAACAGTAGACTTGTAGAGTCACAGATTAACAGACAGCCACACACAGACCATCACACATACACACCGCCACCACCACTGCCACACACACATACACAAACAGACAGCCACAAAGATGTCCCCCCCTCCTCTGCCTCTCATACCCTTACAGTACCACCAGCTAGAGTTGTGCAGGGTGAAACCAAACCTGGGTGCAAAGCTGGCACTCTGAAACAGTTCCAATGACATCATTGTATTTGTAGTAGAGTACATAGCCTACTCACCTGTGCATACATAGCACCTTGTACACAGAAATAGATAGATAGAAAGAGAAAGAGAGAGAGAGAGAGAGAGAGAGAGAGAGAGAGAGAGAGAGAGAGAGAGAGAGAGAGAGAGGAGAGAGAGAGAGAGAGAGAGGCTGAAACTACACGCTACATGCCTTTGTAGCAGCACCCGCATAACTTCCAGGGTACCAAGGGACGTGCAAATCCTGGGTGCCAAGCATACACTTTGGATGTGATTTCACCTGGCATAACTGCACATCCAATGAACATACCGTATTTTACCGGTTGTAAGTCGACCCCGGTTATAGGTCGACCCCCATATCCGGAGGTCTCAATTCTGCGTTTTAAAGTTTCCACCCAACGAAGCACTACTAACCACTCCCTGCTACTAACACATCAACAAATCATGTAAACATTCCTTATTGGAGAGTATAACTTCCCAATCCTTGAAAAGGCCAATAAACTGGCAAAAATGTGTACACATGGTGCTCTCGTGCATGCAGTGCAGGTCATTTTTTGTAAGATTCTGATAGTTCCCGGTTATAAGTCGAATCCCGGTTGTAAGTCGACCCCCACCCTTTCTCCTATTTTTAGTCGTAAAAGGTCGACTTACAACCGGAAAAATACGGTACCCGTAATGTCGCGTATAAAAGCCGGGCTTATTCCTGTAGACGCCGATGTAAGGGCTAGGCTTCTATTCACATCAGGCTTCTATACAAACCAGGTATTTCTATGTGTATCAACACTAAAACCAGGCTTATGTGCCGACAGTATATCTTGAAAATCAGGCTTGTATTCAAAACAGGCTTCTATATGAGATAGGCTTTAATACAAGACACTACGGCAACCCACCGTGGCACATTCTACCAGCAGCAACTACTCGCAAGCCACCAGACCCGAGCGTCAAAACGCTTACTAGTGCATAACATACTGTGGAGGTAGGATGATAAATATGTTCTACATTCGCAACTCACCGTTCCCAGAGGTCGAATAACAGTAAAGTCCTTCAGTTGTAGTGAGGGAACATGATGCGCTGCACTAGGCTGTGCCACAGGAACAGCAGATGCTGATGGTGACGAGTGACGGGGAGTACCCTGGCATTGGGAAACAAGACCAAACGGCACACCAATCTATTGGTGAAGGCTACCCTAAGCAGTCTATCTGACACACCAGTAGCAGCATGGCGACCGGGACATGCGCTTTTAACAACGCAGCAGCATGGCCCTATGCAAGGTGGCATATCTACTTACCTGCCACCTGTCCTTGTTCGTTCCGGCGCCGTTTTTCAGGTAGCGGTGATGCAGTGTTTCAGCTCGTTGAAGGTACTGGGCAGTTTTGCGCCGCACAGCATCACGGCGCAGAGCATTCCCATCAGCTGCACACAATGATCAATACACAATAGCAACAATCTCCATAAATGTTAGAGGATGCAGAAAAAAAAGAATCTTGCCACGAAAATAAAAAAAAAACCGGACCAACCCCTTGCCTGCACACAGATCATAAGTAATTGATGGCGTTTCTGTAACTTTCTGTCTGTCTGTCTCCCCCTCCCTCCCTCCCTTCTCTCCGCCCGAATTGCAATGGATGAATTTTCAGTTTGTCGGTAACTGCCCGCAACCCAAACCATTGTAACATGAAGTTCATTGGCCAGTATTGTACATGGCACAGTACATGGCACAGTGTACTCATCACATGCATAGTTCTATCGCATCAAGTACTCAAAGCAGATTGTGTAATATGATGTGTGTGTGTGTGTGTGTGTGTGTGTGTGTGTGTGTGTGTGTGTGTGTGTGTGTGTGTGTGTGTGTGTGTGTGTGTGTGTGTGTGCTGTGTGTGTGTGTGCGTGCGTGTGTGTGCTGTGTGCTGTGTGCTGTGTGCTGTGTGTGTGTGTGCGTGCGTGTGTGTGTGTGTGAACATGCCAAGCACATAACAAACTTACTCTGCACGCCACTGAGCAACAGTCCAACGCCGGACTTGTACAGGCTAAACGCCAGGCCAAAGTCACAGGCGGCTTCCGCTTCTAGCGCCTTGCCTATGACGGCAGCCGATTGCAGCACGTAGTCTCCGTCGCCGCTCAGTTCAAGGTTGGAGATGCTATCGATGGAAGTAGACCGCTCCTGTCGGTATGTTGCAGCAGTGAGATGAGAAGTCGATGGTGTGGTGTTACTCAGCTCAGCCACAGGATGTACGCGATCGTTAGAAGACGGTGATCCTCCAGTGGAGTCTGCAGTCCCTGATGAAGCCACTATTCCCGGCTGCTGTGACGTAGGCGGCAACGCGGGATTAGGAGAGTTGCCATCTCCTAGACGTCGTTCAATATCGTCCCAAGATGCTGCCACGACGTCTTTAAACCAGCCGCCAGCTTGGTTGCCAGGACTGGCGTAAATACGAGCTACCGGACGGTTGGGGGACAGGCCTAGCGATGGTGATGCCGGTTCAGATGGAGAATGCGGCTCAGATATACTCTGTGGAGTTGCCAATCCTGATGGCAGGTCGTCTGCTCCTGCAGCTTGGTCATCGGCTGCCGTGCTTTCTGGATCTTCACCGCGTTCAAGCTGATCGTCTATCATACTGAGATCAGCTAGTAATGCGGACGACCCATCACCACCGCATTCGTCCTCCTCTGCCTCCACAGTGCCACCGGAACACTGCGGTATGGCTTCGCCGTCATCTTCAGTACCTGCGTGGGTGCCGAGTGATGATTCCGTGTCACTGACCTCACTAACACGAGCACCACTGGTAGGTGGAACAATATCAGCATCAGCATCAGCAGTGGCATCACTGGTCATATCCAGTACTGGAGACGCACACTTGTGCTCCCAGATGCTCGTCTTTTCATCGGGTTCTCCAGCTGCAGCGGCAGTGATGTCGCTGCTGGTTGGTTTCGCTGGCATTGCAACCCGTGCACTGTCAGTCACGTCCGCAGAGCAACGATCAAGACTACCGGATAAGGTATGTTCCGTCCCGCCACTTCCAACCGCACCGTTGGTTACTGGTGCTGAAAGATCAGGAAGTTGTGATCCAATGTCGTCAATAGTCAAAGCAGCAGTGCTTGCGCTTCTGGTAAGATCGTTCGTATCCGGCACAGATACTTGGTCGTTGCCACCGTCACAGACCGGAGCAATGGACGGCTGAAAACGAGCCTCTTCGGTCAGAGCAAGCGGCTCATCGGCGGCAGTGCCATTGACGATTGCCTCCCAGGAGCTCTTGGATATCTCCCCCGTGTGCTGCAAGAACATCAACAAGAAGGGCGGGGGGGGGGGGGAGATCCAACCATTTGGCTTAGCACAAGGGGCGATAGAAAATGTTTTCAACTGGTCGATATCCGAACTTTGCAAAGTCAAGCTTCGGGAAACTTGCTTCGACAAATCAGAAATAAGACCCGGATGGAGAGCCAAGGATAGAATTTAAAGAAAGGACCAAAATGCTCTTCTTTCTGATTACACAACATCTTGCTTATAATTGTTAGTGTGTTAGTGTTGGACACAAACTACGGATAACATGTAAACATGAACTCGGATGGAGAACCACGGATTATTTATAAAAAGTAAAAAGGACCTGGTGGTGTTAGTGGACATTATAGTGTAACTTGTAGTTCCTTGGTCCTTTTTACTTTTTATAAACATGTAACATGGTGGTCCTTTCTTTAAATTTTAAATCAGATATATTTCATTGCTTCGAGGGAGAGATGCAAATCAGAAATACTTGTAATTATTGCAAAAGAAAATGTATAATCACAACCAAAAACAAGCTTTCGACGGGCAGGCCTTTTCAGAAAGCAACTGTCGGATGTTTGTTTCAATTTTTGAACCTCGTTCCTGGTGGTCAAAATATTTCTTTTACGAAAATCGGTATGCTAGACTTCACTTATGTCCACAGGACCAGTTTGGATATCCCCCTCTCTGATCCTGTGCGCGGGCGTCAATACATGAAACACGGCAATGGAAGCCTACACGTCAGCAACACAATAGGCAGTCACGGGCACATATTAACCACAACAGACAGCGCACGTACCAGCACGAACTCGGTCAACGGTCCCGAGACCAGTAGCTCCGGAATGCTCGAGACAAAACGCAGCAGAGAGATGGCTCCTTTCCGCCGCTCATCAATGACCGCCTCATCAAAACGACCTGGTGGATGGCACGGAAAACAACCCATACATGTAATAGCGAAGGGAGAAACACATAGTCAGACAACCTGTCGCACAGGCTTGCGCATACAGGAAAGTAGAACCGTATTGCAAGGAGACAAGTATTCCATTTTCTTTTTCTATCTCTTAATTTGCTGGCCGAAAATCCTATATATAGGATTTGAAAATGTGTGCCTTTTATGCCGTTGTTATTGGTCATCACGACCAATAATAACAGCATAATGGTTTTCATGGAAGTTGTAAATATGTTTGAGGCATGAATGTTTACATTTTAGATTCATAGGGTGATAATATTTCTGATGAATACCTATTTTCCGCAATAATTGGAAATTTGAGCATAATTGTTCAGCTGCTGTCATGGAAAGGACTGAAGCAGTGAATGTGCAGAAGAACATTGCAGGTGTGGCAGGGGGTGGTTTCATGACGACATATCGCACATGCCGTCATGAAACTACCAGTTTTAAGGATAAAACAAGGTCCAATAAAATCTCAAATCCTATATATAGGATTCGAAAAATAGGGCACAGGCCTTAGTAATACTGGGCAAGGAGATGAGCCTGAGATGTTAGTGTTTGAAAAAATTATCTTATTCAACTCTCGATATCTACTAAGACCTAGCAAGGAAGAATTGGTCACACACTTTTTGCTATTCTCATGCCACACCCATTTTGAGTTGAAAAATATGACCAAAATCCTATATAATATAGGATTTAGCAAATTAAGAGATCTCTATCGTGTTTTGCAAGGAGACAAGTACTCCATTTTCTTTTTCTATCTCTATCAACATGACGACAAGGCGATGAAAGTACTAGCGGAAATATTTTTCGAGTGTTGCGTGTGAGGAGCTCGAAGGTAGCTAGTTCTGCACTGCAGTCTGATTGCATACAACAAGGGGACGAATGGAATAGTTTGAACTGCGTTGTCAAGACGGGGAAAGGAAATCTGTACAAATGTGGCAAAGGAGAGCATTCCATTTCTCTAGATGAATGCACCAGCAGAGAATCCACAGTGCTACTCTGGTTGGCTTTGTACACATAGCACCTACAAACTTCAAAGTCCCTTAAACATAGGAAAGGAGCTCTGCCTGTGTATACGATGTAGATCCAGCACAGTTTTATACATTTATCCACCGAACTGCAAAGCATGACGCAGCTGACCCGCGCACTCACCAAAGAACGTGGCTTTCGGAAAGTCAGGAAATTTCTGACTTCGTTTAGCCAACGGCAAACCGCTGTAGACTTCTTCCAGCTGCTTATGAAGCTGTACAAACGTACTGTATCTCCGCCAGATGAAAACCTGTAAGAGAGATAAAATAGAAAAGGCAATGGATGTTCAAATGGATTCTTGACGCCACCTTGCAGCTTCTGACAACAGCTCTGTGACTTTAGGGATATGAGGGCTATTGGTGACTGTAGTGATTGTATCCAGTCATGTGACCGGCTTGTGACATGCACAAGCACAGTGGGGCCAGGTAGAATCCGACCCCTGGCACCAAGAGTACACGAACCAAAGAGTGTACAGCTTCTGCTTTATTCTGCATGGGTGTCTGTCTCCGTCTGTCATGGCAAAATTCCTGGATTACATCATAGTTGAGGAAGACATGCGACGCGGAAGTGATCTACAATGTAGTATGAACAACCGAGCGGGAGTTGTGTGGCAGGAGACCTGCTTGAATTCTGCTTGTACGCACTACATCACTAAAATGATGTAATTCCGGAATTTCGGCACAACCCATTCGAGCTGCACACACTGGGTTAATGCACTCTAGCTGAAACGAAGCAAGTATTCTCTACCCGTACCAAGTCATACCACACTTCTTCGTAGGCGGTCCATGCACATCTCACTGTCACTATGAAATGATGACCTTTGAGCCTATGAAAAAATGATTTTCATGCATGCCTTTTGTGCTGTGCTTTGTGCGAGTTACTCAGTAGGGCATTAATTGTTCCGGCATTGTATGCTTGGTTGTGGCATGTGCTATCTGCAAAGCTGAGATCCAGGGGCTGCATTCCAACCGGTACCACTGTATAAGCCTCTGGAATGTAACTAGGGACCACACGTGTGTACACTCAAGTCTTTCTCTTATCCAGACTCTGAAGAACCAGGCACATCGGTCTGCCGGGCAGTGTTGCCCAGCATGTGACTCAACACACATAATATGTGCACTGCACGCACAACATGTTTACTACAGTCACTGCAGGTAGAGCAGAGGGTTAAGCACACTGCCAATTCATGGGAGCCTCATCCCCACTGGTAGAAAGAATGCAAAGCCTGGTTTCATAACGACTCTGGGTCTTGCGGGGAAAAATCTATAGTATAATCGAGTTGGGATCGCTTCGTGAACAACAAATTTGTTCAAAACAAAATTTTGTAGAGGGGGGGGGGGGGAGGGGTCAATTGCTGTTCGCTTCATGTGCGAGTTGAAAAAATCGGCGTACGAGAGAGCTTGGAAGCTCAGGACCCTACGCTATGCTTTTAATGTAAAAAGGCCAGAAAATCCGATTTTATGGAGATAAAAGGAAAAGAAGGAGCAAACCGAAAGCGGATGAAGTGAGAGAAAAATAACAATCCGCAATACTTTTGCCTAGCTCATATTCATACTGATTGAAACGTTTTTGCAATACAACGATGTAGCCAATCAACGGAAAAAACATTTCCATCAATTCTAGTAACATGTACAATGAGGTAGGCAAAAAATGTCCTGATGTCTGTCCTGACGTTTCCTGTGACCGGCGCTGACTCTGCCGATCACAGGCGTTCTGGCCTCGACGGGATCTCTCTTCCAACTTTTCCTGTGACCGGCGCTGAATTGCCCGTTCACGCTTATTTTGGAGTTGACAAGATGTCTGTCCTGACGTTTCCTGTGACTGGCGCTGACTCTGTCGATCACGGGCGTTCTGGACTCGACGGGATCTCTCTTCCGACGTTTCCTGTGACCGGCGGTGAATCGCCCGTTCACGCTTATTTTGGAGTCGATTCTGCGTCTGTCCTGAAGTTTCCTGGGACCGGCGCTGACTCTGCCGATCACGGGTGTTCTGGAGTCGACAGGATCTCTCTTCCGACGTTTCCTGTGACCGGCGCTGAATCGCCCGTTCACGCTTATTTTGGAGACGACGGGATCTCTCTTCCAAAGGATCTCTCTTCCAAAGTATGTTTTTGCTGACGCATCCTATCACCTATTCCGCAACTAGCGTCCATTCTAATTTTATTTCCTCCTCGTCTCCCTATTAATTTTCTTTGCAAATCTCCCTCTACATCACTCAGGGAGTCGTAAACATAATACGACGAATATTGTGGCCAGCTGTTATGTACAATCCTGTAGAACCTTTGTAGTCACAGATACGGGACAGATACGGTAGCTCTAGGCGTGACACAAACACACAGAAACAAACACCAAATCACAGATACGGGACAGATACGGTAGCTCCAGGCGTGACACAAACACACAAACACCAAATTAAAGCTGGGTGGACCCTGGCTAGCGCCAGACGTTACTAAAGTAACGTCTTCTGCATAGCTACGGGAATTAAATATGGAAATAGATTGATGCCATGCGTGGTCAGCATACATGAGTGCTCATTCGGGGAGGGGTACGGGCCGGGGAGAAACTACAAAATATCGTTTTGAAATACATGTACACAAGTGTTCATTATTTAGGGCTAAAGCGGGATTCACAGAAGCTTTTTTGCGATGCGACACGCGATGCGACAGCCGCGAAACCGGGAAATCCCCAAATCGCAACCATCGCGGACCCCACGCAACTGCCGCAACAGGGCCATCGCAGGCCATCGCAGAAGTTGAGCTTGGCTCAACTTTTGCGATGCGATGCGATGCGACAAGCGATTTGGCGTACGATTTTGACCTTTTCTACAGCAAAGTTGTACAAAGGTTCAAGAGTTGCCTATAAATTTGTACAAGCTGTATCAAACCGCGCGAATATCATGGTGACGTAGCCAAATCAGCAAGATCACTGACTTCTTCTGTGAATGGTATTTCGCGAGTTCGCATCGCACGCGTCCGTCGCAGATCGCGTCGCATCGCGTGTCGCATCGCAAAAAAGCTTCTGTGAATCCCGCTTAATAGTCCATCAGCCAGTGGTGCCAAAGTGAGTCCCCTGTTGCACTTACAAATCGAACACCTGGAACTGACGTCAATCGACAGCAAAAGCATCACTGAATCCGACCTGCCTACTTTCCCTGGCGAAACTCTTGCACTCCTTTTGCAGTGCGCCTTGGAAGTTCGACAAATTTCTTCTTCTTCATCAGCCATTACGAGGTTTTCCATCCGTTTTATCATGACATCCAATGCGTCTTCAGTGAAAAATGTGGAGTTTTGTCAACGTTTGGTGTGGTTTTCCGTGGCGATCGACCTAAAATCGCGAAATAAATCGCCGTCAATTTGAGCAGAGGTGAGTTGGCTTGGAGCACGTACAGATTCAAAAAATATGTGTACATGCGCACCGGGAAGAAGATGAAGATGCTCACCACTTTCAAATAACTAATTCAAAAAACTACATGACTATTGTACTGCAATTGTTGTAGTTACTTGTTTGCAACTACAATGGTATCAAGTAGATAATCAAGCGAGGTACAGAGGGATTGATGGCTGATCAAAGCCCAAGGGACCAGCCCGAGGGCTTTGATCAGTCATCAAGCCCGACTGTACCTTGCTTGAATATGCTTCAGACGATCCCCAACAATTTTTTGGATTTTGAATTCAATCGCTTTATTCTTTGGGTGATCTCGAGTGTGGTAGATAGTACTTCGAAGTAGTACAACTGTAACTGTACTACCACCTGGTTGCAACATGCTCAAAGCAGCCTTGCCTTTATTTCAACTGTTTGCTGTCAGCATCCAGATCAGAGCCATGGCGTTTGCTAGTTGGTCGTAATGGAGAAGAGAACTGCAGGGCATTCACTCGATGTACAACATCCATCGCCGCAGATTCCTTATTTTTAGCTCTCCACGTTCCTTATTTTTCTAGGAATCAGGACCTTCCCGGGGTGATTCCATTCAGGGTGGAAGCGTAGATCACTTTTGCCAAACAGTAAAAACTACGCTTCAAACCTGCTTGATATGACTCGGGGTGCATACTTCGGAAACCCGAAGGTGGATGATGTTCAATACTAGCTCATTGTAATCTTCCTGAAGGTATGTATTCGGATGCTCAATTGAATAGAACAGTGAAAGAGATGTGTAATGGAACAACAATTTTATTGTAATTTGAATCCAGGCACACGTGTAATACGGAAACTGCAATGGTTTACACTGCAAATCTTCTCGATTTGCAAGATTTTTCCCGTAATTCACACAAATCTGAAAGTTCATTCCTGAAACGCGCATGGCACTGATTGGAGATTGGGTTTAGGTCACAACAATGGCTGTCGATGAAATGCCAAAAATGGTCACTTTGTCGGCTTCCCCCTGCAGAGCGTGCAAGTCGTTTACTCTTTTTATTTGCGGATTCGGTGTACAGGGTACCTAAACTCCCCATTGAGGCCAAAATCAAGTATTCGATTTCTAAGTGCAACAGGGTGCTTGAATTTGACGACTTCTGAGTTCTTGGCTGATGGACTATAAGGGAGGTGGACAGAGGAGATCCATGAGTAAAAAAATTTAAAAATCAGTATTTAAATTTTAAATGCATACGGTCCCGATCGACAATGCAGTCAAGAACTGTATCATTTTACCCCTAGGCCCTATGGCCTAGTAAAGATGAAAATTAAATGAAACCAAAAATTCCCTCAAACTAATGAACATTTAAAATACGAATTCAAATTTCAGGAAATACAACAGACCTACTTACCTCACTTAGTGTTTCGTTGTTGTCACTATTGCCCGCCTGGGGGTAAAAAATAGATGACACAGGGCAATCAAGAATTTTCAGCAAAGATTCTGAGATCCAAACTGTACAAAACTAGTGCTGTGACATTTAGATCAATGTGCATCGCAGTACATAATTCGAAAAGCAGACATTCGAGTTCTTACTGAGAAAACTACTTTGTAAACTGTGTGACCTTGCGGTGCACGTCTTGTTTCCACGACATCGAAGAAGCGCTGAAGCTGCAGAGAAGATGTCGTCCTGCGCCTGCTTGTCTCAGCCATCACAGCTCAAAACCAGATATCAACTGACAACAACCACCAAAGCCTGCAAAGGGCTCGACATGGTATACTTGAAAACACCGATCAGAAGCAGAAACTGTGTGTGTGTGTGTTTTTGAAGCCCAACCCAACGAGCACAGTCAGCCACAGAGCCAGTGTCCCAGTGATCACGCAGATCGGCTGTGTGCACTGCACATGACCGTGTCACGCGTGTGCACTGTGCATTACATGTACGTGATGATGACTGGCTACGTCACCTGACTACCAGACTCGTGGCCGATCAGCTAAAAATATTATTGGAAAAAATGATGAAGATCAAGAATACATTGTGAAATTAATTGGGGTCGCGTGAAATTGGGGAATTATTTGTGGTTCGAAGAACATCCCTGTGCTAGCCGGTAGTATACTGTGATTTGCAAGACCACTTAGTAGACGGCTCTGTTCATTTCTGTAAAATAAGAATTGGACCGATTTGGTGGATACAATGGCTTCTTCGGGCGAAAACCTGAAAGATCTTGAGGCTAAAGCATCCGCCATGGTATGCACTTTTTCTTCCATGTCCATCTTCTCTGCGCAAACTATCAGCAAGTTTAGAGACTTTAAATTGTTGTCACTTTACAGGAGCAGCAAGTCAGGAACCTCCAAAGTCAGCTACGAGACGTGGCCAGCGCCGATAGCCCTCATCTTGTCACGTTGAAAGCCGAAAACGAGAAACTGGAATACCAAATCTTGCATTTGGAAAAGGTACGTAGCGACGCTGCGATGAGTGGATGGTACGCTGATGTATGATCCATTCACTGGCTTGTGGACGCGACGTCTTCCCCTTGACTCTTGAGTGCAGCTCAATGCTCAGTCTATCACTGTTATACTCCATCATCTCTACTCTTCATTCATTTGTTTTATTTATTGATTGTGACTTGCACATCACTCAGTGTTTAGAGGTGTCTCTGTCAAGAACGGATTGACTGACGGAAGTAATGGTGAACCTGCCTGTGCAGGTAAAAGGGGAATTCGTATTATACAAAAGAAAAGACAAATTGCAGTAGATACAATAAGAGACGAATTAGTTTTCGTGTTTGCGTGATATCATGAATATAACTGTACTGGACAGTGGACACCCTGCGGGCTCCTTGGATGTAGTTGGCATAGTTGCACGAAGCGTTGCTGAGTTGACCTACACCTGAGGCTGACCCTCCGCATTTTTTCATGGACTAGTAGAGCAGATGTGTTGTGAAAAACAAAAACAAGTTTGAACCTACGGCTTTGCATCCGGTCAACACATACATTTTGTACGCACAGTGTTGACAAGTGAAATCCAACGACTTGAATATAGCCGAGTCACATTCACTGCGCATCCCATGTTCTTAGTGTTAGTCTAGGCCCTCGTGGTCCTGGAGTTATAATCACGAGGCTGGATTTTGTGTGCAACCACTGTCTGTGCATGTATTTGTGCCTCGTGTGTGCATGTGTGTGTGTGTGTGTGTGTGTGTGTGTGTGTGCACATGTGTGTGTGTGTGTGTGTGTGTGTGTGTGTGTGTGTGTGTGTGTGTGTGTGCATAATGCCGTGTGCATCCTGATCCGTGCAGAGCATCGCGGCTGAGAAGAAACGCGGCTGTGCCGGCGCAGTGAGGAGTGCAAGTCACATGACCGACATTGTATCGCACTTGCGTCAGCTGTTCAACAGTGCCATTACGGCAGCGTATCCGCAGATCCAGAAGCCGTCTGCTCTGATCGCTCTGGGCAAGAAGGGTGTAGATTACCAGGTCAATAGCGCCATGAGCTTGACGAAAGTAAGTGGGAGTAGGATTTGCTCGGTTGTTGCTTGACTACCTGTCAGCTTTTGCTTTGTGCTTGCTGTTCTCGATTTACAATCAGAGCCAGTTGCGGCAGCTCTAAGGAGTGCAGAACAGTATACAATGTACATGTACACCAATACAGAAGATACGAGAGGCGGTTTGGGCTGTAACTTCAAATTCCGCGTACTGGGCGTTGAAACATGCTGTTTGGTGATCATGTAACATGTGGAATTTGTGAAGTGTGCGCGCACACACATATACACACACACACACACACACACACACACCATGTACCATGTATCATGTATACGCCCGTCGAAAGAGAAGCACGCAAATCTGCAAATGCACTGGATGTGCACCCACAGATTTTCTCTTATAGCAACGATAGCGAACAAGATCTGAATGAGACAGATCAAAACTTGCGCCAGATAACTGTCTAATCCACACAACTGGCGAAGCCATGTGAATCGACCACCAATGCACACCTGGTCTACACCACACGGAGTACATAGGCACAAAATGGCCAAGACAGTTACCTATGCACACCCTACAATTGCTGGGGTAACCAGTATAGACAGCACGCTGCTTTGATAGAAGCAGACACAAGATGCACTGGTACCTTGAAGTGAAATTGGAGACACACACACAGTCCAGGGGCGTAGGAGGGGTTTTGGAAGTGGTACGACCGAAGGTCGGCGCGGCCGGAGGCCCTGTTGGAGGGGGGGTCCAGGGGACCTCCCCCTGGAAATTTTTGTAATAAAGACACAAAATCCTGCGCTCTGGGAACTTCTGGCACACTGACTGTGCAGTCACTGAGTGTGCAGTTAAGTCGAGTACAGTACTCAGTACGACTGCAGATGCATGGCAGATCTACGAGTACGAGTCTAGAAAAAGGTCAAAGTCTGATGCGCATATGCATTTGGATGGATCCTGATTTTTTTATTACGGTTTTGCACGTTCCGGACGGACCACACTTTTCGAAAAATGGTACGGCCATGGTCGTACCAGTCGTAGCGGGTGCTACGCCCCTGCACACACACACACACACACACACACACACACACACACACACACACACACACACACACACACACACAACGCCTCTTGTTTCCTGTATTTATGTTCTCGGTTTATGTATGGGTAAATCATTGTTGAACTTGTTTGTGCGGATTGGCTTACATGTATTTCATGTTTTTAGTTTCGTAGTATTTGTCTTGTGTATTGTTATCAGATGAGGTTCAGTTTTGAACTGAGTTGGCTGGTATATTTGTGCCTGTGTGGATGTGTGCGCATGTCTTGAATTTACCCTGGCTGTCTATGGCCTATGGTGTATGTACTAGTACGCAGTATAGCACAGTGTCATATCATGTGTAGCACTAGGATCTACTTGCAAGTACTGCCATGAAGGGAGATGCATGTATATACCAGTACAGTGCCAGTGCCAGTTATTTCGCTCCCTCGCCTCGGCTTGGTCGAGCACTATATTTCTGGTTAGCACCGACGTTGCCTGCCCTTGCGAAGTCCGCGCGGTGTTTCTCATAGGTAGATCACTCTGACGCTGAGCCGGTTTAAATATGCCTTGTTCTCTTTACTTCTTTTTGATCATTTTGGCCAATCACTATGAGTTCAGCGGATGAGACCTTACAAGGTCGAAACAGCTAGCTGTCCATAGTTTGTGTGTGTGTATATGTATACTAGCAATTGTGTGTATGTGTGATCCTTTCTGTTGTTCATTGCTGACGTTGCAGGAGCTAAAAGCAACAGGTGTCAATGCCAACCCACGGCAGATCGCTGAGGCAATTGTCAAGAACTGTCCATCCAGCGACCTGGTGGATAAGGTACGAATTCAAGAGATCAAACAAAAACCCTTTTTTTTTAAGGTCTGATATTTTAAATTTTGAAAGGATTGGAAGAACTTAAAATTCCATGTAAACTGTCAATTTCTTTGTCAAATGGCTTCTGCACATTTTAGTAGTTCCTCAACCAGTACCCACTGCTTCTCTTTAAGCAGCAAGGCTCGATGGGCGGGCTTCGGCGTTAACTTGGGGGTCGGCCAAGACAGCAGTTACCACTGTGGACAGAGATCATGAGATGGAGAAGTCGGCTGAGCATGTAGAAGCTTCTATTCCAGGGTGTGCCCTGTGCACACATCCCACAAAGAGTGGTTGTGCCTCACTTCTATTTTCCAGCTGGGTTTTTTCACTCGAACATTCCGTCAAATCGTTCTACCCCTATATGAAGCACGCCCAATGTTGCGTACCATGATTATGTTGATGACTCGAATAAGCTGAGTGGGGTCCTGCCAGGGAGTGCTATTTTTACTACTCCACTGGTCGCTAAAAACAGACTGGAAATGTACAACGATGACACTGCACCAAGTGATGTGAGCTTCCGGCGGACCCCATAGAAATGGTATCCAGAGTTGCACACTCTTGGGAGCTTGTGTACTCTTGCAGTCTTGGTATCATCGAGAGTACATGACTGATGTACTCTTATATACTCTTGGTATCACCCATGTAGCCCTACTGATCGTCACCCCTAATTCAATCATAGTATTCTTTTCCGTAGGGCTGCTTGTGTTTTCTAATCCCGATTCTTTCCTCTTACCCTGCACAGCTTGAAGTTGCTGGCCCAGGCTTCATCAACATCCACATCAAGGTGTCGGTCGTGTCTGGCCTGCTGAGCGACGTTCTCACCCACGGCGTGCGCGCACCGGATGTGGGTGAAAAGCGCCGGGTGGTGATTGACTACTCGTCGCCAAACATCGCCAAGCAGATGCATGTTGGTCACTTGCGCTCCACTGTCATCGGCGACTGTCTGGCTCGTATCATCGAGTATTGTGGACACGATGTGCTTAGGTTAGTATTGTGGACACGATGTGCTTAGGTTAGTATTGTGGACACGATGTGCTTAGGTTAGTATTGTGGACACGATGTGCTTAGGTTAGTGCTGTCTCTGTATTCTGTGTTCTTCAAGTATGTTTTAAAGAAATTATAATTGTTATTGAGCACAGTGACCTTTGGTCCCGGGTCCTTTGTGACTGTCAACTAATACTTGATCCCTCTCATAATATGGGATATGAACATGTCCGTTTCTGGAAAACAACAATGCTCAGTGTTGTCCTCTCTGCTCTCAAGTGTAGCATGTATAGACCTGCTTTGTATGCCTTGGGTGTTGACCTTAGGTCATGGCGTGATGTTCGAACACGTGAACATGCACACTGCCACACATTCGTTTTTCTGCACCCTGGGTACTTGCTCACTGGGTTCTTTCTACTGAGTCCCATGCCCGCTTGTTTGTGTGTGCGCTCTCTTTGGACGAGCTGTGCACTTTACTTAGCTTGTGGTGTGTGTTCGTCGCTTGCACCATGTCATGATGCGATGCGGGCTGGAGAGTGATTTGCAGGATTGCTTGCCGTATTGTTCACTCCCGGCAGCAGTAATACATTCTCTTTTTGCTGTGGTGCACTTGTATATCTACTGCAGGCTCAATCACATCGGAGATTGGGGCACACAGTTCGGCATGCTCATTGCACATCTCGAAGACAAGTTTCCGAACTTCGAGAGCGAGTCTCCTCCAATTGGTGACCTGCAATCTTTCTACAAGGAATCGAAGGTTCGCTTCGATGGCGAAGAAGATTTCAAGAAACGTGCCTATAAGAACGTTGTGCTCCTACAAGGCGGTGACAAGAAGATTCGTACCGGCTGGTCTCACATCTGTGAGATTTCACGACACGGTCAGACAAAGCACATTGTATACTCTGTCTTCGTTATACCCTGCTGTTATGATAGACATCCGTGTACATCTTGGTTATACCCTGCTGTTATAATAGACATCCGTGTACATCTCGGTTATACCCTGCTGTTATGATAGACATCCGTGTACATCTCGGTTATACCCTGCTGTTATGATAGACATCCGTGTACATCTTGGTTATACCCTGCTGTTATGATAGACATCCGTGTACAGTATGTACTATGTAGGTGTAGATGTGGAGTGGAGAGTCGGGAGTCTTTGATGCTCCTGACTTGTGCTTACAAATGGCGTTTGGCAGCCTTTTGCTCCTATTCAGTTTACCTTTTGGAGCCCATAATGGGTTCCTCTGGCAGTCTTTTACCACTATTCATTAAGGCTGAGCAGTTTGTTGTCTCCTTTTTCTCTGGCTTGCAATAGGACAACATGCTCCATGGTCATGGCAGAGCAAACAGCCAACTGCTGTTGCTGTCATTTTTTTAAAAATATTTTGTATTTACTAGTCTTTCCATGCTCGGGTGTGACATTTGGCATCTTTTCCTACTTTTTCCTCTTTTGCTGTTGTCGCCTTGTGTCCTGCAGAATTTGCTCAGATATATTCTCGCCTTGGTATTGGAAAGGAGCTGGTTGAGCGAGGGGAATCGTTTTACCAGCCACTCATGAACGATGTTATCCATGACCTTAAGAGCAGAGGTGAGTTCTCATTGTCTGTGTAGTAGTTGTTGTTGTTGTTGTTGTTACTTTATTTTACTTCACCAGAATTACAGGCAGTAGAATGCCTTTTCACTAGACCAGGTCTAGTTCTCACAAATGATGAAGAATGTGAATGAACATGCTAAAGCTAATGAAAAACAAGAAACAGAAAAAGATGAGAAAAACTTGTGTTTTATATTTTATGACGGTATTTGTATGTGGGTGACAGTGATTACATGAGAAGGGAAAGAAAAAGAAAAAGATAGAAAGAAAAGAGTAAGGAATAAACGAAGCAGATGTATGAAATAGAATAGTGACAGGGCTTTGAAAAATATTGTTTGATTCCGAATCGATCTGTGTTTATTCAGGGCTTCTCCTTCCTTTGCCGAGTCTCGTACTACTTTTGTCATGTACTGCATTTCGAATTTATCACTTTGTTCTTGTCATTTCCAGATTTAATATCAGAAGAGGACGGATGCAAGGTGTTGCATTTGAAAAAGCAGAAGGTGCCTTTGATCTTGGAGAAGAGTGTCGGTGGATATACGTATGACACGTCTGATGTAGCCGCACTGCGCCATCGCCTACAGGAGGAGAAGGCCTCTTGGCTCGTCTATGTTGTGGATGCTGGCCAGGTTAGTGGACAGTGTATAGATATGGCGCTGGGTTTACTTGCATGCCTTACGTATGTGTATGAGTGGATGGTAACTATGGTTATTACTCACTTTTCATTGCTATCAGGTTCAGCCTCATTTTATCTGTGCTGCGCTGATGAGTCCACAAAGGACAGACGAGTTCTGTCCGCACATTGAGTAGTTCTTATTCCTGTGTTAGCGTGACTCCATACTACACCATGGTAGGGTCGTGTTGTGCACGTCTTCATGATTTTCCGTCATTTGTTTGTTGTCTTATTTTTCACAGGGTCTTCACTTCCAGCAAATCTTTGAGGGCGCTAAGATTGCCGGCTACTCGAATGACAGTTGCCGCATTGAGCATGTTGGCTTTGGCCTTGTACTGGGAGAGGGCAAGTAAGTTATTTGGAAGGCATTTGTTGATGCTATCCTTTCCTCCACTAGCCATGTTGCAACACTGTTAGCTCTGGATGTGCACATGCTATCACTTCAGCTGTTTCAACTACATGTACTTCATATTAAGCCTACAAGCATGAGTACATAATCCATACTGTGCAACCTTGCTTATGCCTAAATATGGGTCATGGATCACGGAATTCCTCATGTGCATCATTGTTGTCCAGTCCTGGAAGTTGCAATCCGCCATTCTTCTGTTGCACTGCATCCGGTACGACCTGTGGTATCAGTTTTACCGTACTTTGATGTCAAAATGGCTAAACGATGAATTATGCATTCCCCCTGCACTGTCCTTGTTGCTCACTCTGGCCTATGTACTCATTCGGAGCAGCCCATAGCAGTTACCCACTGCAGGGCGGTACGTACATGTATGTCTTCTCGACTAATAGAACGTTATCTTGACTATCTGATCTTCAATGATGTTTTGTTCTGCATTGATTGTTGACTGTAGGAAGAAGCTGAAGTCCCGATCGGGCGACACCGTCAAGCTGAAGGAACTCCTCGACGAGGGCGTGGAGAGATCAGCAGAGAAGCTGAAGGAGAGGGGCCGTGATGAGGTATGGCGCGGCATGCGTTTCTGTTGCATTATTTAACACAATGTGCTTACTAGTAGGACCTCTAGGTCAACACCACTGGCTAGACTAGTCTATACAGTATAGCTGGACTCAAACAGCCTGTGAATGTCAGTGTCTTTTTTTCTATGTCAGTGTCTTGCACCTTTCTCCAACTCATTGTGCTCGACGATTTGCAGGGCTTGTTTATGGAGCTCTGCGTCTGCTTCGGGTGCCGATATTGCCCGAACTTACCTGTACATGACATATATTGGTGTGTGTGCTCTTGCTTCAATGCAGGTCTTAAGTCCTGAAGAGCTAGCAGCTGCTCGCGACGCTGTTGCTTACGGATGCATCAAGTATGCCGATCTGTGTCATCAGCGAACGCACGACTACGTCTTCTCCTTTGATAAGGTGAGAAGGCCGCAACAACAGCTTGTTTGCTTGCTTCCACGTAGCCAGGCCTTCTCATGAGCCTTGTGTGACACAGAGCTGGATTGATGTCCTCGGCCTGTGATAGACTTTTCCTTCAAGGCTTCAACATGCATTCAGTTTAGTAGGAGTGGTGAGGCTTCCTGCAGCTTCGTTCATAGGAAGTAGGTTAGAGCAGACCCTACGTTGTAAGATAAAAACGAGTTTGATACTATTGCAGAGTGAATGGTAAAGAGTGGGTCTGCTCAAAACTACTTCCTATGCATTCAGTTTGTTTGAGTATTTTACTGCCATTTAGATGTTGGGTGTGCGTGTCTGAGACCGTATGATAGGCTATTTGTTGAGTTGTGCCATGAATGTTGCTTGTTTTGCAGATGTTGGACGACAAGGGCAACACGGCCGTGTACTTATTGTATGCCTACACTCGCATTCAGTGAGTACTCCTCCATGGTGTTCATTCAATGTTGCTTTTAATGATCATGCTTTTCACATAGTACACACACACACACACACACACACACACACACACACACACACACACACACACTGTACTGTACTGTATTGACAGCTACCCTAACGGGTCACGCCGCCCTCCGCCCAAGCATGGGTATGATGAGGGGCAGTGGCAACAAAAACAAAAACAGCAAGCAGAGAGAGATAGCAGGAGAAAGACAGCGATAGTAGTACATCTGGTGTGCGACGTATAGAAAAGAGAGATGACAAGAGATACGCACAAAAAGGAAACAATAATTATTTGAACCTGTACACACACACACACACACACACACACACACACACACACACACACACACACACTGGAGTTTGAAACCTGAAACGTGAGGCATTTGTCGCTTTGCCCCACTAGTCAAAAGTCAACCCCCACGTGTTCATTGTCATTGGCTTCAGCTTTTCTCTACACAAGTGCTTCAATGAAGTGATGTACATGTAGTTTACACGCGGAAGTTAGAAACCTTACTTCTCTGACCTTCCTGACTCAGCTACTTAAACCAATATTCTAAAAGGTTTTATTACCAGCTGTGAACACCTCCATTCCCGCACAGGCTCTCACGTGCACGACAAGAATAAATTGCTGCCAATATTTTGCACATTGGGCATCATAAGGGCAATGATGATAGTGGAAAGAAGACGCTACAGTGGAGTTGGAGAGTTTTAAGGAAACTTTCAAAGGTTTTTAAATAATGCTGGTCGTAATCTACTTCAAATACCTTTTTATTGTTTCGCCCTGAGGATGGGCCTTGCCTGAAAATTTGGTCATTCAATATCGAGAGAGAGTTTCCTGCAGCAAAGAGATCATAATTATGTGAGTACTGAAGTAGGTGTCCAGATTAGGTAATCTGGGTCATGATAATTTGTACTCGGATGGAGAGCCAAGGATTAATTTACTTCTTGAAGTATAAGAAAGAAAAAGGACCTAGGAACTACAAGTTACGCTATGATGTCCACTAACACCACCAGTTACTAAACAATCAGCTCATGCGATAACATTGCACGACACTGACCGACAATACTGACGTTCTACAACTAACTGGCTAACAGCTCTAGCACACCTTGGATGCGCACTCCAACAGCTTTCCAACTTGGAAGGTTCTAAGTTATAGAAATAACATAAGGAGGGGAAGGTGAGCGCAACCAAGATAAGCACGAGCTGAAAGTCTCAGCTGTGAAGGACGTTGGCGGATGTTCATGCATGTCGATGACAATATTGGCAAGACCATTGGACAGTACGGTCAAACCACGATTCAAGGACGCAAAGCAACATTCCACACAACTTGTGTGGCTCAAAAGATACGAAGATCAATAGAAGGGGAAGCTATGCGAACAGTTAGTTGTAGAACGTCAGTATCGTCGGTCAGTGTCGTGCAATGTTATCGCATGAGCTGATTGTTTAGTAACTGGTGGTGTTAGTGGACATCATAGCGTAACTTGTAGTTCCTTGGTCCTTTTTCTTTCTTATGATAATTTGTGTCCATTGTTTGTTGATTTCATTCATTCATTCTTGCTTGTGTGTGTGCATGTGTGTGTGTGTGTGTGTGTGTGTGTGTGTGCATGTGTGTGTGTGTGTGTGTGTGTGTGTGTGTGTCGATGTTCACCTGTATCAAGGTCCATTATCCGACTTGCGAAGTCAGACTCGGGTGCGCTGACAGCTCGTGCCGCTACCACCGAGCTGGTTCTTGGAGAGGCGGCCGAGGTCAAGCTGGCGAAGCACGTGCTGCGCTTTGCCGAGGTCATTCAGCGCATCCACGAAGACCTGCTCCCACATGTTCTCTGCGAGTACCTGTATGATTTGAGCACGCACTTCACTGAATTTTATGACTCCTGCTACTGCGTGGAGAAGAACCGCGAGACCGGCGAGGTACTTAAGATCAACTGGTCTCGAATTCTCATCTGTGAAGCAACAGCTCGCGTCATGGCCAAGGGCCTCAGCCTCCTGGGCATTACCACCGTGGATCGCATGTAAATTGCATGCTTTCCACGCCTGCACACTGCTGGGCAGAACTATTTCACCATGCACGGTGATGCACCTCTGTTCTGCCATCATCGTAGTCGTCGTCCTCTGTCATTAAATTTCAGTGGCTCTGCTTTGCTCTTCAAGCATTGCCTTGTCTCATATTTTTGATTTAACTTTTTTCTCTTAGCCCATACCCTAGGTTTCTCTGCTATTAAACTTCATGTAAATATATAATTACTGGCTTTGCTGCAGTAGTTCGATTTTTTGCTTGCTGCGGCGCAGTGCTTGAGCAGTTCTCTGGTGTGCATGCAGCATTCAGCAAATACTTCACACCAATGAGCCATCCCGTAGCAGAGAGCTGTTTGCAGTCATCTCGCTGCTGTGCCAAGACCACACAATACAGTCCACTATTAATTTCTACGGCGGTTTTTTTGCTGAATATTCTTTATTCCGATGTCGGAAGAAGTAGTGATCATGATCGTGAATGGACGGAAACGGGACAATCCGCATTGAGTGATGGGATGGGATTTTTGTATTGTTTGGAAATTGGTTATAGATCTGTGTTTCATGGTGTTAAAAAGAAGTAAGAAAAGTCCAGCTTTGGTAGAAGAAAACATTGAGGGTGGTTCAGTAGAAAGAAGTTTTTACTGTGTGAAATATGAGATGGGTAGGGTTCCTTTGTGGCGCCACTGCGAGAAGTGGTGGGCCTCACTTCATCAAGCAGTCTATGATGGTATTCACACAAGCAAGAAAGCAAAGCACCACACACTGTGGAGAATGGGTGTACACACCTAGGAACAGGGGTGCGCGATAGTCGGGGTCTTTGAATGCCGAGAGAATGACTTACCGGCCGAAATCCGAAGACAAGGCACACAGAACGAGAGGTGGTTGAGTGTAATGCTATGCGGAAGATGACCACTGTGTGTGGCTGACCAGCCGGGCCGCAATGTGCGGAAAATAAGCTAGTACTGTACAACACACGTATGCACCGTTTACCTGGCACAGACACACACACATGCACACACACACACACACTGGGCGAAACTAATACGGCACCAACTTGCAGGTACCATGCGAAGACACAGTCAGCCATTGCACGGGTGACCAGGGACAACCGACCTAAGGTAGTGGCAAGCTGACAATGAACTGCTTGCACTTATCACGGATTTTCTGGTAGAACATCTTGAACTCAATACCATCGCCTTTGGAAAGACGGAAATCGATGAGCACACGCTGCTCGGCTGACTCTGCGCTGTCGATGATCCGCACCTTGTAGATGAGCCCCTTGCGGCGGCGATCCTGCACACTGACCGTGAGATCGTTGCCGTGCTGTGAGAACATGGGGCCGTGTTGCTTTTTCAGAGCTTCACTGAGCCTCTCCACGGCCTCCTCGGCATTGCAACTCATCCAGAATCGTGTCAGACGTCGCACGAGCTGCTGAAGCGGGTTGCTGCACTCCTGCGTGGCCATGACCTGGCTGCACACCATCTGGTCAGGGTACAGCGGCTGAGACAAGAAGAAGTTGGAGATGGAGCCATCGTCCTGGTCTTCTCCTTCTGCCGGGTCGTCTTTGTCTCGGCTCATCGGCAGAGGCTGTGACGCGGAGACTAGTGAATCGGCTGCAGCCGCATACACAGGTTTCCGCTTGGCAGGCGGCGAGCCAGACACAGGGAAAGCAGCTGACGGTGCTCGCATGAAGCTACTCCACTGGGGGCCCTGTGCCACCCACTTGACTTCTTTTAGCTTGGACATCTTGGGCCGCTTGTCTGCCGATGGCTTGAGCATCTTACGCAGCAACCCCAGTGGTTCTATGCTTATTCGACTCCACGGCGGGCCAGTGGTTTTCTTATCGCACCATGCCAAGTACTCCGCACACACCGTGGATGGCTCGTCCCACGGCACCTCGCCGCTCAGCATGGCAACCAGGACAATACCGCACGACCAGAGGTCGGAGGGGCGTGCGTGATACGGTCGGCCGCGCAACACCTCCGGTGCAATGTACGGTGGTGTTCCACAGCTACGGCCCATCATCCTCTCCGCACCATCGTTCATGAACAACGTGGCCAGGCCAAAGTCTGTGATCTTCAGATTGTCATTGGCATCCAATAGCAAGTTTTCAGGCTTGAGATCGCGATGTGTGATGCCACGATGATGAATATACTCCACGCCATGTAGAAGCTGGCAGAAGTAGCGCTGAGCGCGGGATTCAGGCATTCCTTCGCCTGGCTCGATGCGATCAAACAGCTCTCCGCCAGACATGAACTCGAGGAATATGAACTGTACATTACCGTCCTCTCTGTGCCCATAGCTGCGAACAATAGGTAGATAGAAGTCACGCTTCACCTCAGACAGGAGAGTCAGGATATACGCTTCTTTTCGTATGTCACTCTTCGCAGCGGCTACATGAGGCTTGTTGCCGTCGATAACTTTTACAGCTACGGGCTGCTTCGTTTTTCTGTTGATGGCTAATTTCACTTCTCCGTAAGCTCCTTCGCCCAGAGTCTCTGCAAAGTCCCAGCCGTCCACAAAAGGAGTTAGTGGCATATTGTTAGATGGCAATGTATTGTCCTCACAAGAACATTTCGAAGACCAGCTAAATAGGTCAGGAGAGCTGGTTTGGACTTGTTCGTACTCTTCTCAACTGAATTTCTTCCTCTCTTTTCATTCACGTCCAAGTCCTGCTCAGCATTTCGGACAAGACCCCACATGCTTTGTGTTCGAATGTTGTTTTTGTGGCGACTTCAACTTTCCCGCCACTAGACACATGGAACACACGTGGAAGTTATGTCATCATCATGTCACTCGTACGTACAAAATTAATATTAAATTTTTGCATTTTTTTACGAGCGCTGACGTGATGTGTGCATGACATGGCAGCATGTGTTTGTGAAGACTGCATGATCTGAACGACGTGTGTGAAGCGTTGAGACTTTTTGATTGAACAAAAGATCTTGAACACTGCACTAACTGTCTGTACTGCAGTGAGGCACTGGCTGTGTATGTTGACCTTCATTTTCGTTTCTGATGAGGAGTACAGCGCTCAGTACAAATCACCTTGCTGCTTTCTTTTGAAAGTTTTGATCCAAACCAACTAACTTCAACCCGTCAGCATTGTACTGTGATAGGCGTGCGAAGAATGGCTTGGCTGACTGGCCTTGCGGGACGTGCTGAGGCTTTGCTGGAAAAAGTTGATCAAACTGCTGCTGAATCGTTCAGTCGTGATGCTCAGAGGGATGTGATACCTCGCCAGGTATCATCATTGCATACCACGCCGGAGCCTGGACGACATGAGCAATTTTCTAGTGGGTCTCTGTCTGTTGGAGCTCCAGCTGGCCGTAGCTCTCCACTGAACGCTGGGGCCACTAACGGTGCACTCCCTGCGAAAAATCGCAGCTCGTCTTTGGCCAACAATCGCCCGTCCGACCAGAAACTGTTCGACTTCTTGAATAGCAGTGGAGAAGGGGGTGACTTAAGCCTTGCACAGAATGCCAGCTCATCTTCATTGGCGTCCAAGGATAGGAAAAAGCCTGATTCACGAGCACCTTCCCGAGTAGCTAGCAGGGACAGTCTAGCTTCAGCAAAACGTAAGCAAATGCAGTCTTACGCCAATGAGATCTATTTCTACATGCAGCAGCTACGCTAGGCTCAGGATACAAATAATATGAAGCCCATGAACATGCAGCTGGGAAATTGTGAGCACATTAATTTTGTTGAGGCTGGAGCTAAGATCATTCAAAAACCATGAATAATGTATACAGTACTATCGAGCGCCGAAGAACGAACAGGCTAGAATTTCACCAAGCACAGCGTACCAATGTACGTGTACACGCGGTGACACAACTGTGCATAGACTGTAGTATATTCAAAAAATAAGAACGGCCTAGGCTACGAGGCTGACCCCCCCCCCCCCCCAGTTCTTCGGCGACCGACAGTAGTGTACTCGGATAAAAACGCAGCCTGAACGTGCCGTCCTGAGTCGATGGAGTTAGACATGGAATCAGAGCCTAGTGTAGCCACTTCTACTAATCAGAGGAGCATGCGGGGGTGGGGGGGGGGGGCAAAGACTTGAAGGTAATGCCGCTAGATAAGCCCATGGGCCAATGAAGTAGTAATGTGCATGTATAGTTTTGCCCAGGGACATTGTAATGTGCATGGTCACCCCTCTACTGTAGTAGTGACCAAGGTGTAACTATAGTACCATATTTCCCCGAATATAACTCGCACCTTTTTACACTAAACTTCAAGGGCAAAAAAGGGGTGCGACTTACAATCGAGCATGACTTACTACTGAAGTCTAAATCACATCAATATTGCTCAAACCTGAAAATGGTGGTGCATCTTATAATCGAGTGCGACTTATAATCGGGGAAATACGGTAGTAGTGGAGACACTGATAAACCATGGTTTTGAAAATTAATGATGACTCTATTCAGGCCGTCCCTAATTGGTATCCTACCGGCTGTCTGTGTTTCCCATGGCTTAGCAACTGATGCAGTGGACAGTGGACACGATGGGCTCATGATGGACATAGGCAGGTCTAGCTCACCTCAGCTATCCGGCCAAAGAAGAAGCATCGACGATGCGTCCTCTTCTATACAGGTGGAGAACCAGATGCTGAAAGAAGAAGTGTCGGCACTGCAGCGCGAGCTACATGACTGGGCCGGAAGAGAACGCAAATCACACGGAGGTCAGTACACCGCCATCTGTCCTATCTTCACTGCACTTATATCCTCTTGGTTTTTGGAAGAAAAAGCATCAGCTGGTCGTATGAGGTCGGGCCACTGCGCTTCCTGCCATTGCCCTGTCCCTGATTTATTGTGTTTGGCATCTGTATACCACCCTTAATAGCCATTAGTACACTCATACCTTGGTTATCCGGACCCCAAAGTTACGGGCACTTCGATCTACCCGGCACCCTTTGGGCGAGTGGCACCCTTTGGGAGAGTTTCAGTGGAAATATTACTACTCTTGTGTCACTTTTTGTGGGAATAGGACGTCACATGCCATATCTACAGTCCATTCATAAAAAGATGGGCCCTGGCTCTGGCGAGCTCCCGTATTTGGCGATTTTTCGTGATTTCATCGTACACAGTGCAGTGCTGCGAACTTTGAAATTTGAAAGAGGGTTCAAAAAGGTACCTGAACTGGGGTTCGAACCGCACAACGCACTGTTGCAGGCGGGGTCAAACGGCCTGGATTTTGATGGTTTTTCCCGATTCAGTGCTTTTGGGGCAAAACCTGACCGAAATCCTATTCTTGCTATGGCTTACTTTTTGGACAAAAAAACTTCAGAAACATAATTGGAAGATGATTCCATAGGGGATGGCAGAAAAAATTCTAAAAAAACTCAATGTTTGACCCGTTTATGGCCAAAAGCTAGAAGTCCATCTTTTTCTGAATGGACTGTAGGACATTTCCCATTAATATGTATGTGATTCGGAGTTCCGGACATTTCAAAGTTACGGATAGTGCCCGGTCCCGGACCGCCCAGATAAACGAGGTATGAGTGTAGGGGTATGCACTTTACGTGGTGTTTAGATGGCTGTTCTTTAAATAATTTGCACAGTTAGTTGCAAACGGTGCTCAACAGTAGTACGAGTACTTAGGGTATGCATTACCCTAACCTGACCAATGCAGAACAGCAAAAGACAATCATTGTACTACCCTATGTGGCGAAGGCTGCAATGGTATCACGTAGATCTGCATGTACCTGTACTACAGGAACAAAGGCTAATAAAATGACACGTGCTGCAACGGCTCGGATATCTCACAACAGGTGTGCATGCAAAGAGCGCTATAACAGTAACAATGGGTACAGCGCAATCGCAGAAGAATTGCATACCACACATAATAGCAGGCTTCTGAGAGAGGGAAGGTTTTCGCTGGAACTTGCCTGTTGTTATAGACAAGGCATAGCTAAACTCCAGCTTTCTTCGCTGTAAGTACTCCTTGGTATCGCTACCCAAACGCGCTGTGCCGCGTGTCTACCGCATACTGTTGGTGACCGCAGCAGAGCTCCTATTGCGGCCCTTCCGCAGCATTACCAAGCTGGCGTCTGGCCCTTCTTGCACTCTGACCAACCCAGACTACACGTCTGAAATTCCATGCACGTCAGGTATCATTGCATTATAATACCAGTAATTATTTAACCCGTCTCGATGTCCAACGTGATCACTGTGCTGTACTGCTGTTCATGTGCAGAGCTCTCTGGTCTGAAGAAGCAATGCACACAGCTACAGTCCGACTACACCGCTGCACAGAAGGCGCTGCAGCTAAGGGACACCGAGCTGACAGCGCTACGGAGGCACGTTGCTGAAGTGGAGGATGAAGCAAAGGACCACCGCCGCTCCCTCACCTCGTTACGAGATGACCGTCAACGGTATGGATTCCAGTATCATGTACTTGTATCCTATTCATCATGTGCTTGTATCCTGTTCATTTACTGTGGAGTTGGTACAGTGCTGTTAGCATTGCTGGTGATGATGGGAAGTTGTGATAGCGGTGGGGTGATGTTCTTGCTGTCGGAGTCATGTATTTGTATGAAAATTGTCTGCTCCTGGAGATTTTTGGATTTTTGTCAGTGACTATGCTGGATGCACCCCCTTCTGTTGAATGATTAATGGCTGCCACCCCATGAAAGTTGTACTATTGGTTGTGTTCCTGTGTGTGTATTTTTGCATGTGTGTGTGTGTGTGCACGCATACACGTGCGTATATGGTGGTGTGTGCACGCATACACGTGCGTATGTGTGTGTATGTATGCATGTACGTAGGCTCTTGGAGGAAAGCGTGGCATCGGCAGGTGTGCAGCATCAGACGCTTGATCTCGTTGAAAATCGCCTCAAGGAGGCCGAGACGCAGCTGGAGAAGGAGCGCGTTGCACTGGCCGCATCTCAGGTATGGACATCACTCAAACTAAGAGGCTCTCGTTGTGATATAGCCATCTTATCTCTCATGGAGTGGCTAAAGACAAGTTAGAGTAGCCCCGCTGTGGGTGCTACGGCTGTCAGAGGTGTGCTGTCTGGTATAAAGCAGACGTGTGTGAGGGAATGTACTGCATAGCGGTACAAATCTGTTATGTAAAAAAACGAACATGGAATTTCGAATACGAACGAACTTTCACACTAACGAACGAACTCGAACAAACATTCTCTTATGCAGCATGTAGTTACCAAGACTGTACAGTCTAGTGTGTACACTTGACTTTTAATTGGCCAGTATTTGCAGAATTCATACACTGTAGAACAACTAAGTACCGTAAAATCCCACCAGAGCGCCCCGTCTCTCCCATGCGCCCCTCCCTGACTTCTTGTCAGGGAAGTGATTGATTGCATCCTCGTATGACTCTGTGATGCCGTACTGGACTGTACTGCAGACGCGTGCTCGACCCCGTTGGAAATGTACGCAACCGTGCCCACCCTCTTGACCAGGGATCGCACAAACCCTGAGTTTTGATGGGTCTGTACGACTCCCTGCTCTTTACCGTTGGTCGGTGTACGAGATGCATGACCAGTTTTCGTAGGGTGAGTACTTTTTCATGTAGTGCAGAATGCGGCAAGTAGGACTCGCTCAACCGCCCCTCCCCACCTGGACCTACTCGAAGGGTGGCGGAGGTAGGGGCGCTCTGGCGGGATTTTACGGTACTTGCAAAATTTCGATTGGCTTGGCAAAACTTTAGCAGTAACGCTCCTTTTACTAAAGTCGCTCAAATATCACTGGCGCTAATATTATCCGCTTTTAATACTGTCTAGTTGTGATGGAACACAAACCCTGCAATGCATGATTGTATGTACATCCTTGTGCACAGCGTTATTAATATTGCCAAAACAAAGGAAGAAAGAAATTGCATGCCAACAAACCAATCCAGCTTCGAATGGGGCGGAGATGGAACCCCGACACAGAGCAGGCACACGCAGTACATACCACACCAGTCAAAGGCCACATCTCAGGAGTATAAAATAATGTCCATAATCTTACTAGTTTCAGCCATAAGGCTTCATCAGAGAAGGAAAAATTACTTAATCTGCCGCCATATTTGCGGTCTCGTCGTGTCCAATGGCGGTTACCTTGTGCGCAATACCAAGTTCTGCTGCAATGGACTTGATGTGCTCGGCAACATTGGCTGCTGTGTGACTGCCGTCCGTTGGTCGTATTGCCAGCACGAAACTCTGCAACTCCCGAGAATCGCCCAGGAAATGCACAATGTACGTTGCAAATGATCGCACAGCCTTCGATGTCCACACATCAGTGGCGAGTGCAGCGGCTGGGACTGCCTTCAGCAGCGTGCACAGTTCTGCTCTGCCCTCCTCGTGCCTCTTCACAATCACTTTCGACACATGGATCCTGCTTGTGCCATGTGTGGTGCCCAGGCTCCAAGTGCTGGAGCAAGCTCTGGAGGCCAGAAGCACTCAACACACTCGGGGTTTTTTTCTTAAACCAAGCTGCTCTTCAATAGAAATCATTAGCATAGCTAGTTCAAAGCCTTGAATAACAATGTTCTCACGATACAGTCAAGAAATGCAGCTCGTAGTTCGGGTAAGGCCTAGTCGCTCTTCAACAATGTGGCCGCGTGTTGCTCGTCGTCCAACCAATCAGCAAGTTTGTTATGGCCTTAGCCTGTGCTGAACCACAGGGTTTGGTTGCTACCTTCGGTGCAACGTCCGTCAGACGGGAGGCTTTTTCTCACCGCTAGCCTCGGTTGCCAGAACTGCAGAGTGATACTTCTTCAGGTGAGTGTGAAGATTACTCGTCGTTGCTCCGTTGTACGACACAACCTTCTTAAGCTACAAATCTCCCTAAAAAATCAAAAGAACACGCAGAACAATTACTACAACACTCGTGTCGACAACACTCCTTCAACAACGGTTTTCAAAGACCGGGTAGTTGCAAGTACATGTACTTTGAATCTATCCGCCAAGTGGCTAGTTCCGTACTAACCGTTTTCAGTGCTGTTGTGAATGCTGTACTATGCGCGCCACAGTTGATCAGCGCGCTTGAGCTCGAGACCTCCGACTCGTGGAGATCTACCGTACATTTAGCCATCTACCATGTACAGTTGCGCTCGGTGAAATCCAACGCAAAGTGCAAAACTGACGCCCTGGACCAGTTCAGATTACATCACTTTACTTGTACATGTGTACGTCCAGCCGCATTCGTACCACTTAATTAAAGGGCCGTGCAGGTTCAGGGCACCGGATATGCACTTTAGGTCGGATTTCACCGAGCGCAACTGTAGATCTACGTGCGGTACAGGTCATGTTGCGAAATGTAGTGTACAGACTCTGCACTGTGCATGCAGCGTGAAATACGCAATTCAGTGCACGGGTAAGTGTGTAGTTACGACGTACATGGTGCTACACAGTATGTGTTCGAACAGCAATCTTGAGAGTTTGTACGTTAGTTTTCAAATGTTTCGAATGAATGATTCGAATTTTCTTTTGTTCGTTTCTCCCCTATCGTGAATATGGTGTGTGTACGTGTGTGTACGTGTGTGTGTGTGTGTGTACGTGTGTGTGTGTGTGTGTGTGCATGTGTGTGTATGTTTCTGTTGTAGGCGGAAGTGAGTCGACTTCGTCAAAGTGATGAGCAGCTAAACGCCGACATGGCTCGGAATGTTGTGGACCTGCAGCGTCAACTAGAGCAAGAGAAAGGTATAGGTGCAATGTATGTGTGTGTCATGGTCTGTGTTGCCCGTGTGTCATGGTATGCTTGCATTGTGTTCTTCATAAATCTACGCCCCGCTGGCAGGATAACGTGTCTGCTCGTGGTGCTGTTGAGCAGTCGTTTTTTTACCATCTGGATTATCTTCTAAACCAGACATGGCAGTAGTTTGGATCCAGGCGATTCTGTTTCTCCTGCCTGTTTGGCTCCGTTCCAAGTTGCCTACTACCAAAGCGCAGAGGTAGTCGTGGTAGTCGTGTTGTCACCCAAGCAATTATGCTTCACGCTTGTCATGTTTGTAGGACTGTGTGCTCTTCAAACTTCAGTTCCATTGGTGTTTGTAGAGAAATTGTGGTAAAACACCTTGGCGACACACAGAGGAAACTGCACACCTGCCCACACAGCGCTCTCTAAGCTGCAAAGTACCGGCAAGAGCGCTCCTTCTCTTACTCTCACCATCGTGTTGTGCACGGCGTCTTGTCTTCACAGCATTGCATTAGTATTCGTTGATCATTATTACTTGCTCAGTGCCTGTAGGTGTATGCCTTACAAGTAACGTATTTCCTGTGCTCAATTTGTACTCACGGATGATCCTGCAGCCAACAATGTCAGGCGTCAACAATCGCTCACCTCGGCCCAATCTGAATCGCAAAGATGTCGGCAAGAGTTGGAAGATTACAAGCAACGCGCTGCGAGAATTCTTCAGGTCGGTCCTGCATGCTGTCGTGGTCGTATTCAGGCATGCACATGTGTGTGGGTGGGTGTGGGTGAGCGTGTGTTTGTGTGTGCATGCACGCGTGCGTGTGTGCATGTGTGTGGGTGTATGTGTGCATATTTCGGCAACCATTGGCTGGTGTTGCTGTTGTTGATGATGGCAGTCGTCATCATTATCATCCTCATCCCTGTGTTCCTCATCATCGTTACTGTTGTTGGTGTTGTGTAGGCCAAAGAACAGCTCATTTCCAAGCTTAAAGAAGGTGGCTTGGATGATGGTACCACAGAATGTCAGAATGCCGAACTGGCTGCTTTACAGGAGGAGAAGTCTCTGCTTCAGGAGAGTCTGCAGCAGTCGAAGCAAGAAATCGACCAGCTGCGCATGGAAGTCGAGGTATGTGAGCAGGGCATGACAATGTCCCAAACTAGTGGCCGGTGAGCGGTTGGGAAGTGAATGGGAATTCTCTGCATGTGCAAGCAAGAGGAAGAATGTCCTTAGAGCGCAGGGCTGTAACGTTACTGTGCTGACAATAGAGAGGTTCTGCAAAACGAAAATGTGTACGAACTTTCACTCTACGTCACGAAGTGAGAAACTTCGCACGAACTTTCGCAACTTTGGACGCGAAACTTGCAGGGAACGCGAAATGAACTTTCGTAGGAAGTTTCGTGAGATTGGGTCATGGCGTGCGTGCACTTGGCGCGTGCAAACTATGAAAATGTGCAGAACGCAAAGTTCGTGCGAAAATTCGTACACATTTTCGCAAGGTCTGTCGCGAAACTTCGTTCGAATTTTCGTTATGCAGAACCTCTCTAATGTCCTTAGAGCACAGGGCTGTACTGTGCTGACAATGTCCTTAGAGCACAGGGCTGTACTGTGCTGACAATGAACAACATGACTGCATACGTACATGAATTGTTGTGCTCCAGTGGTGGCCTCTCTTTTTTTTGCCATGTTGATCTGTGATGTGATGAAGTTTGCACAAATAGTTTCGAAAACAATGAATGGTATTTTCTTGGTGCTTGCATATTTGAGTATTTGAATTTGTGTATATATGTGACGTGCATGCGCACCTGTTTACAGGAGTTGGACAGTGCACACGTTCAGGAGCTGAATATGGTACAGGAGCAGCGTGACCAGGTCGAGTCGCAGCTTCAGGATGAGCAGCGGCAACGGAGTGTTGCGGACATGGAACACCAGCAGAAGCAGAAGGTGAGTTATGTACAGTGCCTGCTTGTGAAGTACACTCAGACCTCGCTTAAACGCACACATCCGTTTTCGACAACAAATATCCGGATAGGCGAGGGAACCGGATAACCGAACAGCGGTTATGTTGGATGCATCGTGCATGCTGTAAATCTGTAACCGGCTGCATCATGTATTTTCTTCCGGTTGGCGAGGGATCCGGATAAGCGAGGTCTGACTGTACCGCGTCCGCCTGCCTACCTGCCTGGGTAGAATGTCAGAAGCAGACTCTGTTCATTGCACACCGGTATAGTGTTGCAACTAGCTTGCTTCTTATAGCTTTGGAGTCCGTGGATTGTTGTTTCCTGACTGTGTCTGCGATTTTGAGACGACAGTATGACGGCCTTTGTAGGCTGATGTGACTAAGAACCTGGTCAAGTGTACCCGCTAGTAGTGTAGAGTTGGCTTCACGTTGTACAGCACCGTCATTACGTCATACAGCACAATCATTACGTCGTACAGCACCGGCATTACGTCATCATCATTATAGCAAGGTCACTGGCACGGGGCCCTAGTGTGCTTTCCGCTCTGTGCAGTTCCGTACTTAGTCTGGCTGATAACGCTTGCTTGCTTGGATGCGACCGTGTATTGCATCCAGGTCGGCAGTGTCCCTATGTTGTTGCAGATTTCTTCCGTTCCGTTTTGATCGTGATCACGTACCCATGTGTGTGTGTGTGTGTGTGTGTGTGTGTGTGTGTGTGTGTGTGTGTGTGTGTGTGTGTGTGTGTGTGTGTGTGTGTGTGTGTATTTTTCTTTTCTCCTTTCTACAGGAAATGGAGTTGTTACAGGACGAGCTCGTGCGCCAGAAAGCTGCTCTTCACACCCAGCTGAAGGTGTGTATCGATGACAATGTGTGTGTGTGTGGGGGGGGGGGGGGGGGGGGGGTGCTCTTGTATGTGTGCGGGAATGAGTGTGGACGCGTAATATTTTAATTAGAAAAGTCGCAAATAACAAGCTGCTATTGTGTTGTGTGGCAGTAGGTATTTTGGGTATGCCCCCACATGAGCGCCTTTCCTTTGAAAAAACTAATGGCTGTGAAACAGCCTACGTAATAAGTAATATGGAGGGATTACAAAAATCGGGTGAAAAACCGAGAAATCATAACAAACAAACAACCTGACAATCATAACAACAAAAGTAAATGATCAGTGTCCTGGGATCACTGCCTCATTTGCAACAAGCGAGGCAGGGGAGTTGGAGCCAATGGGGGCTCGCAGAGTGCGGGATCCACGGAGGCACATCACACTAGCACGGAGGAGGGCAACGCTGAGTCTACAGTGGACCCTTGCCATGACGGTGCTGTAAGGCTCGCCGGTTTTATCAGCAAGCAGGCAGGCAATCCTCTTGTAGAGTGCAGTGCAATGCCGACTCATCCCGCCCGTTGTGGCAAAGACTGCTGGAACAAACGGTGCATGTTCGATATCACGCACACATTGCTCATAAGCCCTGCGCTTCTCCTTCTCCTGCCGAGTGTAGGTGGAGGCCAGTGAAGTGGGTCGATTTGAGGACGCACAGCGGTTGAACACCCTGACATCAATAAACGTGCGCTCAAATCGGCCACCCCAAAGGCCACTGGCAGCTACATCCAGGCGGGCCTGTTCCTGAACATTTGCGGAGCGAAGACGAATTGCTCTCCTGTCACCGGCTGGAGGTGAGGCTCTACTGCCACATTGTGCGCCACCTTCTTCCGCAAGCTGGCGGTGATGTCGCGCACCTCATTGTGGCGGATGGAAGGGAAACCACCTGTGGGACACGACAGAGCATGACAAGTGGTAAACTTGGCACCACATGGGCAAGCCGATGGACACTCGATTTGTCAAAGACTCAAATCATGATCAACTCAAAATGGCCAGTTCAGTATTGAATGGCGATATTGCCTTGCTCAAAACCGTCTCCCGCTGGGCTCTGCTTGAAAGCGTGACTTAGCACTAACCAGGTTTTCCATGCAGATCAATCTGCTTGACAGACTCTTTCACGTTTAATGCATTTCCAGACAGTTCCTGAAGTATAAACTTATGGTCAGAAGGCCAATCTTTCGATAATTTGAAAGAAAACATGGATGGAGCAGGAGCTCCAAAATTTGCTCCCGCCTCAATCGCGTACAAAGTCTGAAGGCGAAGGTTGAGTGCTCTAGCGGCTGCTTGGTCTTTAAGTGCACGGAAGAGATCGACGTATGCCTGGCGTGTTTTTCAAGACATCAGAGCGTAAACCATCGGCAGGCACTTCCCTGAAACCATGATATAGATGGTCGTAAGTTGTGTGTACAGAGCAGGGGCGACTTTGAATGTTCCGTCCATGAACCAAGATTGACTGTTCCATAGGCTCTCCAGATCAGGAGGGGATACGAACACAAGAGTGTCATTCTTATGGCCGATGGATGCCAGGAAGAAGTCGTGACATTCTTGCGTTTGGCGGAAAACATCAGGAATATTGATTTCTGCACGCGCTCGAGGCAGTGCCGGGTACCGCTCTTTTCTACATCTATACAAAGTGGAGTGCAGCGAGTTGAATGATGGCAAATGAGCGGCAACTGGCACTGGCAGGTTGGTGGACTCCTCGTCGTATATTATAGTTCTTACGCCTGTGCCTCCTTGCCGACAGCGACGCTTCATGCTATTCACAGCTCTCCTCACTTCTACCTGCTCGGGAATCGGCGGATGGTTGTCCTCTGTGGTTACTGCTGCAATGTTGTCCTCTTCAACTTCGAGTATACTACTTCCAGCTGTTGTCAGACGCCCACCACATGCTGGCCTAGTACATCGCCAAGTAATCCTGCCATCTGCTTTCTTCTTGTCCTTCCTATAGGAGTAACCTTGGTGAGTAGAACCATAGTCTCCTTTCTGTGTCACAGTCAGAATTGCCGAAGCCGCGTCTTCGTCATTGCTCTCTTCGTTGTTGTGTTCAAGGTCCGGGGTCCTCGCTTTTCCCGCTACTGGTGTCGTTAGAGCTGACTTCGTCATCGCTCTCTTCATTGTTGTGTTCATGATCCTGTCTGGGGTCCTCGCTTTCCCCGCTACTGGTGTCGTTAGAGCTGGCTTCGTCAATGTCCTCCGCCTCGTACTCACTCGTCTCGAGATCGTTTCCACTTGTATCTTCCCTGCTCATCTCTCTGCTCGTTGTGTCTTCGCTGCTGCCCACGCTGTTGTCGATATCCGCCATGGTAATACAGTCAGACCTCGCTTAACCGCACACATCCGTTTTCCACAAAATATCCGGATAGGCGAGGGAACCGGATAATCGAACGCACATACTGTATGTATGCATGGCATATGCTGTAAATCGGTCACCAGCGATTTTCTTCCGGATGACGAGGGATCCGGATGACGAGGGATCCGGATAAGCGAGGTCTGACTGTAATAACGTGGGCCTGCACATTATGGGTTACGTGTGTAATGAGCTGGCTTATATTTGGACGCTAACATAATTGGTCGCGCCAAACTGGGGCGTGCAAGATATGAGACAAGCTGTGGTGACACAGTGTCACATTAATAGGTCGCACTGCTGTAAAAGCCATTATTCTAACGAGGCGCATATATAACGATTTCCCAAAATTGACTAGTTTACGTGTACCAAAGGTAACGATTCTCACTCATTCTCAACGCTCAATAGTACAGTATATGTATCGACTTCTGTATAACGATTTTTATTTTAACGACAGATTTCTCCTCGTTAACTCATTAGAGTTAGCACTTCGTTATATATATGGCTTTTACAGTATACTGGGGGTGCGCTGTTTTGGGTGTAAATCGTATTTTGTACTGGGTGACGGGAATCATATGATTGCCCTACTGCTATGACTGGTGTCTTGAAAGAGAGCTTCTGCCAGCGTTAGGTGTTTCCCTTGTGTTTGTTGTGTGTATGTGTGTGTGTACGCACGTGTGTATGTGTGTGTGTGTGTGTGTGTGTGTACGTGTGTGGGGGGGGGGGGGTGTAATGCCCCATGTTAGCCACCTCTCTGCTCCTTTACATGTTCTTCTCACCATGTTCTGTTACTTGTGTTCTCTTCTTTCACCAGGATGAGCAAGCAAGGATGACCTCCCTGGAGAGCAAGGTCAGTGCGTGGAGAGTGACTTGATCGGAATTGCAACTGTGCAGTGTACTGTGTAAGGTACTATTGTTAGGGATCTCAGCGCGTGCAATGCGCAGGGTGTTTGCACATACATTGCGTCATCAAGTTTTGAGTGCAGCTCACGGACACAGGTACAACATGGCGATGATTGATTTTAGGGCCTAGAAAACGACAAGGAAAAATGGTTACAATTGACACTGGCGGAATCGTCATCTTCATCGTCGTTAGAACACATGGTGATTCCCCCCAAAGGACAGCGTGGCCAAGGCTATATCGCCCCGGTCGATTTTCCTATAATTTGCCATGGTACAAGAACCCACTTCAGAGAAGATTCAGTGAAAAATTCAGCCGTTTTCCCCGGTTAGATTGTCCTGACTTCGATTTTCAATGCAGCAGCCATCGTGAACATCGCCGCCGTTATCACTCAGAAGAAGAGGTGTTCACACTGCGTCCAAGAGTGAAATATTGTGCAAAACTGGCTGCGCAGTTCACGCGCTGAGATCCCTACCATAGAGCTTGAAAATTGACGCAGTTTTTTTGTGTGTCAAAGCTGTGTCGATGCAGATTTCTGCATAGGCTTTTGGCACAGTGTGGGGTGGTCATCTTATGTTCTGCGTACCTTTGGGTTTGTAGAAATTTCTCATGCATATATGGTTTGCTTTATATAATCTGAAACTTTAAATTTCTTGTCAGTCTACAATATTAAAAATTTCCTGCAAGCTTCTGATGCTGTCGCTGAAGCAACGACAACTGCAGACTTTGCGAACTCGACGTTCTTTGGAATCTGATTCTTAGTACATGTACTAATTTACACCCGATGCACATTTTTCTGTGAACAGCGTACATTGGGAACTCTGTATTCTGGTCCTTATGGTGTCAATGCGCATTCACTGTCACTCTGACAGTGATCCATGTGTGTACAGTGCTCCAGCTTTTAGACATATAGATGATGCCATAGTGACACAAGCACACAATCGCTGTGCAGCTTTCTATTGTGTCAACCACCTGTGCAATGCCCTTCTGTGCTCAGATGACAACACTGCAGCGTTCGTCGCAAAATGGTGCGCGCAGTGCCGAAATGGAGTCGCGCATGCACACGCTCACCGATAACTTGCTCACCAAGCAGACCCTGGTGGAGACGCTAAGCTCTGAAAAGAATGCCCTGTTACTACAGCTGGAGAAGGCTAAGGTTAGTGCTAACCAAGGTTCCTTTTGATCACACTGTTGTGGCTGATTACCTGGGCAGTTTGATTTGGCCGTGGAACGTTTGCCTTGTGATGTAGAGCTTGGTTTCATAAGCAGTGACCGAGTAAACATTCTTACTCCTTCTTTCTCCCGTTCTCTTTCGAATATCTCCTGTTCCCTCCCCCTGTGCACTGGTAAGCGTATTGTTTGTGCCTTTGCTCCTGTGTTCATTTGCAGCAAGCTGTTAGCTCTGCCGAGGGTATGAATAAGCGAATTGCACCGGGTCACGCCGTGAACATGCCACACTTTGAGGACGCAGATGGTGAAGGTAAGTCATGACGGGTGGAAACGTACACTGGTTTTACTCTCTTGTCTCGTCATCTGTGTGTCCTCTGTGTCCAGTACAGTGTAACAGTGTTTCATAATTTTGACGAAAGGCACATGCCCAGTATGTTGTTGTACATGACTGACTATATAGTGCAGATGCGATTATAATTTGCGATAAACACTCAACATACAACATCGAACATTTTGACATTCACGTGGCCCACTTTGGATAATAGGAAGTCCAGATAATTTGAATTTGAAGCCTGGAAACTGGAAATTTGAAGTTCGAATTAAAGGGAGTCTAATTTACCCGTGTATTTCTTTCTCTCTCTCTATTCCCCTCCCCTGCTCGCAATCTGTCTCTCCACCTCTGCTTGTACAGCTCAAACACGCCTGAGACCGATGAGCTCTATGATGCCGGGCTCACTTGCAATTCAAGACGATGACGGCATTGCTCGGCATATGCGCTCCGCGGCGAACACGCTTGACACATTCAGGTACGTGCTTGCTCAGACGCCCGATATACATGTACTTGCAAGACTTCTCTTTTCCTCAACAGAGTGCATGTACACGTGACTGCTCTTGACGGCTGTGCATCTCTCCGTACCCGGCTGAATCCATACATTGATTTTCTCATAGAGCCTGTTAGCCATCACCTCAAGATCTGCAAGTGTTACATGAAGACACTGGGGTTATTTGAAATTGGGTACCAGTACACAACTTATGGAGTGTGTTGTGAATGAGAACACTGGAAATGGGAAACCAGAGTCGCGGCAGTCGGAAAGGGTGGGAGAGCAAAGTAAGATACCAAATCTTTTGGCATTTGTGTTTGTAAATGAGTGCACTGGGTGCTGCCTGCCAACTGCTGCATGTTCACATGAGCTTGGGGTACTTTGTATCAGTGTTTATAGCTATGCATATTGTCTTCTGTGGCGTGTAACGGCTAAACAATGCAGACTCTGTTGTAGAGTTTTCCATATGCTACCTGATCCTGCTCGTTCCTCCTGATAACCCTGCGATTTTTTTGCATTGTTTGGATGGTCCGTGTGCAGTGTTCGTCTGGGTCGTTTCCTACGGCGCTACCCAGTGGCACGGCTTTTTATAATTGTTTACATGGTAAGATTTGAACTCTCTGAGCTATTGCCATGACGATGTTTCTCTGCAATCAAGTACTGGCTGTCTGTAACTACATGTACAATGTCTGCTTTTGGCTGTTGAGCATGGCCGTGGCCCGCCAACGGACCAGATCATATATTTTGCAATTTTCTGCATTTCGAAAAAGGAAATTAGCCCACCCGTGACTCACACTGGTCATCATAGTTGTTTGGAGTGTCTGTTGTACTGTGGAAACCTACTCAAAGATACTATAATTTCACGAATTTTCTGTGTACTTTTATTTTCGGTACTTTCGGTGCATCTATTTCATACCTAAAATGTCAATACACCGAACAAACACTAACACGCATAAACCAATAGGGAACTGCTTCTCTGTACCTAAAATTTCTGCTCGCCTAACCTGGCCTTTTGCCCTCATACCGAAAATATTGAGCACCGAAAATTTCTGAAATTAGAGCACTACGTGTACTGCTGTGTCATTCAGCCCTGTTCTTGTGTGGGTGACTTTTTGAAAAGAGTCGAAAGACACCTTTCCATATTGCCTGAAACAATGTAAGGCCTGCATTCGTCAAAAGATCAGTCCTGTATTAGCCATAATTTGTAGCCTTTTACACAGAGGCAGTGCACCACCTTAACCTGCTAGAGTGCTCAATGCCCTCCCCCCCCCCCCCCCCCCCCCTGCGATGGGCAGAGGGCAGTACACAAGTGGTACACAAAGGAATCTAATCTTGTTCTGTTGTCTGATGTTTGGTTGTTACCATGACATTCTGACTGATTTCTGAGTTACAACAAGAAAAGCCCTACTTTCCTTTGTGTACCTCTTGTGTATGTAGCCTTTTACATGTACACAGTTTCGGCATCGGACTTGCACAACTCTGAAGGATAGTACAGTGTACTCTAGTTGGTATGGGCCATCACTCTCTGATACTGCCTAGCGCCACTGCTAGTCTGTGTCCCGTTTTACCGTTCCTAGTTATCTCTATGGGAAAGTGTTTCTTCTTTTTCGGCTTATCCTTTGCTCTGTGTGTGTGTGTATGTGTATGCGTGTGTTACTGACCTCAGTTCCTGCTTCACGTGTGGGTCACCGTTGTCTTGCTCACCTACCAACCGGAGATACACGGCGCCGACTCGCCCAAGGGACCACACGGCCCGCAATGAACTCACAGTTGAGTGCACCCTCTTGTTGTATGTGTTGCCCTGCTACCACCCGCTGTCACAATCATCGCTTCAAATACCCTATTATTTTCCGTCTGCTATTCTGTTGCTGTGATCCGCCGCAGTTCACGTGCTGTTATTCTTGTTTTTACTTGCGTGAGCGTCGGCGTGCATGCAACCTGCAGCTATGCTCTCCCCGATACGTGTGTGCCAAGGGCATTGTGCTTGTCCTTGCTATGCGCCCAGCACCCAGACATCTGCTCCTTGACCGTATCTCCGGCGCTCATTGCACAGCGCCCTATTGCGTGCATGGCACTCGCCGATAACCACCTGTACGTTAACCAGTCCAGACGCGTACCGATGTATACATATCCACTGTTGCCGGTCTTGCGGCTCACTGCCTTGAATTCTCGATGGCTTTCATGTCATGCTCTGCATTTTTAACAGCAGATACGACGTACTGCTGGTTTTATAGATATTGTACCGACCTACGGCAAACTCCTTTGCGGTATGTAATGAAACTATCCCTGTGCCGGCCGTAAGGACTGATACATTCAGTGAATAATACGATCACCGACATATTAGTTAATGTGCTATGCTTGTGGGGCAAGGCGGGTAGTCACCCTGCAAGTTAGTTTAAAAGAAGAAAGGACCAAAGGCTTACAAGTTTAATACCCGTTACCGTAGTTGTCCAACACTGGCAATTATAAGCTTTGTATTGATGACTCATGACGTGTAACATTTAGCACAATATTGACTGCTGTGGTACTGGCATTCACCGATCTGACGTTTAGCTCCATTAAGTCTTGAATGCGCACGCCAACAGCGTTCCAGCCGTTCGTCCTTTCTTCTTTTTTAAATCTTTTTTAAAGGGGAAGTTAAGGCTAAAATCAAAATTTCACCAGTTGTAGTCTTCGGGGTGCTGAGTCGAATGGTCTTGGTCCGAGGAAGCTGAGACGCTTCCTTCCTACTTTAATCCCAATCGAACTCGCGCACTTCCACCGAAACTGGGTGACTGCGCCCTACTAGATGGGGATTTGTACGCAAAATGTCACTAAAAGCGCCATTTCGTTCTTATAAAAGCACGTATGACCGCGATTGGCCCATATGTTGTAGTCTTTTGGACGCTGAGTCGACTGGTTTTGGTCCAAGAAAGCTGCGATGCAGCGTTCCTCCTTTATTCCCAATCGAACATGGTTGAACAAGCAGTCACGTGCTCCTGCGTGCCCAAGTCACCTGGTCACCGCGCCAGCAAGCGACAACTTTCACACCAAGGTTCAACCCGCATTCAACTCGAGTGAAAGGAGTGCACCCAAAAAAGGTCAAAACAGGCTGTAAGTGGTACCCTGCAGGCGCTAGGCTGGCACGGTCACCAGGTGACTGGTGTACGCAGGAGCACCTGACCGCTTGTTCAACCATGTTCGATTGGGAATAAAGGAGGAACGCTGCATCGCAGCTTTCTCGGACGAAAACCAGTCGACTCACCGTGCTTTTATAAGAACGAAATGGCGCTTTTTATAAGAACGAAATGGCGCTTTTAGTGAAATTTTGCATACAAATCCCCATCTAGTAGGGCGCTGGTGAAATTTTGATTTTAGCCAAATCCTTGGACGCCAGCGATGGGGCCGCAAACTGAGATGTTGAATACCAGGGGCAGGGTATTTTACGACTCCCTGCAGAATACTTTATTTTGCATACCGGTGGAACAACTCCACACTCATGGAAGGATCCAACTCATCTGTCAATGAAATCCAGACAGAAGAGCCCACGACAGGCATATCTCTTTTTCGGCATCATGAAGTGGGGCGTAAAGCAGACCTTGGCCTCGTTCTGGGGGGGGGGGGGGGGGGGGCTTTCCAGGAATGCTGGGGCACTGGAGTCAAGTACAGCCAGACCTCGCTTAACCGCACACATCAGTTTTCAACAAAATATATCCGGATATGCGAGGGAACCGATTCAACTTCAACCGAATAATCGAACACACAATCATACTGTATGTATGCATGACCTACAATCATGTGTGCTGTAAGTCGGTACTGACCAATGATTTTCTTCCGAATGGTGAGGGATCCGTATAAAAGAGGACCGGATAAGCCAGGTCGGACCCCTGTACTACTACTAATAGTTATGACGCGTCGACGATGTGCAGAAGTACAGCCGTAACATTCCGAGTTGAGCATTGCAGCCTATTACTAATAGTATTAGTATTAGTATTACTACTGTAGTAGATCTACTACTAAAAATACTAGCTGTGCATGTGTGAGTGAGTGATGGTTCAGACATAGCAAGGGCTGAGAGCTAGAGCCAGGCAGTAGAGGACCGTAGCCTGCCTGCCTTGCCTAGGCGGCGTAAGCGTAGATCTACCAAGACTGAGGCTGCGTTTACACGACAACGCTGGGGGCGAAAACGCAACGAAATCCTTTCGGATCCATGGTTCATTTACACGGTACGCGGAGCAAAACGTAAAAGTTGTACACCAAAACGGAGGAAAACCAAAACGCTGGCCAAGGTGGAAGAATTTGAAAACGGAAATGTTCTGACGGATAAATTTGGGTGTGTAAACAGTCGAAACGGTGTGCTGGCCTCGTTTTCCGTCACGTTTGTTTCGTTTTCGGCCGTTTACACGGATCCGACAATCCAAAAAATTGTTTTTACAATTTTCGTCATGTGACATGTGTTGTCGTGTGCCTGTTTTCAACCATTACTTGAGTGTGATTGGTGCTTCCACGGCAACACTTGGCACATGACGAACTTTGGCGGATCCTTTGCTCTCGTGTAGACGCTTGAAAACGGTACAAACGGAGACCACCTCGGATCGGCTTTGATCGTGTAAACGTACGAAAACGAAAAAAGAAATGCGGGACTGAAAACGGAAAACTGGCCGTGCGTTGTCGTGTAAACGCAGCCTAAGGCAATTTTTTTCTAAGTGAATGCACGCTTGCTTGCGGCTCCTTTTTAAAAAAACCGGATTAAAATCTGTCCAAATTTGAGAGAGAAAATGGAAAATTGATTTTTTAGCTCGCTTTGCTGGCTGATTTCCGTGCATTTGCATGCGTCGCTGCTAGATGCTTTGTCTTTGAAGAAGTCATGCACCTAGTCCTTATAGGCGATTCACACGACAGGCAAATCCACGTTTACAGGAAAGTCACCATGGAGATATTCCTGCGGGTGACCAAAATTTGCCCGCGGGAATCAAAAGTGTCCATGGCCTTTTTGCCCGCGGATGCACTCATCTGCGGGCACTTTTACAGTTATGAGGCTGTGAGGTCGTACTATCGTACGGTAGTCTTGAACCCTGGTTGTTTGGCCTTCGTCTTTGGGTACTCATTCCAAATCACCACAGTAACGCCGTATACTCACCGGATACTCGCGGGAGCTCTGGCCGCCACCCGCCGCCGTGTGAACTGCAGCCTCACGTTTCACTTCCTGCGGGCACCTGACAAACGTGGATTTGCCTGTCGTGTGAATCGCCTATTATAGGGCTTGAAAGTGATGACGTCAAAACGGCCAGGGAGTAGTAATTTGGCATCAGATTTCTATTTTTGGATCCACTAAGGTGTGACTTTGCTATTGCCTAAGTATGTGGGTGCATAGCAACCCACTCATGTCGCATGCAGGTGTGATTTTTATTTCGCCACCAGTTGTAACCCCGCCCCCAGTAGCCAAATCAGTCAGTTTCACTGGCTACATCACCATGCAGTGGGTAAGACTCGTTAGTAAGACCGCTTGAAATGTGCTTGGATCCACACAAAAACTGGATCCAAGTGGATCCAGTTTTTGAATTTTTGAAATTGTTGCTATGCTGTGACGTAGCACTTTCAAGCCCTATTGATCATCTCAACGCATCCACGTGGGGTATTCCCCTGTCAGGCTGGCGCCGGCCTACATGTAGAATCACACATACACATACACAATGCGTCAATGGCCCTTTGACTGGATGGAAAAGAGTGCACACTTATCATAACTTATAGTGAATGGACTGTACTGACTCTATCCTGTCGACATGACTGTCATGTCGTGAGTCGGGGAAGAGCCAGACAAGCACAGAGCGGCACCGGACAGCCTCTGACTCTGTAAATCGATTCTGTAGCATTATATTACACCGATCGAGCGCTCGGCCGCTCGCGCTCGTGACACGACTCATACTACATGACTGTACTACATGTACTACTACTACTGTACTAGATATCTTTGTCCTGTCCCTAGGCTCGTACTTCCCTGTTCCAGCTTGAGATTGGCACGAACAGTGTCCGCGTCGGACACTCGTACCAGCAGTAGATAACGACGTATCAACAAGAGTCAAGTTGCTGCAGTCTAGAGACTAGAGTCGCTAGCAGAATCTTTTTTTATAATACTTAGTAAATGGTTTTGTTCGTCAGAAGGTCGCTCATAGCTTTATTGAGCGGCTGGCTAGTTTCACTCGCCAACGCGAGATTGTGGATTGTCCTGGAGTCGCTATTACCGGACTTTGACTGCAAGAGTTTTTCCGGAGTGAAGGTCGTACATTGCCTCCGTTTGCTCGCTGCGATCGATCACTAGCACTGTCACCACTGGTCCTCAGGCTCAGTTTCGTTTTTGGTCGAGCTGCACACGCTCGGCGTGCAGATAAAGAAGGAGGGCTAGAGCGCCAGTCATGGCGCACTCCATTGGTCCTTTGTTGCTAGTGGCGGTGGTGGTTATGATGGCTGTCCCGCTGGTACGTAGATCTGCTTTTTGTACTTGTAGTGCTATGCAGTACTAACTCACTACACTTCACTAGTCTGTTGCTGCGCACACATACAGCCTGGGTAGTGTCATCTTTGTTGCGTAGACTATGCCTAGGCTATGGCCACCTAAGTCTAAGACTACTATTCCTTGTGCAGTGCCAGTGCGTGGGCAGTGGTGCTCCAGTCGACTGCGCTTGTTTCAGCAGTTCTGCCATTGCGGGCTAGGTTGTGCTAGCGGAGCTGAGCGCGATCGGCTGCCGCCATCAGCCTGTCCGGCCAGAACTTGCCCCCCAGAACTAGCTAATAATAGTAATGGCAGAAGCACCGATCGCTCTCTCTGGCCGGCCGCAGACTCGACCTGATTCGTTCCCCCCCCCCCCCCCCCCCCCCCTGCCTCGGTCGAGTCCCACCTGCCCCCGCCCCCGTCTTAGCGCCTGTGGATCTCTCGCGCAATAGTTTACTGCCAGTAGTACTAGTAGTGTAGTAGTACTAGGCAGTAGGCACCAAGTCCATGGTTACTCAGTCTCTGAATACATGTATAATTTTGCAGTTGTGCACAGTCTGAAGATCAGCCGTGGCTGCACAACAATACGTCATGGTCACCTTCAGTGATAGCATTAAACCAAAATACTGGTCTCGTAAAAAATATATTATTGTTTAGCGTGCACCATGCTGGCCGAGCTGCTCCAGCAGTGTTTGTAGTGCTGAGGCTGTGCTGCTGCTGCTGCAGTCGAACTGCAGTACATGTACAGTGTACTAGTATTGTGTACACTGTGTGAGTGTGTGAGTGTGCACTGTGTGAGTGTGACTGTGTGAGTGTGAGTATGAGTGTGTGAGTATGAGTGTGACTGTGCACTGTGTGAGTGTGCACTGTGTGAGTGTGGATCTAACAACAGTCACCATGTGGTTGTCATTTGCAGGTCACATCAGGACAACACTCAGACACGGACACGCACGAAGAGAATCGCCGTGGGCGACCGGAATCCGGGTCGCGGAGAGGACCAGGCCAGCACATGCAGCGTGGCGGCGGTGGTGGTGGCCGTGGAGCGGGGCACGGAGCACGTGGCCGTCGCCCTCCCGGTGGTCGGCGAGCACACCGTCCCCCGTTTGACACCGACCGACAGAACAGAACCTACGGAGAGGACCAGCCGGCAGCCCGCCGGGGAGGTCGGCGCGGAGGTCGGCGCGGAGGTCCACGTTTCAGGTCTCTGCCAAACAACCGCAGTGCTGGATTGGTGCTTGGCAATGCACGCCCATTCCTCACTCTCAATACAACACGGTCACCAGACGGACGCCGTCCAGACAGACGCCGTCCACCACCACCATGGATGCGTCCGTCACCCTACAATAAGTCTCCGAAGTCACACGGCAAGAGTCGCGGTGGCATGGGCAGCCAGGATCCTCAATGCTCCAGTAAGCTGAAATTGCTCAAGTCCTCCGTGAAGAGCATCCTGCACAGATACGAGAGCCACAGTGAGTTCTTTTTGAAGCTGTTGCGAGGTTCAAGCAACATGTCCGATTTCGACGTGCGCAGCATAATGGTCGGTGACGTCAAGGCCAAGTGCGACCAAGTTACGCTGTTTGTGAAGCAACTAAAGGTGAGTGTTGCTGATGATGCTTGAACTGTACGGGGTACTACAGGCTGTGAAACCTGTGTTTTACCAGCCATCACCCCCAGGGTGCACAGAATGGGTGTAGGTCTCATAGGACAGGTGGTCTTTCAACACAGGTGTGTAAATGCCTGCAGCCGCATGGTCTGGGTCCTGAAATGACTGGTCTCCCTAAGACAGGTGATCTTTCCACACGGGCTCAAAGGGTGTGTAGGAGTATGGTACGTGCACTGAAATGACTGGTCTTGTAGGACAGGTGGTATGGTCTCTTATCACTGTGCCTGCCTATTATCAATGATTATAGGTTTTACCATAAACCTGTGTGATACAGGCACAGCAATATTTTGTAATACATCGCTGATGCCACAGTACTTTGGTTGGAAAGGGGGTGCGCTGCATCTGGTATGAGAGACAGAGAGGGGCAGGGGTGCTTTTCTGCTTCGAAGTTATTGTAAAAAGAGGCGACTTATATTCAGACGGTAATGCTGTCAACTGGAAAACGTTTGCGCCAGTTTTAGTTCACGATTTGCGAGCACAGACCAATTTGCACTTGGGAATTTGCACTTGGGAATTTGCACTTGGGAATTTGCACTTGGGAATTTGCACTTGGGAATTTGCACTTGGGAATTTGCACTTGGGAATTTGCACTTGGGAATTTGCACTTGGGAATTTGCACTTGGGAATTTGCACTTGGGAATTTGCACTTGGGAATTTGCACTTGGGAATTTGCACTTGGGAATTTGCACTTGGGAATTTGCACTTGGGAATTTGCACTTGGGAATTTGCACTTGGGAATTTGCACTTGGGAATTTGCACTTGGGAATGTTTGCAAGTGGAGTCGTTTTCATTAGGTGCGTTACTGCAGTTTTACGTTTTGCGACTTCACACCCATCACGGAAATCGCGCGAGTTTCCAGATCGCAAAGGTGCCCCGGTTTACCGTATGGTACGTGGAGATGGTCTTTAGAATAGCTGCCACTGCCGTGCTACCGAGTCTGTGCTAAATCTACTTGAAGAAGTAGGTGACAGTATCATCGGAAGTGAATGATATTGCTAAGGTGGCATTGTTTGCTCGGATCTTGGTTTGTTTGTGCGTAGAAATGCAAAAAAGACCCGTCCTCTATCCTGAAGAGCTTGAAGCGGCGCTTCAAGGACGTCAAGTCCAAGCTACGCGGCTGTGCACGGCGGCGCAATTTCTGCTCCCTGGAAGAGATGTGCGAATGTGGTTCACCTACGGCCAACTCATCTCAGTGCTCCGAACTGCGGTTGGGCATGGGCTTATCAAAGAAGATGTCCCGTGAGCAGCATGTGTCGTGGAGGATCTTTCGACACTGCCGTCACTTTGGCACACTGACGTGTGCCGCGTATAATGCTGGCCTTTCGGTCGATTTCGACTCCAGCGTTAGGTGCAATGGAAGAGGCGACGGTCAGTCTGTAATCCCTCTTAAGGTTAATCACACCTTTCCTGACTGGCCACGTTGGACACACCGGCGGCCAAAGAAGCCAGTTGCTGATTCTGAGGAGAGCAGCGAGGACGGAGAGAGTTTGGACGGCGGCCCGGCCAAAGAGGGCCATGGCGGTGGAGAGCATCATGAACCCCACACTCGTTCTCTGTTGGTGCTGAAGTGCATCCTCGGCGTTGCAGTTGGTGGCTTCATTGTCATATTTGTCCTGTACATTCGTCACGTGCGTCGTCGCCGCATGGCGTACGGTCAGCACTGCGGCTCCAAGTCGTCTGTATCGACGACACTGACGGATACTGGCGAGTACTATGTCAAAAAGTCACCGCTGGATTCCTGGGTTGAGAGCGCTGACAGCATTTGCGAGAAGGAGGAGGTGAAAACGATCGCCAAACACGGCTGGCACAATCCTGTCTACGACGTCTTGGAAGAAGCTCATGCCAAAGCCGATGGTCCAGAAAGTGAGCTGTGAGGAATGAAGAACCACCGTTAGACAGAACTGGCAACCATTAATCCTTGCCCAGGCTAATACACAATCATGTCTAATGCCCTTCTTTGTCTTCCGTTTTCCCAGCTGTGTTCTGCATGCACATGACTGTATGGGTGTGATGCACGCTTTTGCCTTGACTACTAGTATCCTCGGATAGCCCTGAATAGCCACATTCCACGTATTCAGCCTGTATTCATCAGTTGAAAGAAATGACTCTCAGTGTTTCGTCGTTCAAGTAGTTGAATTCACAGATTCATGATCCTCTATTAAGTTGCAACACTACGTATTATTACGGATTTGTGCTAGCGACTACGTATATTACCTTTTTTCCATTGCTTGCTAGAGCACTGTCTATTTCACATCATTATTCACACATCCAGATATCACTGTTGCCAATGCTGCTTTTTTTATTAAACGCGTGTGGCGGTACTGCTCCTTTTTCAAACTCTATTTAACGCATTGATTTGAATGATAGTTTTAGCGGCGCTTGCACCCTGGCTTACTAACATTAAGTTTTGGTAGCATCAGGCGTCCTGTTCTTAGGACAAAGACTTAGAGTACGTATCCCCGGCATTATGTACTCTTGCAACAAGTGGTGTACTTGTAGTGCTGTGAAGAAATGCTTTCAGAGTGAGTCAACGTGTGTACGAGCCAAAGAAACGGCACAAACTGCAAGACGACTATGTTTTACTATTGTCAGTCCACCCCCGTGTGCGGATGTCTAATTTCTGGTTTTCAAAACTTGTTCACCCGACCAAGCAATACTAACACATCAACAGATCACAGAAACTCTTCTTTCTCATTGGAGGGTGGTGGCACTGGGTAGGTCGACTCCCACTTCTTAGACTGCGGATAAAGTTTACCCTTCCAAGTTTGAAGCCTGCTTCTGCAGCCGAGACATCAGGTCGTTGAATGTCAATGTCACATCAGACAGTTTGGTGCTGACTGTTGCACATTTGGACTCAATAGTATCTTGCCGCTATACATGTAATTGCAGGTTAGTGTTGACTACGGATAACAATGAACCTTTGGTCCCACTTTTCTTGCTCGAAATGTAAGACGTAAAGGTGTCTTATAATCGGGAAAATACGGTATGTCTTTAACACACTTGCATGTTTGTCGTTGGTATACGCTAGCAGCTATATCCAAATGAATGGCTATGGCATTTTGATTATAGTGAAGATGTGTGGGCTTTATTGGCTTGCGAAGACAGAGGAGTACAAAGTAACGCACTACTATTGCCATAATCTTGTGGCATGTTTTTTAGGGATCTCCATTTTTAGTAGACTGCGGTCTCAGTCCCTTTACAACACTCAACAGTTTTGATTCAAGTGTTTTGGTACATGAATAATTCAATAATAAAACACGATGTGTGCAGCATGCCGTGCAGAGCGATCCTGCCAGGACCTAGCTCTCATCAGCCCACAGTAACCAGCATGTACTTTTGCTTGTATACGTCACAGCGGTTATGTAGTGTTACTGATCATTGCGCAGCAAGGAGTGAAATACAATGTTCGCAGCCTTGTACAAGATATTGCGCAATAACATGCACAATGATTTTGTACATGCATGTGGACAAGCACCTACTAAATAACTACAGGCTTCTTGGACACAGAACCGACAGGCTGCAAAAAAACTTCGACAGGCATTGCACGGAAGATAGAAAGGCGAGAGCAGGTTTATAATTATGGTTGTGTGGTGGTACAAAGCAGCCAAGTACATGACTGTACATATTCCATGTGATCTGAAATACAATAATCATCATAATGATGTGCTCAACATGTCAGAATCGGTCTGGCTGATAGCTTTGTCTTTTGCCAGCACATCAAGCTTACACATTAGTACAGCATTGCTTCAAATGGAAGTTGCACAGTTGCTGTGTGCAACAGGTTACGCACTAGCGATTTCATGGTACACCAGTAGTCCTGATATTTGTACAGAGCGTAATTCCGAGAGAACACAGGTGTGGTACATACTCCAGACCACAAAGAGGAATTTGAATATTATAACGTAGCATATCCTGTAATGAAGTGAAGCAGTGCTGAGGCTACCGGCCAGTCGCAGTCATAGGCTTTTAGAGTACTTGCTGGCGCTAATGTTAGGATGCGCTGAAGAAATTTGATCCGGTGAGAACCCATGCCACGAGATACATTACAGTTCGGTGAGACTTGCTTCTGCGAGGATCTTCACAAATTATTATCTTCTCCTGGATTATGATTACCATCAATCATGTGCTTGCTTTTGACCTGTGTGCATGCAATCAGATGAAATTTGCTTGTGCCAGAACCCTTACAAGCGTCTCATCCTCTTCTGGATTACTATCGCCGTCGATCACAGGCTTGCTTGTGTGCTTTGCCTTGTGCATGTCGGTATCGTGTATGGTGTTGGTCACCGTGCCTAGTGGCATGATGCGACGTGGAGTAGGCTCTCCGAACATGCGCTCAATGTTGACGTTGGGCACTCTGACATTCTCAATGTCATCGGACATGCCGTCGATGCCTCCCTCTGGCGTTATGCAGTTGCCCACAGACTGCTGCTCTTCCGCCTCATCACTCTGCAGGAAAATTACCAGATGGATCATAGCATGTACATGCACACAGTTGTAATCATGAATACTCTACTGTGCTTCAAGATAGAAGTGCTGCGAGGTACGTCATACAATATTTATCTTACACAGGGGCGTCGGAAGGTAATTTAGTGTGGTACGGTCAGCTATCTGAAGAACAATTTACGCGTGAGGGAGGGGTGGAAATTTTTGAAAATTTAGAGCCCAAATCAGTGCATTTTATTGATTCACGGGGTACTTGCGGCAAATAGTGGTACGGTCAATACCGTAGTGACCGTAGCGTGTCCGACGCCCCTGGTACACTCTAGCAGGTTTTTTAAGGCCCACCGCCTCTGCATATCAGTGCCAAGTTACAACTGACTGTGTGGATGAAACGTTATCGCATTGTACATGTATGAATCAAATAGACCATGACAGATGTAGTAGCTGGCCCCGGAGGCAATCACACTCACTCAAGTCAAAGCTACTCGACATTTCTGGTTTCAAGAAATTTGTCTTATGGCGTCACCAGATAGATAAAAAGGGGATGCATAGGCGATTCATAGAACACTTACCTCATTCAGCAAGTTGCTGCCCGGATGTGCAATAATACTCAAATCCATAGGAGAAGCGTCTGTGGGAACAAAAGAACATTCACATGTGTTAATCACCGGTAGACCTCCTACTGATGCCATTACAGTGGAACAAGACTGTCTCCTAATGATATTCATCATAACCATTCTAGTAATTATAGCTCTAGTCTAGCATTGTGTATGCCCCCCCCCCCCCCTCCTGCCCATGTGGGACCATTGTTATTAGGCTAGGGGTTGTTTTGGACTTCCCACTGTAAATAAAGAATACAAACAAACAAATGATTCTAGTAATTGTAGCTCTAGTCTAGCATTGTGTATGCCCCCCCCCCCCCCTCCTGCCCATGTGGCGTGGACTCAGACATGTCTAGCCTGTTGTAAAATGATGTGTTGTTTTCCTGTGTGATGGCATTCCCCAAACTGTCTCGTCTAGTCGCGTGCATGTGTGATATGAGCATGCGCGATTTTGTAGTCGAGAGTCCTTTTGTCAGTCTTCTTGTTCGTCCTTTTGAGTGTTGTCTCCATTTCCGTCTTGTCAATATAAATAATGTAATACAAACCAGTCTTGTCCTTTGTGTCCTGCGTCCCGGGGAACGGAATGGCTGTGATTCCGTTACAACGTGGTGCCGAAACCCGGGACGCAGAGGATGAGTAAGTTTGTCATGAGTCTGTTCGTCGTCGTCAACAAATAATAGTAAGCGTGGGGATGGAGGTGATCAGGAGAGATGAGGAGGTGGTGGAAGCGGAAGACGACGCGGAGAGGAGGCAGAGAAGGTGGTGGACCGGCAGAAGCTGGGGACTGGAGCCTGGGACGGCAGGTACCGCATGGAGCGTGTGGCCGTGGCTCGCCAGAGGCCAGTGGATGAGTCTGGCATCACCGACTGTGTGTCGTCCTTTGTTGTTCGTCTTGTTGTTGTTTTGCTCGCTGTGTTGTCTGATCGTGTTTCTCTCGCTGTTCGGTTGGTTGCTGTGTTGTTGAGTTTGGTTGTCGGTATGTCGCTCTTCTCGTCGTTCTGTTCTGCATTAATTTGCGTTGTAGATTTATTTTGCGCTGCTGCGCGCAGGTTGTTATTTGTTGGAGCTTTGGCTCTCGTGTTTCGATTGGCCTTGTGTGCCTGAGTTGAGAGCGTCGGCTCTTGTGTCTTGGTTTGGCCCTGTGTCGTGGCCCAGTTTTGTTGTGCTACAATGTAAGCTGTTGGTTGGTTTTGGTTTTTCTGTTTTGCTGTGGTTCCTTTTGCTGTTGTGCATGTGGAACGTGGTGTCGGTTTATTATTTTGTGGAATGTCATCAAGGGGGCAGGTGTTGTAAAATGATGTGTTGTTTTCCTGTGTGATGGCATTCCCCAAACTGTCTCGTCTAGTCGCGTGCATGTGTGATATGAGCATGCGCGATTTTGTAGTCGAGAGTCCTTTTGTCAGTCTTCTTGTTCGTCCTTTTGAGTGTTGTCTCCATTTCCGTCTTGTCAATATAAATAATGTAATACAAACCAGTTTTGTCCTTTGTGTCCTGCGTCCCGGGGAACGGAATGGCTGTGATTCCGTTACAAGCCTACCTGGTTTCTCTCTTGCAGGTTGGTGGAGAGGTTGTGTAATGATATTATCACCACAATAATGTCTCTTCTTTAGCTCTAGCATTGCATATGCCTTCTCCCTTCCGTGAAGCCCTACCATTGTGTAATCCTTCCTCTTCTTTAGCCCTAGCATTGTGTGTGCCTTCCCCTGTCCTTGGCTTAGCGTTGTGTATGCCTTCCCCTTTCCTTGGCTTAGCATTGTGTATGCCGTCATATCCTGTAGCCCTAGCATTGTGTACAGTGCCTCCCCCTCCCCATGTAGCGACTTCAGCGGTATTTGCAGGTTTGCCGAGTGGAAGGTTGCGATGTGCTCCGGATGCCAGCCGTCAGTCAGTCAAGTGTCAAGTATAAGTTCGGCAGGAAGCATGTGTTCCATGTGGGCGCAAGCAACTTCATTTACAAAAATACCGCTGAAGTCGCTACATCTATTGCAATGCAAAGGCAATAGTGGAAAATTGGATGAACTGTTTGTTTCCCCTGCCCCCCCCCCCCACCCCTACAATTTTTTCCCTGGCTAGAACCCTTCAGAACTAAATATTGCGACAGAGCTTTCGGCCATATTTTCAATTCATTGCATTCCCAACTCATCACAACCACGCGCTCTTCAGCCGAACCATACAGACACCAGCAAGGACACTTCCGTTGAGAGATAATATTGCTCCACGCCTCTAGACAGCTGTTTCGCTCCCTGTCGGAGCTCATCAGTAGAGGATGATAATGATGATAATGGAGGAATGATCATTCTTATACACCAGAAATGGCGCAAGTGCGCGCTTTCCACATAATATCAATGGCATATGCAAGCTGCTAAAATGGTAAAGTGTGAGAACAGCGATAAATAATCATAGTACGCGCTCATTGGTGGAGAAACACACCACACAAGCGACGAAAATCTTACTCGGAATACTGATGCCAATGGAAAGTACATGTATGTTGTTTATTATTATGATGTTGCAATGATTATTATGATGTTGCAACATCATAATAATAAACAACATACATGTACTTTCCATTGGCATCAGTACTGATGATTCCGAGTAAGATTTTCGTCGCTTGTGTGGTGTGTTTCTCCACCAATGAGCGCGTACTATGATTATTTATCACTGTTCTCACACTTTACCATTTTAGCAGCTTGCATATGCCATTGATATTATGTGGAAAGCGCGCACTTGCGCCATTTCTGGTGTATAAGAATGATCATTCCTCCATTATCATCATTATCATCCTCTACTGATGAGCTCCGACAGGGAGCGAAACAGCTGTCTAGAGGCGTGGAGCAATATTATCTCTCAACGGAAGTGTCCTTGCTGGTGTCTGTATGGTTCGGCTGAAGAGCGCGTGGTTGTGATGAGTTGGCTAGAACCCTGGCAAGGGTATTTACACTAACACGTCATACAGTAAGCTACGCACAACACAAGCAGAGTACATGCACTGAAGCATCGGTGAGCATGTCAATTGCCCTTCGGCTTTGGTGGCTAAAGGTCATCAAGTATAACATGATGGATTTGAACTAGTCTGTAAGAGAGACTGCGACACAAATGAAGTGAAATTACCCTGGGGATTACATGCTATGGCAGTATCCACTGCAAAGCAGTCTTACCTTCATCACTTGGTAAGCTGATCGGAGTGCCATCACTGATTTTCATGATGAGTCCACTAGAATTTGATAACATCTCTCCCTCAATGGTGCCAGTGTGGAGTGTGTTGCCATCGTCAGGAGATGGTGGAGGTGGCACTCCGGCACAATCGTTCGATGTTTCCACCAGGCCAGCTAAATCGGAGGAGCCTTCAGGGTTGTGCGGCAAGTGCCGGGCAACATGTTCCTCTTGAGCTCTCAGTGTGATTCCTTGTTGCTCAGGATTTTCATCCGGGGTTGAGGCATCATTGCAGGCACCGCCATTGCCAGCTCCACACTCTTCTGTGATAGTCGGTAAGGTGGTTGAATCTGGGCTGGAGAAATGGGACCCTTCGTTTCTCCACGTGTAGCTCGGTGCACTTCCAAGGTTTTCATCGCTGTCCGTTGAATTAGTCTGATCAGTGGGAGTTTTCCAGCCACGAATTGTGCTAACCACTTGATGAAGGCTTCTCTTGGGTCGCAGTCGGAAACGACCTGGACTGTTGCTTCTATCCTGTAGAACATTGTCGATGTCTTGCTGTGAATTAGGACTGGGAGGTGTTGGATCCTGTGGCAACGACTTGCTGGAGTTCTTCTGCTGCAGCGGCTTGCGAAGCAGTTTCTTCTTCGTCTTATTGGTGGTAGCTGAGTTGGCCTCGTTTTCTTTGCCGTGCTTAATCAGTGCATCTGTTGACTGGTACCGTCCCAATCTACCTTTCCGCAGTAAACTGTATGAGTAATCTCGTCTCGTGTCGAGTATAGGGACAGATAGGTGGAGGACGTCTTGGCATGGTTTGATAATTGGCCCATCTGCAGGTGAGTCAGCACATAGTAGCCCAACAGAATCCAATAGATAGCATTCTTATCATGCCATATTATGGCACTGTTGCATTTTCACACACCTACCCACACAGACACGGACACAGACACGCACATGTACACACACAAACACACACACACACAGTGACATACGCGAGAGTCGTAGCTACATTGTAGGTTCATTACACAAGTAACTCAACTGCAGGGTTGAGCTCCTGCATAAACTCAGACTCAGACATGCCCATTGCGGAGGCGATGATAGCGAACAGCTGTGTTAGACATAGCAACTTGTGCTGGAATTTCACCATTCAACAGCTTGCAAGGCTGATGAATTGACCGCCACTAAATTTAGCCTAGTATCCACCACACAGCTGATTGAAGTGACAGCATAAGCTAGGGTACACAACACTACATGTTACCTGCATGACTTCCATCCTGCACCAGAGCGTACTTTGACGTCACACTCCACGGCCCATAATCCAGTGGCGTGTGGCCGCATGTATCCGCTGGTTTAGACAAGGTGCCACCCGCTCGCACCAACTTGTTGATGATTTTCTGATGGCCTGTTGAGCAAGCTACATGCATAGCTGTATGTCCAGAGTGATTGACTCTGCCAACACACACACACACACGTGCACGTACACACGCATGCATGCACGCACACACACACACACCGGCACACACACACACACACACACACACCGGCACACACACAGACACACACACATACACACACAAGTAGATCAAGCAGAATATGCAAAAGGGATGTATCATGTATATGTATAGTCAGTACCAGAAAATCCCAACATATTACTCGGGGTTGGCGTCATGTTCGCTGTGAAAAGTATTCTCGAGTATGGGCGTGTGTGGCTTGAAAATGCGGCCTCAGGGATTTGCTCGGACTATTGGCTCCGACCATACCTACTGGAAATGATAGTGTACATGTATGTGCATATACCAGTACATGGTTTATGCGGATAAGCAAACACCTGCGGTAGTCAGTAGCAGCCAACTTATTCTCCTTCTTCGCTTGATGACTTATTCTCCTTCTTCGCTTGATGACATATTCTCCTTCTTCGCTTGATGATCGCTTAGTCCGTGAAACTCGGAGTTAAAACACTTTTTCATCCTCTTATTATTGTTTATTCTCCTTCTTCTTTGGTCTCCAATCATCTGCATGGATCAGTAGATTTCACTGATAAAGTGTCGATCTGCTGGCTATCCTTCTCCGTCACGTGAAGTGAATGTGAAATCAGAGCTCGACACTCCTAGATCAAGTTTCTATGCACTAGGGGTGAGCACAAAGCCATCACGTGTCTTACTTGTTGGGATTAGCTCCGCTCTTGAGCAAAAACTCAGCGCTGCTTTCCAATTGCTGCCCAACGACTTTGTGCAGGAGTGTCCAACCATCCCCATCGACAGACGACACGACAACTGCAAAGTCAGGCGACACGGAGAGGGCTTTCAGCGCACGGTTATCCTCTTGATCCAATGCAGAGTTTACATCAAGAACAAAGCTTCGCTTCCAGATCCTTTCTCTGTCCTCGCACATCTTGCAGTTGCCATCTTCGACTGCTGTCGCCATCATGTTTCAGTAAATAAGTAAGCAGGTAAGTAAGGTAGAATACAAGCAGGGAAACCAAAGGACGTAATCATAGTCTTCTCCGACAAGGATTCGACTCCTGGAAAGTCTGCCGTTCTTGCAAGGCAAGCCCACAGCCCGCAGCTGCTACTGACTGAAGTGAGGAGTGAACCATGACCTTTCGGTACCCTGGGCTAACCTTTGTACTCCGGGGTGCTACGCCGCATCACGTGATCACCGTTCTCATCGTTCTGTCACCTGATCGCTAGGGCCGATCGGCGATATCGGTCTGTCTAGTATGAGACTCGTCGACTATGGATTCAGTTACATCAAGAGTACATAACCCCCCGTGGTTATGTACTCTTGGTTACATGTAATTACAGTGAGTTGCATGCAGTATGAACATGTGAAGTCATCTAAAAAAAATCTGATGTCATGTAGATCAGGATCATTCAGGGACTCGTGTATGTCCTACATGTACATGACAGTAGTAGTGTCATGATCATGACGTCACCACGTGGACGACGTCACCACGTGGGCTACGTCACAGTCAAAGTTTACTTTTGTTCATCTTTCATTTTTCACTTGTAATAATTATTGTATACAACATGTATCAGTGTGTTGAGTTGAACTTGAAGTAATTAGTTACTAGTAGTTTCAGGCTTTGGCCAGATCAGTGGTGCTGTTGCTACCCTGTTAGTTCTTGCTTCAGCTCTTTGCCTTTCGCTTTGCTGTGCAGTAAAATGCCGGAGCCAGGCATTATTTACTTGAATCGCCCTCCACCGTTTATGAAGCCACAGAAAATAAAGCATATTTTCTCGGCGCACGGCGAACTTGGCCGAGTATTTATGCAGCCTGAAGGTATGTCTATCTTTTGAGTTACTAGAATCGACTGTATTGAATTTGCCTTGTATCCCTATTATCCGTACAAGATCTACCCACTTTTAAGTTCCCAAGGGGTACACAAAGCACTGCCTCGGTACTTTTAAGTTCCGAGTCAACTCGGAAATTACATTTTTACTCTGACTAGGACAATGGGTTGGCTATTTTTTTGTACAATTGAAAGCCTTGATCGTAATTGTGTATGGAATCTGCCAATATACTATGTGCGCAAATGACGTATGCAAAAATCAAGGTGAAGAAATAGGTTGTGGGCCAGAATTTGACCTAAGCCAGATTTGAGAGCTCAGATATTTCCCATTCACAGAAGCAGTTTGCAATACGATGCGCTATGCGATGGCCACGAATCAGGGAAATCCCCCAATCGCACTCATCGCGCAGTCCACACCACCGTCGCAATGGCTGATCGCAGAAGTCGAGCTTGCCTCAACTTTCACAATACGACGTGTTCCCTTCTCTTCTGCCAGGCCAATGATTAGGCTGAACTCATTCTTGCTGGTGCGGAACACATGCAAGGTGTGCGCACTATCTCTAGGCGCCGTCTGCCCAGTGAGAGGAGGGGGTGAGTTCTCGGTGGAGGATGGTCTTCAGGGTTGGTGCCAACAGTTGCGCACCACCCTGAAAGGGACCCGTCATAGAACAGACCATCGGTGTTGCAGGTTGTCTACAAGTGAACAACACGCAGCTTGAGGCTGGGAACGGGCAAAGCCAGATAGCGTGCGGAACTCCTACGACCAGGTTCTCAATTTGGAGGTCCAAATTCCCTCACATGCTGCTCAGATACAAGATCAGATCCTAGAGGATAGCGACCTGTCGTGATCGCTACCCCTGTGTCAGCAAAGATTGTTTCAGCTGCCTCGAGCTTGTCGGGTTTGACTAGGAGGACAGACTTGCTAGGGTTGGTGAAATACCCGTGCGTAGGCCTGTCGGTGACGAGGTGATCCCACCATTGACGGAGCGGGACAAGCTATCTACGAATGCTGTCTGTCCCCGGGGAAAATCACGGGAAAAATCCCAAAATTTGCGGTGTAATTTGCGGGTAAATATGGCATCATTTGCGGTGAATTTGCGGTAAATATGCGGCAAGTTTGCAGTTGATATGAGGCAATTTTCAGTGAGTATGTAGTGAAATCATACCGGTTTCCCCGGTATACTACTGGAAAACTAGGGTTACTACTGGTAGGTCTTGGCGGATAATGCCGGCAGAAAAATGGGCAGAATTCGGTACTTTTTCTGGTAAGTTTCATGCATGTTTGGTGTGTGGATAAAGAATTGGAGCAGAATTCGAGGAACTGCCCTGCCATAAGGTTTGTATGGTTCTGCCAATTTCACTGCTTTTCGAGCTGAATCTGCCACCTATTCGAGCATAATCCGCCGGTGCCTAATTTGAGTACAAAGCCGCCACGACGAGACGTTGCTGACCGAACAGTGCACTGTGTGTACGTCGCGTGTAGTGCAACAAAAAAGTTCAAAAATCGCGCGGAAAACGCGGTCTTTTAAAATCGCAAAATACGCGGGGGGGGGGGGGACGCGGCCGCGGAATCGCGATTTTCCCCGGGGACAGTACTGTGCACGTGCACGTCCAGCCGCCGGCATCCGTACCAGGGGGTCCGGCAGAACCATCCTTGTTCTATTGCTCGAATTCGTCAACCTCGTGGTTCAGCACCACCAACACCTGTAGCTGCTGGGGAGTCTTCAATTTGGTCATCCTCAGCTTCACTGTCGTCGACAGTAGACACCCTTAGCAAAAAAACGTTATGTAACGGTATTACCGTAAGGGGAAAAATACCGAGATTTGGGTTCGACCTTTAGCAAGATGCACGCTAATTTTAGTACACTGTTGCCATGAGTATAGCTTTTAATTCGTGCAGTACAACCATTTATGGTGCCATATACGCGATACGAGGTGACATGGGTACGCTCCACACACTATTTGGACTAAAACGTACCGTTTGTCACAACAATAAATCAGCCCCAATAACGTTTTTACTCTGCGGCTTCAACCCTATCTGGGTGATCAAGGTACGAGTACCGTAAAAAAATAGCGTTGCCGTTGTTTGCTAAGGGTGTCTATTATCTGTGGCACACTCAACGTCGCTGCTAGTGCCTGCTGGTTCCTCGAAAGTACTCTCCTCCATTATCATAATCCAAAGCCTATCACTGGCTTGAATGGAATGAGTGACGTGAAAACCTAAAACCACCGCCTGACAAGAAAAAACCAGTGCTTCATGAATTTTTCTTCAGCTGCTTTCCTTGGACCACCCGTGAGGTGGCAGCCATTTTAAGCTGCTATAGAAAGCAGTGCGTACAACGTCACAGCGCCTCGCATGCAAGCAAAGCCTATATATAGGCTTCACCGGACCAAGAATAGTTCCATGATGGAGACGTCCGCTCAGCTTGCAATCGCACGGAAGATGTTCGAAATGAGCAAGACCTTCGAATTACACCATACTGTATAAGCAGAAAATTTCGTCGGTCAATAATTTCGTCCAACTCCAAAGAAAGGGAGTTCGTCCGGTTGTAAATTTCGTCCATGGATCATAAGAGTGTATTGAAAAGCTGGGCAAATCAATATTAGCTATAAAGAGAACAAATTCTGCTGTCATCGCCACACTACAACAAAGTCATGAAGGTTTACCAAAATCGATTTTCTTGTCACAATCATCAGTGGAAAGCCGTGACTGAAGAATAACCATGCTAAATCAATGATTTATATACATTCAATAATGTGTTACGAGAATAGGGGTGAAAGTTGGCACTGGGATCCCGAGTTCGAGTACTCTGATTTTCTCCGATCGAATATTCGAGTATTCGAGTATTTTTCATCTCCTAAAAATTGCACACCAAGGGCTTTAAAATAACATGATACAACCCTGATTGAACCGAGTAGCAGTCATTTTTCTCGGGTATATTGGTTGGTGGGTCATTTGGGCTCTCTCTACTCGTGAACAAATGTTCACCACACAGTCTGCACATCACCATCTGCCCACTGCTGCCCTGAAACTGCAGATTTCTGTAGTAAATGCATGTACCATGTATGAACGAGTACTCTGATTTTATTCCGAGACGATTATTTTTGAAAAAACCGAGCGAGTACTCGAGTACTCGGTATAATTGTTTCACCCCTATACGAGAACAAAACAAAGTGCTAAAATAGAATGAGGGAAGGTGAGACAATAGAAGTGAAGTGAGAGCTAAGTGCAACAGGGGTGAGGAACTAATTACAACGCTAGAACTGTGTAGTGAGACAAACAATCATGCTGTGCACCTACGAAAACAATCTTAACGCAACTGCATGTTTCTTCTGCTTACAAAGATCAGGCTTATGCAAACGAATACAAACAGCCTCAAGTACTTTCAACTGACTAGCGTACCGTGCACGACAAAGAACAGAAAAACTAAAATCATCATACACCTGCAAACACTTAGGGTGAGACAACAGATGAAGAAAAACGGCAGACTTCTTACGATCACAATCACCATCCGATTCCTCGTCTCCACCAACCGCAACCTCGTCCCCCGTCTCATCTTCCAACTCGTCCTCAGTGTCGTCCCACTGCACATGCTGACTGGCTCGGCACGGGCACTGCGACCCAAACGCAGCAGGCCACCTAAGAACCCTCGATCACAGCCATCGTTAGCACCATTGCCGTCGACGGCAATAGTGCCTCCATTACCCGTATCGAGAGCCGTGGAGATGGATAATGTGCACATTGTCACCACAACACAATGCACCATAACAACACAAGAGAGTACACCACAACAACATCCAGCTCAAGACCAAAGTGGACGCTGCGATGAGGTAATGCCCCCATCGCCATTGTTGCCGTTGCCTCCCCCAGAACCGCCACCTGCATCTGTCATCGGCAGTGCTGGGGCTGAGTCTGTGGTGTCGCTGGCACGGGCAAATATGGATGAGGTAAGCACTGAACATGAACAAGAAGAAAGAAGGCTGAAGGAAACGGAATTCAACAGAAAAAACAACACGATCAACATTCAAAGACCTAGACGATCAACGGCTAATTATTCAAGGAATTATTACAGTACTGGATGTCAAGCACCGGCGAAGACACTGGGAACAGAAGATTTAACAACAACAATGACAACAACAACAATGGTAACAAATTACCATCAAGATCAAAGGAGGAGTCAACGAACAGAGGTTCAGCAACATGAAGCGAGCCTGGGACCGATCGGTGTTGATGAGGAGAATGACACGGAGGACGACACTGAGGACGAGTTGGAAGATGAGACGGGGGACGAGGTTGCGGTTGGTGGAGACGAGGAATCGGATGGTGATTGTGATCGTAAGAAGTCTGCCGTTTTTCTTCATCTGTTGTCTCACCCTAAGTGTTTGCAGGTGTATGATGATTTTAGTTTTTCTGTTCTTTGTCGTGCACGGTACGCTAGTCAGTTGAAAGTACTTGAGGCTGTTTGTATTCGTTTGCATAAGCCTGATCTTTGTAAGCAGAAGAAACATGTAGTTGCGTTAAGATTGTTTTCGTAGGTGCACAGCATGATTGTTTGTCTCACTACACAGTTCTAGCGTTGTAATTAGTTCCTCACCCCTGTTGCACTTAGCTCTCACTTCACTTCTATTGTCTCACCTTCCCTCATTCTATTTTAGCACTTTGTTTTGTTCTTGTAACACATTATTGAATGTATATAAATCATTGATTTAGTATGGTTATTCTTCAGTCACGGCTTTCCACTGATGATTGTGACAAGAAAATCGATTTTGGTAAACCTTCATGACTTTGTTGTAGTGTGGCGATGACAGCAGAATTTGTTCTCTTTATAGCTATTATAAAATTGTTGTCTCCGCGTCGATTAAATCAATATTAGTCCGGCATTTAATTTAGTCCAACAGCTCGTTGGACGAAAAAGACGAAATTAAATTCCAGACGAATATTTCTGCTTGTACAGTATTTGAATTTTCAGTATTCTACTATGCTTGCTGGTGGGTTCTGACAATGATCTCCCACACTTCATTGAATATACACGTTTTGGCAATGTATGACTCATTATATGTGACCATTTGGTGAAAATGTGATGAAGATGTTGACATCGCCTAATAGCTTCTGGTAGTTAGCAATGAGCTGGAAATTAGTATGCGCATAGCGCTCATGGCATATTCCATTTTCTTTGTGTGGTACATTAATTTTGTAGATGAGAAGTTCAGAAAGAGACGTGTAAAGGAGGGTGGATCAAAGAAGATCCGCTACCTTGAGGGATGGGTGGAGTTTAAGGACAAGAGAGTTGCGAAGGCTGTTGCTGCCACTTTGAACACTACGCAAATAGGTAAGTGTTGGCAGCAAATCTCGGTCAGTACACACTGCACATGTTTTTCTTCTCCTTTGTAGTCGGGGAAGCACACGTTTCTATTTGGAGTATCAGCAGATCATGTGCGTACATGTGCCAGTAATCTGAAAGCATTCTCAATCTCTACTGCAATAGTTTGTCATGTTCACTGTACTGATTTGGAGTTGTGGATGTTAGCAGCCACATTGCTGTAGGTATCCAACCGAATCACATCTCTGCTGGTTTTATTGGCCAAGATGGTGCTATGTTGCTGACCAGCTGGAGCCGACCATTCTTGTGTAGCCATGTGTTTGTTTGGTAATGAAGTACATTGTTCCTTGCACTCAGTGCACAGTCATGAAGCGGATAACATAGCGCACTGCAAGCGACGATGGGGTAGCCCAGCGTTGCACGGTTTCTGCTCCATCATACCATAATGGCCACCGTTCAAGGAGCAACATCTTCCCTGGTGCAGCCAAAGATTGTGTGTGTGTGTGTGTGTGTGTGTGCACGTGTGCGTGTGTGTGTGAATAGCATTCATGGCTGAGGTTGTTGGTATGTCTATTGGCTCTGGGTTCCCAGTTGCCGAGGCCGGTTGGTAAAGTAACTCCAATTTCACTTCATGGTACCAGTGCATCTATTTTTTTAGTGTATGCTTCTATCAAAGCAGCGTGCTGTCTATACTGGTTACCCCAGCAAGTGTAGGGTGTGCGTAGATACCTGTCTTGGTCGTCCTATTCCGATGTACTCCGTGTGGTGTAGACCAGGTGTGCATGGGGAGGGGGGGATTCACATGGCTTTGCCAGTTGTGTGGGGCGTGTACATGGTGTGTGTGTGTGGGGGGGGGGGGGGGGGGGGGATAACTAGGTTTTTAAGAAATCTGCATAGTTGCAGTTGGGTGCACGAAGAGCAGACCCGTAGTGCGATGCTGTCATCTAACGTTACCCCACACACGTATTGTGCGTTTACGTTCTCTTGTTTTTCTATTGTGTTCCCCGTGCACAGGTGGCAAGAAACGTAGCATGTACTACGATGACCTCTGGAATATAAAATATCTAAGCAAATTTCGGTGGAGTGACTTGAGCGCGAAGATCGGTGGGTATATCTGTCAGCTGATATCCTTGTTTGCGTGACGGGAAATTAAATCTTTGGGTCCAGCAGTATTGTTCGTTTAGAATGTATGACTGCCTGAAAGTGAAAGGCAAGAGTACATAGAAACCAGAGACGGTTCAGCTTCCTCATAGGTGTCTGTTCCGACTAATTTCCTGAATTACATCATAGCCGGTGCACATAAGCAGCCGTAGTGTCTATTATTGAGCTGTCATTACGTAGCAGAAGACCTGGTTGAGTCGTGCTTCTATTCATTGCATCACTAAATGGGTGTTTATCCTGGATGCTGGCCATGACAGCAATCCAGTTGAGGTGTGCATACACTGGTTGCCGTGTCCTCTGGGACCGAGCATGGACACACAGTTCATCTTTCTTCTGTCACTTCTTTCTTCCTTCACAGTGCATTTCATCATCCATCTCTCACTTTACCTGGGAAGAATGCAGCTGTATGCCACGGCTCCTCCGGTGGAGCATTCACACTGCACTAAGGCCTGGCCAGAGTCCAGCAAGTAACTCTCTGCTCTTTACTTGTTTTTGACATGTATGCTGTGTGTAGGGTATCGGAAGGCAACTGCACAAAAGCAAGCATATGTGGAAATCAGCCAAGCGAAGCGCGAAAACGAAGTGTATGTGCAGAGCCGGGACAAGGGCAAGGCTCTTGCAGCAATTATCGGAAGAAAGCTGAAGCGCAAGCGGGAAGAGGCTGATGAAGGTCATGAGGAGGGACATAGAGTATGTGCCGACAAGGTGAGAGCTTTCTGCTTGCATGTCTGCTTCGAATGGTCCGAAAAAATGGTAAACGCAATATAAGTTGTACGCCCAACATTGCTGCGAACCAGACTGATTCAGCGTAGTGAATAACTGCACTGTGCACTGCCGTCGGTTACCATGCTGCACCAACTGTAGCAGCCATGCATCCTGTCACATATCAATTGGCTTACAATGCTAACTTTGAGAGGCATGCCTGTGCTTGATAAACCCTGTGCTGCAGGGGATAAGATTGATAAGGCGTACGTACGAAGAGACTAAACTGAACTGTGTACGTGTACATGAAAAGAGTACTTGGACCGCATGTCACCTTTGTTGTACATACTTCAAAGTAGTCCACATCCAGACTGAATATCATATTCCGTACTGCGAATTAATCACTGGTGATGGCTTTTGCTACTGCTTCTGCTGCCATTATTCTCGTCACCTTTGTCATGAATCTCACGATTCTTGTTTACTGCAGGATACACCCAGTCTGGCAGAAGCTGCTGCTGCTGCGTCTGCTTGGACATACAAGCAACCTGCCGCTGCGCCGAAACGCCGGAAAAGTAACATTTACAAGGTGAGTAGTGACAAAGCTGAGCCCTGGTGTAGAGCAAATTTTATTCATCACACGGCAAGATGACCTATATTTAGCAGCGCACACAGTATGGAAGAATTATGATGCTCTGGTGTGACCCCAGAGTCTGCATCTTCCCCATGCGGTGCACGTTTCCTGTTTGGTACAGTCGTGGCCAAGGAAACCCGACCGGCCAGTCAAAAGTAGCGCCGCGTTTCCTCTTCTATTACATCATGCATGGTCCAAAAACCCATCCGGGAGCCGCATCAGCCTCGGTCGCTGCTTTCGTCTCGTGAGTCGGATTTCTTTGTTCACCACTGTAGTGTAGCACACAGTCTTCTGTGTATAGTACTAGTAATCTGTACCCACATTCCGCGGATGCGCAATTTTCCGCAATGTACAAGAAAGAGTACAGTCATGATGTTGAAAATGCACTACAAAGTCCATGAGTGTGTAAGGCTGTGTTTACATGAGAATTTTCAACCCGTGCGAGTTCCGCCCGGGTTGAACGTCTGTACGATAGACAAAAGAGGTGAGCGTTTACATGAAGACAGTTGACCCGGGTCGAATATTGATATGCCGCCAAAAGTCCACTTCTACAGTCCTGTATGGTCACGTGAATCCGTTCGCTCGAAATTTGCATCTGCAGTGCTGTTCAAACCTGGCGCGAAATACGCACAGAAGTATGTTTGTACGATTTTCTTGACCCGGGTTGATTTCAACCCTCCCCTTGGGGGGGGGGGGGGAGGGTTGAAATCAACCCGGGTCAAGCGCAATGCGTCATGTAAACGCGCCATTCACTTTGTGTACATGGCAGGTTGAAATCTGACCCGGGTCGAAACGCTTCATGTAAACACAGCCTAAGACGTATACTTGCATGAAACTGCATGCTAAAGTTGTACAGATAACTCGTGCATAATGCCCGCATACTTACCGTAAAGTCTTGTATAAAAGCCGCGGCTTCTATGACTTTCTTGGTGAAATTTTGCAGGCTTCTATAATGAGACAGGCTTCTATACAAGACAGGTATTTCTATGTATGTCAACACTAAAACCAGGCTTATGTGTGATTTGATGGGCCCAAAATTGCGGCTTCTATTCAAGTGCGGCTTTTATACAAGACTTTACGGTATGCGCATAATTTTAGGATTTTGTGTTTTTCTTTCATATGTTTTGTGCGTGTCTGTGTGTGCATGTATGGTTATGCAGGTATTGGGCGGGGATGACTGATAGTTCTCCTGAAACAACCAATCCGTCATGGCCATAGCATGTCTTTGCTCTTCCACCGCGGCCTTTGCTGTAAATATTTGCTATGCTTTCTGAAACGCTGTACATTTATCTTGCTGTAGATTGCTTTGCGGTCACCCTACCCAGTCCCAGTGACTATTATAAATATTTAAAGTTGCTCTGCTTACTGTACATTTATCCTGCTTTCTGCTCTGCTTACTGTACATTAATCCTGCTTTCTGTATATACTTATGCATACTCTGTCCAGCGAAAAATGACTGCCATGGTCTGTATAAATAATTATTAATGATGTAGCCTTTTTTCCCCTCTCTTTGATGAATACAACTGATCTTGATGAGTCTCATCTCCCGATATTGGTGTGCCCATCCATGTGTGTGCTGAGCTGCATACCACATGATCGCTAATGCCAGTGATGGCGCATTCGCACATGGTGATTAGCTGTTAGGCCCGGCCAGACTGTTACACGGCAGAGATCGACTGCCAATTGGACCATTTTTAAAGTAAGCCTTTTGATTAAGCCAATCCTAATTGTCATAACTGCGTAAGTAACTGTTGTGATGTGGAACGGCTGGTTGAAAAGCTACGGGCAAGTCCATGCATTTTCACGAACAAAATTAGTTATGCACCAAATACGTGTATGTGGACTCTTGGTGTCATCAAGAGTACCTAACACCTGGGGGTTATGGACTCTTGGAGTTGGTGTCATCAAGAGACAAGACTACCCTTGCCAGTCTTCCAACTCTTGGTACGATCACGTGTAAGCGTACACAGTAAAAACTGCCCAGATCCGGGCGGGTTGGGATCGAGCACTGCCCGTAACTCAGACCGTACATACATACTGCATGCAAGTAAAGATGTTATGCCCATTTAATAATATGACTTGTTTTGGGGCCGTTCTTCTTTGAAAAGTCATTTAAAAGAGGGGTCAAAAAGGTGCCTGGTAGACGAACGTGCCCGGATTAGGGACGTCCAGATCTGGGGAGTTTTACTGTTCGCACAAGTGACATAGCTTTACATGCCAGTAGCCTGTACTATACTATAGGCTACAAAGTACTGAGTAGGTTAGTGCGAGACAGGGGTCCGAGTTGGAAAAGCAGGCCACAAGTTACAGCGCCAGCATCACCAATGTTCCCGCAAGATTATAAATGTCTCGAGTCACATCTAAGAGTAAAGTGCGAAGCTGTGTAAAAGCCATAAAGTTGCCCCGACGCCTTGCTAAGTTACACAATTATGCTATCAAGAGAAGATGGGATTATGGACTCTTGATGTCATGTACAAGTAGTAGCAGTTCCTACAATGTTGTTCTGTCCCTTTGGAAAAACGCGGCCAATAATTCAATATTCTGCGGCAAATTCCGCGGGGGAAAAGGGGGGTTTTCTGCGGCATTTTCTGTGGTAAAATCAAAAATCAGCGGCACTTTCTGCAAGTTTTTCACCCTCCTTGCATGAAGGAGTACTTTTCACACTATCGTTTGCAGTCACAAACTGAATGAGAGTGAAGAATCTTGGAGATTCTGCACTCACCTACACTCGCAAGAGCATAATGTGCTCAAACCGATCGCAAAGTAGTTTTTCTGCTGCTTTCTGAGTAGTAATTTTACTAATTTATCCTAAAAAATTCAAATTCCGCGGGCAATAGTGTGGATTCCGTGATTTCCGCGGATGATGACAATTTCTGCGAAATTTGCCGCGGAATCGCGTTTTTCCAAGGGGACAGGTTGTTGTGCTGCTAAAATTGCAGACTGGAGTCAACGCTGACCATTTCGTACACGTTTGGGTGGTTTCTTGCACAGTGGGATGACACATCTGCCGGTAGGTACTGCACCGGGCTCTTCTAGCCAGGCACCCATCGGCATCGCTGGTACCGAAAAAGTCACGCCAGCATGCCACATCAGGACACACCAGGTACTGTACTTCGCTATGGTCATATCAGTGTGGGTCCTATTTGGGCCAAAAAGTCGTTATTATATTGAGCTCTGACACCACCACTGTCAAGCTCTGAAAACTGTTGTCAGCCTCCACTGGAATGGGAAGAGATAGAGATTTGTATGGGAAACTTCATTGGATGCGGAGGTCCGAGAAATATGTGACTGACTCGACATTTAAACCTACTTGGAACCTACACAAGTACTATCAAGATATAAACATAAGCTCCCAAACTCTGTGAGACCCCCCATATGCAGAGTTGCACACTCTTCTGCTCAATGAAATCCGATCGAGTCACTCAAGTAGGTGCTCTGCACCAGTCCACATCCCATAGTCCGGAGGTCTCGGGTTGAACAGCGTCTGGCGTGGCATTGACTCGCTCGATCGGATTTCAGTGAGCAGCTCTGTACACGCGTCCAAGAGTGTGCAACTTTGCACACAGGGTCAACATGGTCAACGACAGCAACAAACTCACAGCACGTATCCCAAGCACGATTTGTACTATATACAAAGAAGGCTAGCGTGTGCGCAATCCAAAATATCTGCCATGATCATGACTGATGACTCGCATAATGATAATAATCATTATAAGCTGAGTGGGGTTCTGTCGGAGTGCTATTTTTTCAACTCCACTGGTCGCTAAAAACGGGCTGGGAACGCACTATGGGAACACTACACCACTGGACGTGAATGTTCGCCGTTGCCGGACCCCATAGAAAGGGTACCCAGATCTGCACACTCTTGGAAGCTTATTATGAAGTTATGTACTCTTGATGTGTCAAGTACACCTAGTGCAGTGTCTGCTCCAGCACCCGGTGAGCCGGGTAATCCACCCGGTTGGGTGGCGCTTGGACCCGGTTGAAAATATAGTACCGGGTCACCTGTGACCCGGTTGGTACACTTTACACTTTCCGGAACTTTGAAAGAACTGACTACATGGCTTGTATGTGTCAGATTTATTCCGACTCGGATACTTCTTCTTCTTTCGCAATTTTCGAATTCCTGTCCTCTCTTTTCTAAATGCGGCTTATCCATTCGCCTTTATATCATTGGGCCTAGTTCCCGTTTATTGTCCGAATTAAAATAAACCAACCAACCAGTTAAAGCATGTGACTCGGCTGGTGAGACAGCGCCAGGTACATGTGTGCCTGGCTCCGACCCGGTTGAAATGGTTGTGCCAGGTACACGGCTGTCCTACAATCCTAGAGCAGACACTGCTAGTGTACATGAGTTTGTGGTACACATGATCATTGAGCCAGCTGAAATTTCTCGAGAGCTCCACCGTCCGTGAATTTGGGATGGAACATTCAAACACTGTAGTAGACTGTAGAGCGGGGCTCCATGTAAGGATAACATAAACACATTCTGGGCTTGACCATACATGCGGGTCTCCATGTAGTCGTGTAGATCTACAGATTTGATGGGGGGGGGGGGGGGGATAATATCGCTACAGCTGTAGTACTTTTGCAGCATTACTCACACTGCTTGGCCGGTTCGGCTCCCCTCCGCCTCCAATGCTCCATACAGAGTTCCAAACTCAATCGCGAAAACCAGAGAGACGAGACTCAAGTTGACAAGAGCTTTCTGATCAGTTGAAGTGAAGAGAGATCTTGCAAGCTTGATCATTCAACTGTAGTCTAAAAAAGTGTAGACGACGCTTGACCAGAGCTTGAGAGAACAACTCCATCCACCTAGCACATACGGGTCGAAAATGCAAACAAGGGGTAGTGCGTTGATTTTTTGCAAGGGAGAGTAGCTTTTTTTTTGTAGTGGCCATGGTAACAACCATGGTGCGCATGCTCACTGCCCAACCGGGTTGAAGTACGTATCGCTTTCCCTTGCTCTTTCTCTTTCCGTCAACAGCAACAATGGTGAGTGAAGATTTTATGGATTGGAAAACCTTGGGAAGTGGACGAAGCTGATAGGTTGCCTTGCGTATGGGTCGTTTCAGGGATCCCACAAGACTTATCTTGTAAAGAGGGTGCTGGCCAAGAAGGCCAAGCAGAACCGTCCCGTGCCCCAGTGGGTGAGACTGAGGACTGGCAACAAAATCAGGTGAGCCTGGTATTGACTGTGTTTCACTTTGTTGAACCAGTTTGCTCAACAGATTTTATATCTCTTGTGTGGTTTGCTAATTAGATACAATGCCAAGCGTCGCCACTGGCGCAGAACTAAGATTGGATTGTAAACATGTAAGTTCAGATCTTTTGTGTCCATTTGTATTCTTCCACTCAATATGTAAACATTTTGAACATTGGGAAATAGATTAGGAGGGACTATCTTCATCATGGCATGCACCGTACACGATTATGCACAATACGAAACAATGTACGCTGGGAGAATATGTATTAGTATGTGCCATCGCCTGGCAGTAATGTTCAAAACCTGAATTTATCGTGCTCTCCATCACAATTGAATTCTATTAAAAAAATGCTAAATATATCACTACAAATTTATATACACAGCACAGTTGTAAATCCATTGTATGCTACAGTTATCGTTTAGATGGACAACTACTCATACCAGTACATATACTACATAATACACTTATCCATTTGATCTGTTCCCTAAAGTGTCACACTGGGTTTTGTGACCCAGGCAGTTATTGATATGCCTGTAGTAGCTATACTGTCCTCAATGAAGTAAGGGATCCTGAATGAGCATCAATTGGAGCACTCGTGTACAGCCCCGTGTTCGCTGCTTCAGTGCTGAACTGCACCCGTCACTACTGACGGACAGTGCCCGTATTCCTTTGGGCAGTTGCACTGCTCATTGTACTATGGAACTTTGCATCACAAACCTTTACACACTATTTGGGCATGACAGCAAGGGTAGATACCCCCCCCCCCCCCGAAAAAATACTGCAGCTCTTCCAAGGTAGATCTGGCAAGACATGCATACGGGTTTCTTTCAGGGAGTGCTATTTTTTACTACACTGCCCACTAAGTTCACACTGGGATTGTACATTTATTCTGTATGGTCTGTAGTTATTCGGTGCGCAGCGACATGTATCAAACCAGTGCACGTCCACCATGAGTGTGCAACTCCCGCACACCCTGCTGCCCCGACAGAATTTCAAACTAATGTCACTTTTATGATTCAGTGCTCCTTGCACGAGTGATTTATTGCGTTTGTATGGGTGTCACCAAGAGTACATAACCCCCCAGAGTGTGCAACGCCGATCCAGCTCTGTATAGGGTCTTGGTCGAGCGGAATCGGATCTTCTGATGTCATGCGTACACTCCGCACCAGCGCAAGGCCGGTCTCGAGGCAGGGCACCGTTGTTTTTGATCCAAGACTACCCGCGACTCCCCGGGTTCCCCTCAGATGTGTACGGTATTATGACGCAAAGATCCGATTCCGCTCGACCAAGACCCTATGCAGAGCTGGATCAGGCGTTGCACACTCTGGGGGTTATGTACTCTTGGTGCCGCGTATCATGTTTTTGTTTGCACTAGTTTGTACATGATGCAAATGGTGCCTTGTCCATCACAGTTTCAGGATACATCTGATATAAATATGTGTACAGTGCGCATTCCATCGCAAAAATGGCGTCGAACTTTAAATTCTGTCGGGACAGCACCCATAGTGAAGTTGCACACTCTTAGAGGTTATGTACTCGTGCCGTGCACCCAGAGTA